GCCCCGTGCCGTGAACAGGCTGGGTCGAGCTCCGCTCCTCGCGCTTCACCGACCCGCCCCTCTTCGCCGGCCCGTATCTGCGCGACGCGAACGACTCGCGCCCGCTCCAGTGGGCGATGCGGCAGGTGCCAGTGCAGAGTCGCTCGAGCAAGAGTAGCGGCCGGGAGTAGCACCGCTCCCGTGGGAAGGCGCCGGCGCTAGAGCGAGAGCAGCGGTCGCGTCACTCCGCGCGCTGCACTGCGAGCGTGCAGTCGCGTCGCGCACCGCAGTCGCGCCGCACGCACAAAGCACGCCCCTGCACCCCTCCCCCTCCACTGCGTGCGCGGCCTCGCCACCTCAGGTGCGCCGTATCGCAGGCCTCGAGCCGATGGCGCAGGTCGTGCAGGCAGCGGCCGCCGCGCCTCGCCTCCGCCCAGCCCACCTCACCACCTCACCCCCCCCCCCCTCCCCTCCCCAGGAGGAGATCCTGCCCGGCAAGCACGCGGTGAGCGACGCGCAGCTCTTCGACGCCATCGCCTGCGGCCCCGCCCAGTTCCGCACGCTCGGCCGGCCAGCGTGCGACCGCTCCGAGCTGCCCGTCAACCACCTCGCCGGCACTGCGCGGCTGGGCGACCCCTCCGACCCGCGCGCCGTCGTCGACCGGTACTTGCGCGTCATCGGCGTCCACGGGCTGAGAGTGGCCGACGCGTCAGTGATGCCTGCGCCGCCGAGCGGCAACACGCACGCGACGTGCGTCATGATCGGAGAGAGAGCGGCGCAGTTTATCATCGACGAGCGGCAGAGCAGGAGACGGAGCTGACACTCCTCGACGGAGCGGGCGGGCCCGGCGGGGCGGGGAGGAGGGCGGGAGCGGAGACAAAGTCAAAGAGAGAGGGCTAGAGTTAGGACGGGAGAGACAGTGCCGGTCTGCTCGAAAGTTAGTTTCTTGCGGAGAGACCCACAGATCGGCTTCGCAGCGCAAAAATCCCGGCACATGTGTACATGACAGTGTGAGTGTGATCACACATCACCGGAGTGTAATCTGTAAAACGCGCCAGAAGTCCACGCGCATCTTTTTTTTGCTCGTCGAAGGGGGGGGCGCCCAGAGTCCCACACGTGAGCCCCTCGGTCGCGTAGGACTCGCACCCGTGGCTGTCCCACTCCCAGAAAGATCTTTCTCACCTGTGGCGCGTAGGGTCGCGTGGCACACTCCACACCCTATATGATTAGGTCGATCGACGTTCGCTTCGACATCTACGTGGGGTAAATGCGAATGTGCACTGCCGAGCTGAGCCGCAGGAGCGAGCGTGAGGATGCTTCCTCGCCATCCGCAGGACATTCCTCCATTGGGTCGTCTGGCGATGCAGACACTCCCCGCTCCTCGCCGTCTTCCTCCGCCCACCGGTCCACGTCCTCGTCCTCGTGCGCACCGCCCTGCTCGATGCTCCGATCCAACAGCGTCTCGGTCGAGGTGGAAGCGGACGCCACGAGCGCGCCGCCCGACTCGAGCACCAGCTGGGCCGCGATGGTGATGGTCGGTGCGATGGCCGCCCCGAGGCCGTGCAGGTGCACCTCGCGGTACCGCTCGAGCAGCTTGCGGGAGCGACGGAGCAGGGACGGCGCGCCTGCTCTGCGCGAGACGAGCAGGTGATTGGAGCCGCGGAGCGCGGGAGTTTGCGGCGGCACGCACAGCGGCATCGATCGAACAAAAGAAATCGGAAGTCGACTGGGCCGCAAGTCTCCCTTGACATAAGAATCGCGCCGTGGCTTCTGCATCACACACCAGACGCCCGAGGGTGGGCGACGGCTAGCACCACAACACTCCTCTCCTTAAATCCCTTTGGTGGCGGCGTGCCGTCCTCCCTTGGGTCGCTGTTTTCTTTCTTTACCCAGTGTCGTGCGAGGGAGCTTAGTGTTAAAATTCTTTCCCCACCCCCCCTCTTGTCCTTGTCACCCGGGGCCGTCACACTGGGCAAATCGGCCGATTTCCAACCCGGCTCCAGCAGCTGCGCAAGGGCAAATCGTCGCTGGGCAAATCGTCGCTTGGGGGGGGGGGGGGGGGGGGCTCCGGACACCCTCGTCGCTGAGGGGTGAATGTGAGTGGAGGGTCGGACAGCGTGAATGTGAGTGCCCTCCACGCTCTGGTTCGGCTCACAGCACGTGCACTGGCTGGCATCCCTTTCCCCTGTCTGTCGGAATATCTCAGCAGCGAGCGCTGTTTAGTATCGCTGTTAGTTTTACGGTCTCAGCCCTACCTGGCCGTTCTATATTATAGAATGGCATCCTATAATGTAGAATGGAATCGCGCGCGTACTCACCCGGCCGCCTCGCAGCCCCAGCGGCCGGGGGGCGCTTGCCGGGGTTGAGGCTGGTCACACACAGGCGCCACTTTAACGCGGCGAGCCAGAGGAGTCACACAGGAGAGCCCCCAACACGCCACATTTTCAGCAGCAGACGGGCCGCGGTGAGGGCCCATTCTATATCGAAGAATGGGGTCCGCCGCCGTCCCCCACGGCCTCCTCACGCCCCCAGCGGCAGCGTGCCGCTCGGCCAGACTGGTGGGGTTCGCGACAAGCGCCAGTTCAACACAGAGAAGCCCAACAGTCCGCAAATGAGAGTCCTCCCCCCCGCCCCGGCGAACCAGAGCAGACGCCGGGGGCCGCGTATGGCGAAAGCAAACGCACGACGGCCGCCGGCGGCCGTTGAGCCGCTGCAGCCGTTCGAGCCTTGGATGTCCGTCCGTCGCCGCCTGTGGCGAGGGCAGTGGAAGTGTGAGATTTGTGCTCGCAAGTGGTGGGCGGGCGAAAGGGTCGGGCGGCAGAAGTGAGCAGACAGCGCGAATGCGGTCTACCTGTGTCACATCTACTCCTCGTGTCACCTAGTCATGGTCCTCGCTTCCCTGCCCGGTCTCCGAGTCCTGCGCCTCGCCTGAGTCCTCGTCCAAGTTCGAGTAGTCCTCTCCTCGTCTTCGTCCTCGTCTTCGTCCTCTTCGTCGATCTCGTCGAGCCGGGCGGCTCCTGGCCCGTCCCGGCCGTGACGCTGGGGCCGACTTGCTACAGCGGGCGGGGAGACGGACCGCCAGCTCTGCTGCTGCCTGTGCTGCCCGTAGTCCTCGCCTGCGAGCGAGTGCCCTTTGCGGGGCTGTCGCTCAGAGAGCGGGTGTCGCCACGGCCGTCTTCTGACCTGTTTTGTGGTCTACGCGCTGCGCTGCGCTGCGCGTCTCGAGGCGCGCCGCAACACAGCCCGTATAAATGGGGTAATGGATGAACCAAGCATCCCCGATGGCCGGGGGGATGTCCCATGGCCCCGGGGTGGCCGTGGGCACGCAGGGGGCGCCGCTACGGGCCGCTGCGGCTCCCATTCTATTTCGAAGAATGCCATTCTAGGTCTGAGACCGTTTAGGTAGGGGGCCAAAAGGGAGACGACAGACGTGATGGAAGACGCGCCTCAACCAGACCAAAGAGCTGGCATGTTTGCGCGATGTGAGGAGCCACAGCCAGCCCCTGCCGCAGCCGTTAATTTCCCGCGAGACCTCGAGAGACAAAAAATCGGCAAAACACGCGCTGTCTACAGAAACAGGCGACTGTGTCAAGACGAAAGAGTTGGTTTGCGCGATGAGGAGCCAATGAGACCTCGAGAGAATGTCGATGAAAATCGGCGGTTGTTGATGAATGGCACGCCATGGACGCGCTCGACTTCCTCGGTCCGTTTCTGCCTTGGGCACATGGCTTCACACAAGAGCTCGATTTCAGTGGCAAGCCAGCGTTCTCGCCGCCGCTGCGTCGTACTCGGGGTGGCGGCCTTCGTAGCGCTGGGTCTCGCCCTGGGTCTGGGCCTGGGCCTCACATTGGCGCCAACGGACCGGGCGCCGTCGGCGCCAGCCGACCGGCCTATCGAGGAGAGTCCTCGGCCATCTGCAAAGCCGCCAGCGCCGCCGAGGGTGGAGCTGGTGCTGCCTCCAGCGCCGTCGGCGCCAGCCGACCGGCCTGTCGAGGAGAGTCCTCGGCCATCTGCAAAGCCGCCAGCGCCGCCTCCACCCGCGCTGCCTCCGCCCTTGCCACCGATGGCGCCGCCGCTGCCTCCGGCGCCACCTTTCCCTCCCATGCCGTTCCAGCCGCTTGCCGTCGGGGCGCTCGCGACGGCCTCAAGCACAGGCCTCCGCAGAGGCAGGCTGCTCCTCGACGCCTCGAATCTGACGCTGCAGAAGGCGAGCAGTGTCTATGATGCGCTGGACGGAATCTTTGACGGCACCGAGCTCTTTCTTTCGACCGCAGTTTCCTTTGCGACGCCCAGTCTCGACCAAGTTCCCACGCGCTGTGCAAAGTACTCGTTCCTATGTACCGTGGTGGAGCAAACGGCAGAGACTGCAAACATCCAGCTGCTTCAGCGACTGCCTCGTTCTGCTGTCATTCCTGAGACTTCTCTCCTTACCCAGCCAAACATCGAGCTCCTCTTTGACGCGACGAACGTGTCGCTCACCTACTCGGCCGAAGTCGTGGTCGAGGTCACGTCCTCGCTGGTGGTGGACAGAGGGAAGACTCTGGCAGAGACGGCAATCCTCCTCTCTGACTGGATGGATCGCACCCTACGAGAACGCCTGCCCGCGGTTGGCTTGCGAGGGACGTTTGACATCGAAATCGATACATTGCATCCGCCCAACCCCCCGCCCCCCCCGCCGCCCTCCCGTCCTCCGACGCAGCCGCCCCCACTTCAACCACCACCTCCGCCGATAACACCTCCATTGCCACTTTGCAACGAGACGCAGATGCTGCTTTTCATGGACAGCTACCGCGACTGCATGGGGGAGGAGCAAAGCATCGAGGATGTGGCGAACTACTCATCTCTCTGCCGCTGCCTCGCTCCGTTGGAATCGTTCGAGGCTGCAGCGTGCAGGGCCGACCAGTCTACGCCACTTTCGGTCGGCCAGCAGGCACGACTGCAGTATGAGCTGCTTTGCCTGCCTGAGACTGGCAGTCTCCCCCAGCCGCCGGACGAGACTCTGGTAATCAATGGCAGCGGTGCGCCCTGCGAGGTCCGCGTAACGCAAGGTCCGGACCAGTCCGCCTTTCAAGTCCTCCTAGTCGCGCACGGCAACGCCCAAGTCTCCTGCTACACCGACTCTTCGGACGCGTCGTGCTGTGTCGATGATAAAAGCACGTGGAACGTGAGCCGGGACAGCAACGTTACCATCGTCGGCGTCCTCCGGGCAGATCCAACGGCCCACGGGAATGTGACAGTCTACTGTGAGGCTTGGTGCACCTTGCTTGGCCCTTCTGCAGAAGGCTCCTTCACGTTCTACCCGCCGCCTCCGCCTCCTTCGCCATCGCCTCCGCCTTCTCCGCCGTCGCCTCCGTCCCCGCCGCCCCCACCGGCTTGCGTCGACGGGATCTGCCGCATTTACTATCGCTGGAGCTCGCACCGGGCCCACAAAGATGGCAAGGTACACGGAACTCCGTCCCAGCCGGCAGAAGATACTTCTCCGTCGACCAAAGAGGCATGCAAAGCAGCAGCCGAGGCTACGGGGAACGTGTTTGTCGATGACAACAGTGGGAACGGCCGGTACTGGCGCAAGGGCTGTTTCAGATCGGAGAACAGCGGAATATACTGGAACAGCGACGCTGTGGGCGGCTCGGGGGGGTCAGAGTTTGCACTACGCTTGTCGGGCGGCAGAGTTGTCGGCACCCCCGATCCAGGCCTGGACGCTTGCTGCTGCTACAACTGGGGCTCAGACCGGGCAATCGGTCCATACCATGATAACAGCAAGCGCTATGATGGTGAACAGTACGGGGTGTTCAGCGGGTACATCAACAACAAACGCGCTGCCGTCTTCGATGGGCGATACTATCCCGATCGTGGCCGGATCGGGAAAGGAGAAATGGAGGGAACCGGGTCTGTCAGGACGGTCTACAACGGCCGCGACGGCGAATTCGACTTCTACTTTCGAGCATTTCCAGAATGGGTGTGCCCGCGGGTCCAGCATCACCCACAGCAGTACACCTACAACTACAAGTCCACGGAGGTCCCCGAAAAATGCGAGGACTTGGAAGGACCGCGCCCGTGTTACTGGGAATACGCCGGCGGAACGCCATACGACGACGGCGGCGGAGGTCGTGTGCCAGACACGGTGCACGACTTCCCTCCCGTCCCCGAATGCACCGGCCAGGAGTGGCCGTTCGGTCTGAACGAGGCTCGGCCGCCGTATAACCTCACTGGTCCAGAAGAGCTGATGTGCTATCACCGCGACGTCAGCCCTTGCTTGAGCCAGTGCGGCCACCTACCACCCCTGATGCCATCACCACCGTCGGCTCCTCCGCCCTCGCCCTCCTCACCGCCGTCGCCGCCCCCCTCCCCACCACCGCCGTCGCCGCCGCCATCGCCACCGCCGCCGCCACCGTCGCCGCCGCCACCCTCGCCGCCGCCGTCGCCACCACCGTCGCCGCCTCCGCCGCCGCCCTCTCCCAAGCCGCCGCCAGACGAGGACCAACTAAACGCATGCAAGCGCAAGGATGCAATCAGGCAGTGGGCGTTAGACATTCTCCGCTTCCGTGGTGGCCCCGAGTTGGGCGGATCGCCTGGCCAGTGCTGGAGGGGCTACATGCCATGCCCGCCTGGCTTCACCGACCACGGATTGTTCTGCAAAAAGCCAACTTCGGCAGAGTACGGGCGTGGCGTGGGCAAGGTCATGCGCCCACAGGGATGCAGATCCGGCTACAAAAACACCGGACTGCTCTGCACAAGATGCACGGGCAAGTGGCCCTGGCAGTGGAAGTGTGACACGTACGCGCAAGACCTGAAGTGCGATGCTGGTCTGGAGGAATGGGGAGGACTCTGCTACAAGCCCTGCCAGCCAAGGAATGGCTTCAGCACCCACAACTTTGGCTGCTGTATTTGCACACCGGACTGTCCGCCAGACGAGTACGTTGAGGAGTGGGAATTGTTCACGCAGGGTGGAGTGCCGATGCAGAGGGCGAAGTCGCAGAGGGTGAGTTGGAAAGACATTGGGGTGAGCTGCGCAAAGCCCCAGAAGCCCTGTCCGGCGGGCATGCCGTATAAATGCGGCCTTGCGTGCACTCCGGATGCTGCTGGTTGCGACAAAATGATACTACAGAACTTTGCCAACGTCTTCTCGGTCGTTGTTGAACTAGCCATGTTCTACTTCACGGGCGGCTTGGCGAATCTTTCGTGGCGAGCAGCGAAACAAGGCGTGATGAAAGGAGTGACCGCCGCGCGAATCGCTTCAAAAGTCAGTAAGTTCAGGGGAGCGAGATTCGAACTCGCCTTTGCCCAAAAGTTGGCCAAGCAGACGGTGAAATCGATCGGCAAAAACTTTAAGGACTTTGTGGCCGACCAGCTCACCTGTGTGCCAGATTTGACCAACGCCGTTACCGCAGTCGAGTCCGTAGTGACCAATCCGTGTATCGAAGCCTTGGCCACTTACTACGCCATCTGGGCTGACTATCAGGAAACGGTCGGAAAGGATCCCAAGTTCTCGAGCCTCTATCGTGACCTCGTCAAAATTGCGTCCCAGTCGTCCTACTTCCCCCGGGGGGCGCCTTTGTGACTCAAGTGTGCAAGACCCGGTCTCGGGCCGATGGCACGACGACAGCGAATTCTTTCAAGAGGCAATGGTTGATCTTGTGCAGCAGGAGGCGAAGAGCTGGGACGACTTTTCGGGGGAAATGATAGCGCTTGCTGAAAACCTCGAACCAACCGGCGTGTGGGCACTTGTGGAGGGATTCATAAACCCAAGCTGCGACGAGGTGCCGAAATTCCCCGAGATCCGCTCCAATGGCCGCGACTGTACTCGTCTCGGCGTGCTCGAGGCAAAGCTGCAGGACGAGGACCTGGAGGGCGCCCTGGGCCTGCTCGAGTGAGGTGAGCGACGGGTGCATATGCAGGTACGCGATTGCGCATGCATAGGCGCATGTAACATTTTGCACATTACCCCCCCCCCCCCCCTTTCCCTCGTCCACCAATGATTAGTCATCCTTTCTCTGTTTAGATTACAACGAGCCTTGAGGCCTTGTCACTGTATAGTGGTGTACGATAGTAGGCATGCAGGATGCGCGATGCATGTGGACGAGGCTGTTTATGTGTGGGCTGTGGACTGTGGCCAGACAGCTATTAGGACTAGAGATCTAGAGCTGGCGCCTCACTCATGCTGTTAACTATAACTCCGTCCCTACCCGCTACCGTAAAAGAGAGGCTCGGCGCGCCGGCCGCCGGAAACCCGCGGCCCGCGCCCGGCCGGCTCGCGGGACATTACAGTTATCTGCCTGGCGGGGTCGTGTCCACAGAGGAGTTACCATTTTAACAACTCTCCCCCTAACCTGCACAATGAGAACGCCGTTCGTTCGGACAGGAGCCCCGCAGCATAAGGAAAAAACTTCCCTCGAGGGTGAGGATTCGTAGTGACGTAGAGGAGACTCTAGTGCAGTCACCACTCGCTGGTCTGCAATGAGACATCCGCGCCGCGCCGCAGAAGCGCCTCGGCCAGCTCCGCGTGGCCATTGGCCATCGCGATCATCAGCAGCGTCATTCCGCTCCCACGGGAGCCGCTCTTTAAGATGTACTCGGATGTCGCGTCCACCCGCCCGCCGCCGTCGAACCACGACAGCACCGCTCCCGCTTGGCCATCCTCGGCGGCCTTCAGAATGCTCGCAGGGACGTCGCCGCCGCCCTCATAACAACCAACTCTCTCGCCGCCCTCCGCGAACGGCGAAGGCGGCGTGCCCGGCGCGGTGGACATTGGTCCAGGGTTCGGGCCCAATGAAGCTACGTTCTCTTATGAGACCGGCGGGCGGGGCCACGATGAACACAAAACTCTACGGGACTGGCGCGCACTGGCACAAAGTCCCGAAAAAGAATCGCGCCAGCCTCTTGGCACCCCGGCAGGCTCGCTTCTCTCCCTTCCTTACTATTTTCTTTCTTTCTTAGGCTCTTAGGCTCGCTTCTCGCCGATAGCCGGGTCCAGGCACGACGCCGATGCCCAGCAAGGACTTGCCGCCCGAGACCTGGAAGGCGTGGTGGGTGGTCGGCGTCATTTTCCCGGCGCACCTTGTCCTCGGCATCCTCAGCCTCCCGCTGCTCGCGTATCACCTCTATCACCTCTCTCCGTGGACGTGGGCGCTCGTCTGCGTCTACCTTCCATTCTACCTGTACCCGGCGGAGAAGCGCTATCCCGGCTGGAAGGGCTTCGACGCGCTGTGGAACTTTTTTGACTACGAGTCGACCTGTCAGTCCTACTTTGGGGAGTTTGGCGTCCATGGCGGCGCAAAGGTGGATCCGGACGGGCAATACTTTGTCGCCGCGCACCCGCACGGCACCGTCATCTTCCAGCGTACCTATTGGCGCTCGGAGCGGCTCGCCCGCTTCTTCCGGCGGCCGTGGCGCATGCTCGGCGCGTCGGTCCTCTTCCGCATCCCGCTCGTGCGCGAGATGACGCTCTGGTTCGGCGCGGTGGACGCCGGAAGATCCAACTGCGAGCGGCTGCTGCGCGCCGGCGCGACGGTGGTGGTCTGGCCGGGCGGGCTCGACGAGGCCAACTCGGTCGACGAGCCGCGCGGCGTGGTGCGGCTGCGGACGAGGACCGGCTTCATCCGGCTCGCGGTCCGGTCTGGTGTGCCGGTCCTGCCGATGTTTGTCTTTGGAGAGCTGGACGCGGTGGAGGCGGTGCGGCTGCTGCCGCGGCCGCTCGCCTCGTGGCTCAAGCGCACCCTGCGCGCCTCGTCCAACGGCTTCGTCGGGCGGTACGGCACGCCCGTACCACGGCGCGTGCCCTTCAATCTGGTCATCGGCGACCCGATCGCCACCGCCGCCGCGCCCTCCGCCGCCGCCACGGACGCCGAGGTTGCCCGCGTGCACTCCCTCTACCGCGCCGAGCTGTCTCGCATCTATCACGAGCACCGCGACGCGTTCGGCTACGGCGGGCGCGAGCTCGTTTTTGCCAACGAGGACTTGGCGGCTGGGTAGACGAGGGCGTCGCGGCCGCGAGGGCCGCCGTGGCTGAAAATGGCGAAGGGGCGTCCGGCGGCACGGCGTGGAGGTGGACCAGGCGGAAAGTTAAACTTTTCGGCTTCCACGCTAAAAAGAAACGGAACAGCTGACGTCCACTCCGCCGCGCTCTCTGACCTTCGTCGCCACCGCCGCGGCCTCGCCAAGCACGCCGCCGCCCACCCGCCTCCTCGACCTCCCCACGGACCTCCTCCTGCGCGCCCTCTCTCGCTGCGACCCCGCCGACATCGCTCGCGCCGCGGCCGTCTCGCTTCTCTTCCACTCCTCGCTCGCGGAGGAGGGCATCCGCTTGCGCCTGCGAGAGGCCGGCTACGAGCTGCCGGCGCAGCCAGAGGGCGAGAGCTGTGTGCCGTGCGGTGGCTGTGCTTCGCTGCGTTGCTGCGCGCGACCCCGCTGGCGAGGGCGGCGGCAGGCGGTCAACACAGCGTCTTCATCGACGGCGAGGGGCGGCTCGTCGTGCGGCACGGCAGCGGAGGACGAGGAGGGCGAGGAGAAAAAAAGGACGAGGACGAAGAGGTGGAGTTTCCGGGCCTTCTCGGCCACGGCGAGGGCGTGCTGCAGCTTAAGACGCGAAGAAGGCGCCGTCGATTGAAGTAGGAACCTCATAAGGCTTTTCCTCGTCAGCGGAAGCGAGCGCCGAGAGAGCCACGAGCAGAAGGCACCGTGTAGTCATCGTCGCGGCCGGAGCGGGCCAACACACAGAGGGGGCGCCACGGCAGCGTATGGGCCGCTTTCGAGCGTTTTTCTTCTTTTGAGATCTTTTTAAAGGCCCACTACCCGCCCTTTCTCAGAGCTGTGTTTGCGCTCGCTGTGCGCTCGCCCGTTGCTTGGTGTTGCTGGCTACTCTGGAGTCCTCCTGGCTGCTCTCCGCCCACCAGCCGGCCACAGGCCGCCACCCTCGCCGGCCGGCGTCGCGAGAACGGCCAGACTCGACCGACCGGGTGTCGCGCCGCTGCCTGCTTCTCGCGCCGCTGTAGCAGCGCCAGCGGCTTGGCCGCGCATCCTTCACACACGCTGCCACAACCAAGCTGAGCGAGCCCGGTGTCGAGGTCTGGTGCGAGCTGCATGCGAGGGGCGGCTGTGGCCACAGCAGGTCCACCAGACGGACCTCAAAGCTTGCCGTCGGCGTGCTGTCGTGGCGAGAGCGCGAGACCGCTGCAGAGGAGCCGAGTGCAGTGGCGAGCCAGAGGCTACCAGGGTCACCAGGTGGTAGCCCTTGCCCATTCTGATCAGGGCTGTGCTTTGGTGGGGTTGTGCTTGAGCATGTGTGAAGTGGGAGTGCGTGCCGGCGGTGTCTGTGGGTGAAACGGGCGTGTGTGAGGCCGTAAGAGCCGTGGTATGAGCCAGAGTGGGCTTCATCATCCAAAACAAGGACGGTATGGGACAGCTCAGACTTGATACTGATGGGCCTGGGCCAGGAGAGCGACAGAGATGGCGAGGTGGTGAGCTGGGAAGCCGCTTTGTCGGCACCTGGATGTGTCGCGATGAAGTGCCAAGAAGCGCCGTTTGCGGCTAGTGCTCAAAAGATTGGGAGAGAAGGCCTACATATTATGAGTGAATCCATGCACCTGGTGCATGGGAACTGTGGAACAGGACATTTCACAGTCGGTGGCGCCGATAATGACCTCCGGAAAGCCCTCGCAATCGCCTCGGATGGGGTCCACCGGGGCAATCTCGAGCTCTCTCCGTGGCATCACGAGCCGGTGTGAGCTTGAAGACCCGAGATAAGTGCGGTCTGGGACAGCTCAGGCTTGCTACTGATGGGACTGGGCCAGGAGAGCGACAGGAAAGGCGAGCTCGTGAGCTGAGAGGCTGGAGAGTCCGCGTGTGACCTTGTCGCGATGCAAGTGCCAAAAAGTGTTGTTTGCGGCTATCGCTCAAAACTTCGGGATAGAAGGCCTACATATTATGACTGAATCCATGCACCTGGTGCATGAGGGCTGCAAGTCGGGACATTTCACGGTTTTAGGCGCCGACGATGACCTCTGGAAATCTCTCCACAACACCTCGCATACGGCAAGCTTTGAGGTCCGTCTGGTGGACCTGCTGTGGCCACAGCCGCCCCTCGCATGCAGCTCGCACCAGACCTCGACACTGGGCTCGCTCAGCTTGGTTGTGGCAGCGTGTGTGAAGGATGCGCGGCCAAGCCGCTGGCGCTGCTACAGCGGCGCGAGAAGCAGGCAGCGGCGCGACACCCGGTCGGTCGAGTCTGGCCGTTCTCGCGACGCCGGCCGGCGAGGGTGGCGGCCTGTGGCCGGCTGGTGGGCGGAGAGCAGCGACAACCGGCGTGGGGGTGCTCAGGAGGCAGCGGCGGCCAAGTGGTACCACTTGCTCAAAGTCGAAAGGGGGCTTGTAGTGGGCCTTTAAAATTCTTCTTTTGTAAAATTCGGGAGAGCAAGATAAGAATTTTCCAATCCCCTCGCACAGCACTGGGCACGGGACCGGCGCGCACTGGCACTAACACAGGTACACCACGGGAGCCGCCTAAGCGACTCCTGCGAGCAGCGAGGACGGCGAGGCGCTCATAGCTCCGTCTCGTCTCGCCCTCGCCCGTCCCGTCGGGTCCATAAAAGCGGCCCCTCACAGCTCACAGCCCAACGCGGCCAAAGGATATTCACCTCGAGAACATCACCTATGCCCCTCTCTACAAGTCTACATCAGGAGCGCGAAAGGAAAGGTCCGTGCCGTCGCCATCGGCGCCACCTCCTCCCAGGCGTTCGAGGCCGGGTCGAACCGCTCCACCGTGTTAGCCGGCCTGTCCAGCTCAGCAGCCTCGTCGTCCTCCTCGATTCTGCCGCCCATAGCGTACAACTTGCCTTCCAGCGCCGCCACCCCGGCCCCGAAGCGAGCCAGCGTCAGCGGCGCCACAGCCTCCCACGCATCCGTCCCCGGGTCGTACCGCTCCACCGAGCTGAGGCGGCCGCCGTCGTACCCGCCCACAGCGTACAGCTTGCCGTCGAGCACCGCCACGCCATGAACACTCCGCGCCTCCGCCATCGACGCCACCGCCTCCCACGCATTCGTACCCAAGTCGTACCGCTCCACATCCCAGAGGTAGCCGTCGTCGTCGTTGTATCCTCCCACGGCGTACAGGTTGCCATCCAGCACCGCCGTGGCGTGATTAATCCGCGCCGTCGCCATCGGCGCCACCTCCTCCCACGCATTCGTCACAGGATCGTACCGCTCCGCCGAGCTGAGGGCATAGCCTTCGCCATTCGATCCGCCCACAGCGTACAGCTTGCCGTCGAGCGCTGCGACGGCGGGAGCATGCCGCGCCTCTGCCATCGGCGCCACCGCCTCCCACGCGTTCGCAGCCAGGTCGCACCGCTCCACCAGGTTGGAAGTTGCGCCTTCAGCCTCATTCAGGCCGCCCGCCGCGTAGAGCTTGTCATCGAGCACCGCCGTGCCGACAAAACTTCGTGCCGTCAGCATCGGCGCCATCGCCTCCTCCTCCCACGCATTCGTAGCAAAGTCGTACTGCTCCACCGAGCTGATGACGCGTCCATCGGTGTCTTCGCCGCCGAACACGTGCAGGCGCGGCCTCTCGCGCTTCTTCAGCGTCTCCTTCCAGCCGCGGCGCCACGCGCGGCACGTACCCTTGGCGGCGTGCTCCTTGGTCGGCAGGTGGGCGAGGATGTGCGGGGCGAGGTCCGGCGAGAGGAGGACCTCGGAGAGGATCCACTCGGGCTGCTCCACGAGCCGTGCGGCGTGCTCCTCCGCCACGCGCAGCGCGGCGTCGCTCGCGCCCGCCTGCGCCTCGATGATGGCGCACAGCTGCTCTGGCGAGAGGCCCGCGACGCGGGCGCCGATGCGGTGGGAGGCCATCGGCGCGGGCGGCTGCTTAAAAGGCAAGGCCTTTGGGAAGGCAAGAGGATTTCGCTCGCTAGGGTGTGCGGTACTGAGTTCGGCAGCGGCGCTTTGCCGTGGGATACACTGTAGTCGGCCCCGTGAACCTTCACGGGACACACCTCCCCGCTGTACACTGTAGCCGGCAAAAAGAATTTTCGAAGCGAAAAAAGAATTCATTGTGCCCGGAACCCAAACGCAGCAGGAACGCAAATGCAAACCTCTCTACCTACATCCTACGGCCGTCTACATCCCAGAGAGAGTGTTTTTGTCTACATCCCAAAAGCTAAATCAGATCAACCAGGTGCTCGGCATTCGCGCCGTCTGTGTGGCAAGCGTGGAGGTTGGGGAAGAAGATCTGCGGAAAGGCAAGCATGCAGAGCATCAACACGCAGTAGGCCGGTACGCCGCCTGCACCAGCGTGTGCGCCTCGCAATTCTATACAGAATCGACACTTGGTACGTCCTCTCAATCGCTCGTGGAGAGGAGCACGCCAGCACGGCCATTCTCCACTAGTGTTTGACGTCGTCAAACTCGTCAAACACTGTTTGACGTCGTCAAACACTGTTTGACGTCGTCAAACACGATCGAGTAACCGTGTTAGCGAGAAAGTTGCGGGTAGAGCCGTTCCCGACTTGCTTGTCGAAGGCGAGGCCTCTGCGACGAGTGCCAGCCGCGCTGCGGAGCCACGCCCTTCGAGCCGCGTCCCGTCGGCACTGTCCCTGAGTGCGTTCCGCCTTGGCGGCACACACTCTCGCCGACCTCCGCGGCGGGAAGAATAAAAAGAAATCCCGGTTGGACGCTCGGCGCCCTGCTAGAGTCTCTCTCTCAACATGTGTACATGACGCCCCAGCCAGCGGTACCGGTAGCGAGCGGCACAGACCGACGTGTGTGTGCACTTCGAACCGCACGTATTTATGTGTGTATAATTGGCCTTCATAGACTGTCCGTCTCGCGCCGGGTATCCCTGTGGGCCGGTGTGCTGGGTGTGGACGTGGAACGTGGAAGCGCCCGCCGAGTGCCCGCCGAGCCGGCCGCCGACAAACGAGGGTGCACCTGTCATGGCGTTCTCTCTTGTCACCGCCCTCAGCTTGTGCAGCCTCCCCGAGTCGGCATCGACGGCTCAAGCATTCCTGAACCGCGACCCGACGTGCGCTGCCGACGCTGCACAGACACCCAGTCCCCAGTTGCTGCATCAGATCCATCGTCGCGGAGAGGTGCTTCCGCACAGCGAGCAGCTGCGCGCCACATGGATGAAACACAACCCCGGCTGGAGCTACCGGCTGTGGGATGAAGCGGCTCTCTCAGCCCTTGTCAACGAGTCGTACCCTTGGTTCGTCGAAACCTTCCACGCACTGCCAACACACGTGCAGCGCGAGGACGCTGGCCGATACCTGGTGCTCCACGCTCACGGGGGAATCTTCGCTGACGCGGACGTGGAGGCCATTCGTGCGTTTGGCCCGATTCTCGAAGGTTCAGTCTTACAGATCTTCGAGGAGCCGTCGGAGCAATGGGAGGAGTGGGGCCCAGACGGCCTCAGTGCGTATCACGTCCTCTCCGACTCGCTTATCAGCGTCGCCCAGCCCGGCCACCCGCTCCTGCTTCGCGTGCTGCGCGCTATCCGCCCTCTGGGGATCCACTTTGCGCGCATCGACTACAGCGCTCTGCAGGATCAAGTTCACGCCTGCCGTGAGGAGTCCGACTCAAGCTGCGGCTGCTTCCAAACTGTCAAGAGCGCCGACTTCTTTCCCTCCCACGCCGCGCTCAAGCCGGCGATGAACTTCTCGAGCTCTGTCTTGCAACTGGACGAGGCGCGCCGGCTAGCGGAGCAGCTCAAAGCGGGGGAGTGGCCGCCTGCCACCGCGCGCACCGTACGGTGGAAGCTCAACCGGGTCGATCGCCAGGAGGGCGGCTTGTTGCTCGATGGGCTGGCTGCGGTTCGCGAGGGGCGCGAGGCGGCAGGCGATACGCTGCTGCGCGCCTTCGTGAGCTCGCAATGGGGCCGGCGGTACAAGTATTTCAGCCACCCGGAGAAGCCCGACCTCGAGGCGGCAACCAAGGCGTACGAGAAGGCGATGCGGCTCGCGCCCGAGTATGCCTGGCCGCACTACGAGCTGGGCAACCTCGAGATGGAGAAAGGGCAGCACGGCGCGGCGCTGCAGCACTTCAGGCAGGCGGTGAGCCTGAGCCCGGACGAGGTGCTCTTCCACAATAACCTGGGCGTGTGCGAGATGAACCTGGGCAAGCACGCTGAGGCGGAGGCCACCTTTCGCCGCGTGCTCGAGCTGCACGGCCGCGCGCCACACCACATCCAGTCGATGGCGCCGGCTGCTGGGGCGCACTTCAACCTCGGTATGGCTCTCAACGCGTCGAGCCGCGCCGAAGAGGCGATCGAGGAGCTGCGCTTTGCGCTGCACGGCAGCTCCTCGCACTTCACTCGTCTGGCCGGCCTGCGGCTGAGGCAGGCGGGCGCGCTCGAGCTCTCCAACTCGCAAGTTGGCTACCTGGTTGGCTCGGCGCTCCTCGCCGAGGGGCGTACACGGGAGGCGGCAATGACGCTGGCGAGGGCACACGAGCTGACAAATTCGACGGACTTGCACGCGCGAATCGCCGAGCGTATGCGCGTGCTTGCAGACTTCTGGCACGTCGGAGCCGCTCCGGGCGAGAAGGTGTCGTCGCTGTCGCAGGCCCCGCAGGTCCAATACGTTCGCACGGGCGCAGACGGCTCGACGGCGCGCGATAGCATGGGCGAGCTCACGCCAGAGCTCTGGGCGCAAATCAAGGAGGGCAAGGTGACGCTCCCAGGGGCTTGATGATCGCCGGGACTGGGTAAGTCACTCTCATGGGTGGTCACCGCCTCAACTCGAGCGAGCCGAGAGGCAGTCCAGAGGCGGCTTCGCGCGAATGCAAACCAGTGCGACGCGCGCACAGAGTGTGTGTGCGTGAGACCAAAGGGTGGAGAGTGCAGAGTCCAGACGGAGACACCAGACACCAGTGTGCATGTGCACAGTGCTCAGGGAGTCTGGGGGGGGAGTACGGCCGTACACGGTGGAGAGGCGAGTTCTCGCTGATTCGTCCCCACTTAAAGTGGTTCAGTCACCGAACCCTCTGAACGTATTTCAAGAGCGCGGCACATAATGGAGAGGTACTCTAGCCTGAGAAGAGACTTTCACACAGACACACACCCCACTCCCGGCGTATCTCGCGGTTTTGCCGTAACCGTATTATAACGAGAGACACTGTCCATGATACATACCGCTGTCACTCTGGCCACTGCCGACAAACGGTGCTCTCGGCATCTGCCTACGATTTCCCGCGCGCTGCGGCGCTAGCATTAAGAATGGATCTAAGCGATGGGTCTGGAGGGTAGTTTCTCGAGCCGCGGTCGGGTCCTCCTCTCCTGGCGGGCACCTCGCTGGCACCGCTGCCGCTGGCCTCGGCCTTCGGCGGTTTGGCTGCCTCGGCTGCGTCGAGCACCTGCGGCCACGGCCCGCGTGTGGGCCAGGCGCGCGCGGGAAGGAGGGCGGTGGGGGAGCGAGGTGCGGCGGCGCCTGCTTGAGCTTGCTGTGCAGCACGTGGAGGACGGCCCGCTCCTGCTCTTCCTCGAGCAGCGGCGCGCTCGAGGAGGACGGCCCGGCCTCGCCGCTGGCCGAGCCGGCCAGCTGGCTCGCGCGCAGCATCTCGGAGCACGCCTCGCTCGCCCACTCCTGCTCACACACGCGCCCGTGAGGAGACGCCGTTCACACTCGCCCCGAGGACGCCTCGCTCGGCCGCTCCTCCGTCACGTGCGATGCGATGGCGGCGCGGACTCGCTCGGCCGCGAGCTCTGCGAGAGAAGCGCGGTCGACGTGAGGCGGCAGCGTGGTGGTGGTGGTGGTGGTGGTGGTGGTGGTGGCGGCGGCGGCGGTGGTGGCGGTGGTGGGTGGGTGGGGGGGGGGGTGTGGCGGGCCGGGCGTGGACTGTTCAGTGTTCTGTGAGTGTAGTGCAGCAGGGCACCGGACGGGCCGGGCGTGGGGAGGCGGCGCTCGCGCGGGTAGAAGAAAGAGACGGGACTCTCGCGCACGCGCTCTTCGGCCTCGGCCTCGCTCTGCGGGGGGGGGGGGGGGGGGGCATGCCCCCCCCCCTCCGGGTTGTGCTTCTGGGGGGTGCCCCTTGTGAAGTGGGCCGGCGTCGGGCCACCTTGAGCTTCTTCGGAGCTGGCATGGGAATCTTGCCCGCTCGCTCGAGGAACATGCGGTCCTGTCGACACCCAGCGGCCGGGACGTGAGCTCGGAGAGCGGGCTTTTAAGTGCGGGCGGAGGTGTGGGCGGAGGTGTTGCCAGGCGTGGGTGGGGTGTTGTGTGTGTGCGGAGTGTGTGGGCGGAGTCGAAACGCGAGGCTCCGCGAGAGGGAGGGTTGGGCGTGTCGGCGGCGAGGCGTGCCTCATTCCCCGGCTGGTTCTTGCACTCGGAGCACTTGCACGTCGGCTGACAGGTGATGCCGGCCTGTGGAGGGGCGCAGGCGCAGGCGTCAGCCGCGCGAGTCTCGCGGGAGACAGGGGCGCGTGGGACGCCGGCCTGGAAGCACTCGCAGTACTTTTTGAGGCAGCCCGACTTCTTGCAGTGGCACCCCTTGCTGTGCCGGGTCGTGTCCTTGCCCAAGGTCGAGTCGTGAGCAATCTTTGGCCGGAACGCGGTTGGGTTGCTGCGGGACGGGGACGGAGGGTTGAGGAAGGTGCGACGGGTGGCGGCGGCCGGGTCGGCAGCCCGCACCGCTCAAGCGTCGCATCGATTGCTCTGGCGCGCTTCTCGTTGTTCTCCGGGTTGTTGTGGCAGCCCTGGCAATTGCAGCCGAAACAATACTGGCCCGACGCAAAGCACTCGCAGTAGAGCTTGAGGCAGCGCGAGTTGCGGCAGTTGCACTGCCCTCGCTTCTCGACGAGGGCCCTGCGCGCCTGCGCCGACGCGCGCCCCGCGCCCAGCATTTGTGTTTCGCAGTTCGGATCAGGCGTGCTTCGCGGTTTATTCACAGCTCGAAAATAGAGTACGTAACATGGCGAAACGCAACAACCCCGGGCCCGAAATCGCACAGAGACAGTTCACAGCCTTGTTACTTTTCAAGAAAATAAATACGCAGACCTTGAGCACTTGAGCACAGGATAGGGTCGATTCCGCATGGTACGGGACCCCTCGCAGACCTTGTTATTGAGAAGAACTCATACGTCCTATGGCGCTGTGCGCTCTGGTCTATGAGAGGTTGAGGTGCGAGCCCTGGAGGCCCTGGGGATTCACATGAACGCACAACCCTGCACGTGTTTGTTCACAGCACGCCATGGAAGCAGCTACGGTTCCCTGGGGTTACAGCGCACGGAGGGGGGTGGCGCGAGGGCAGAGCCAGAGGCCTACAGGCGGAAGGGCGGGGAGGCGGAGGGCGGCGGAGAGCCGGGGCTTTTGACGCCAACGCGAGCAACGTACATTTAACCAGACTTAATCTACTCCACTACTACTCGAGTAGACAACCTAAGCTTCGGCCTCCCCGCCCGGCTGTCGCCCGTGCTGTACGGTCGGCCCGCCGCTAGGGCGCCACGCTCCGCTCGTGAAGCTAGTCGGCACCCGCCGGAGGCCGATGGAGCCCTGTTTGCTAGCCTGCTTGCGGCCGCTCGGCGTGTCGCCTTTCGGCGAGCGGCTACTGCGCCGCTCGATGCTCCCGTGCTCGATGGTGAAGCGGATGCCGAGGGTGGTCTCCTCGTCTGCGGCGAGGTCGTGCCGCAGCAGGCCCTGCTTTGCGTGCGCCTTCATGCGTGGCACGAGGTCTCCGAAGAGCTCGACGGTCTCGACGACCCTGCCCCCGTCCGGCCCGGCGGAGACGCGCTCAAAGGTGGGCGGGAAGATCTGGTCGCGGTTCGCCTCGATCTCCTGCAGGAAGGTTTGCACCGAAGCGGACGCGCCGGGCGCGCCGCCCTTGTCGCCGTCGCCGCCGCTTCCGCGCTCCCCGCCGTCGCCACCACCGTCACCGCGGCCGTCTTCGCCGCCGCCGCCGCCGCCGCTGCCGTTGTTGCCGTGGCTGCTAAGTTCGCCGAGCGGATCGCCCTCCGCGCACGTCTCGCACTTGGCGCAGACGGCGCCGTAGAGGCCGAGGATGGGCGCGACGAGGCTCTGCCTGTCGCAAAAGGGGCGGCCCGCGTGGCCGAGCCTGCAGCAAGTCAGCTCGCCCTCAAAGACGTGCAGCGCCTCGGCGAAGAAGCTCGCCTCAACGGGGGCCACCGTGCCGTCCGCCGCGAGGAACATGTTGCCGGTGCCTTTGCGCAGCGAGTAGCAAAGCTGCTCGGCGCGGCACCACATGCGGCGCTGGTACGACGATGCGTCGCAACGGGTGCCGAGGTCTGCGTGGCGGCAGCTCGGCGCGACGACGATGAAGGCCGAGGCTTGGGACGCGTACCAGGAGAGTGTGCGGATGGCCAGGTCTTGGATGCCGGGGTGCCGCTGCGGGATGCTGCTGTAGTCAAGCCAGACTCGAACCCTCTCCATCTCCCACCCTTTGAGGGCGACGACCTGGCGGAGGGCCGTCACCATCTCGCGGTACTGCGTGCCGTCGGGGTCCGGGCTCGAGAAGGAGGTCCACTGGTGCGAGAAGAAGACAATCGGGTGCTCCTTCCGCGACGCCTGCACCGCCTCCACCGAGTCCAGCACGAGCACCTTGCCCTCATCACGCAGCGACTCGTGAGGCATCATGGTGCCGGCGGCGAGAAACTCGGAGGCTGGCACGAGCACGAAAGGGTAGTCGAGCCGGTCCAGGCTTGCGACGGCCTCCTTGATGACCCGCTCGCACGCCTCCTCCCGCGCCCTCCGGTCGCGCCGGATCTGGCGCACCTTCTTGCGCGCCGCCCACGCCACGAGCAGCAGGAGCAGCAGCCCCATCAGCCCGCCGATGACTGATGCGACTATCACGGCTGTCCTCCTGGCGCTGCCCTTGTCTGGCGCCACGGGCGCGAGGCCGAGGCTCTTACGGTAGATGTTGATCTGCCAGTCAGGGCTCGAGAACCGACGGTTGAACTTGTCCGTCGTCGCCTTGAAGCTCTCAATCAGCTGCAGCAGTGAATCCTCGACGGCGCTATCGTTGCCGTCGCCAACGGCGGCAGCAGCCACGTCGAGTGCTCGTTCGAACTCCTCCTCGTACTCGGTAGCCCCGTTTATGCGGAGGGGCAACACGGCGTTGTGGTTGTCGCTGCCCAGGACCTCCTCTGTGCGGGACCGCTTCGCCTCGAACACCGTCTTGTTTGCGTCAGGGAAGCGGGCGAGGTAGGACGGCCAGGCGCTGTCGTCGAGCTGGCTCGAGCTCCACGGGTCGAAGCAGTAGCTTTCCAGCATGACGTTGAGCCGGCGGGCCTGCACGAACCGGAAGAAACGCATGGCGCCGGCCGCCGCGTCCGGAGATGCGAGATTGGAGAGCGCCAGGTTGAAGTGCGCCTCGACAAAGGGCGCCCGATTGATCAAGCGGCCATCGCTCGCCCTTCTGGCGTACGGGCATGAGGTCGCATTGCACTCCTTGAGGGTGGTGCTGCCACGAAGCAGGACGAGGTCCGATCCGGGGACGGGCAGCGTAGTTGCAGGGTGCGCCTTGTCGTAGTACATGAGCTTGGCCGTGTGCCCGAGGAAGAGGATGCAGTTGCCCTTGGCCTCCGCCACATTCATGTAGGCCTGCTTGACCTCGCCCAGCGCGTTGACCATCGCCGCGATCTTGGCGAAGACGCCGCGCTCTCTCGCAACATCAACTGCTCGTCCAGCCGGCGCAAAGGTTGGCTCCATGGAATCGGTGTCGAACATATAGCCCTGAGCCGTGCCTCTCGTCTGTGTCATGCTGGCGAGCATGTGATGCTTGATAAAGTTCCACATATCTCCGCTGTTGGTGTAGCAGAAGCCCGTATCCGGTTGCCCGTCGCTGTTCAGGTCTCCGCCATGGTACTTGACCGCCAGCTCCACGAAATCGCCCCACGTCTCGGGCGGGCTCTCCCCGAGCGCAATGGCCGAGTCGAGGACGTGCATGGACGCAAAGTCGGCGTCGAGGGGAACGGCAAAGGTTTTCCCTTCGTAGCTGAGCAGCTTCTCGCGCACCTCAAAGTAGGTGTCGGCGTACCACTCATCCGTGTCGAGTTGTGAGAGTGGCGCGAGGCCGCCGTTCCCAGCCTCCTCAACCAGATCGGGAATGAAGGTCTCCTTTATGGTGACGACGTCAAATCTTCCCTTCCCTGTGACCGTGGCGGTCCCGACGTCGGCGGCCACGGTGTTCTCCCACTCAATATCCGAGCCCTTCCCTTCCTCCGAAGCCACGATGGTGACGTCATCAAAGGCTGCATTGAACTCGTCAATCGCTGCCCACAGAGCGCATCGCTCAGGCTTGAAGCAGAAATGGTCCCTAACCATTAGGCGTACTGTCGTCGCATCGCGCATCTTGCACTGCTCCGCAGGGCAGACGGCGCACGAGAGGGCCGCCATGTGTGAGTTGAGGGCGAAGCAAACGTCCCCGCTATGACGCATCGACGTGCGTCCCAGCACAATCCAATCTCCGGGCAAGCTGAACGAAGGAACTGTAAGCAGCCAGGAGGTGTTGAGCACTTGAGCACTGGATAGGGTCGATTGCCAGGTGTTTACGTAGTAGCATAGCTGCACTAGAGGGGAGCTTGTTGAAGCGCACCCCGCATCACAGGCGGGGAGGGGGTGGGAGGGCAGGGGCAGAGGTGCGGGCTAGAGTACTGTATGCCCGTCCGGGGGAGTGGAGTCTGGAGAGATTATTAATCGCTTTGATTGCTTCAGTACGCTGCTTGCGGCTGGTTGTCGGACAGGTCAGCGGCTGAGGGAGGGTGTAGAGGATGTAGAGTGTAGAGCGCTGTAGAGCTGTAGAGATGTAGAGCGCTCTAGAGCGCTGTAGAGCTGTAGAGCTCTACATCCGCCGCGGGACGAAGTGCCTGCGTTGTAGAGCGATGTAGAGGCGCTCTACAACGTGAAATCTCTACAACAAACTCTACATCATAAACGGCGAACGAGGCACGGTCGCTCTCCGACATGAGGCGCGTTGCACTTGCCAGTGCTGCCCTGGCCTTCTGTCTGCCCGCCCAATGGGTGGGAGGTGCCTCTGCTGCTGTGGCATGCCTCACGGCTGCGACTGGCCGGCGCCTCGGCGCGTCAGCTCGGGTCGGCGTAGCGATAGTGGCCAGCGCAACTCGCCTGGACTCAACGCTCAGCCAGGAGCTCCCGCACGCGCTGGCGCGAGGCATGGCGTATGCAACGCGTCTGAATGCTCGCCTCGCCTCGCGCAAATGCGACCGTCCTCGCAGCCGACAGTCCACCGCCTGCTAAAGAAGCACAGCGATGAATGCGGCACCGGCGACGCACGGCAGGCTGGTCATGACGCAGTTATAGGGTGTTGTGTGTCGTCAGAGTGACTCTCTGTGTGTCAGGGATAGTCAGGGCCGTCCATTAGAGCTCCAGCAAGCTCGGAGACACCCCATTAGTGCGACTCGACCTCTTTGAGTCACTGCCTTCCCGACGGTTTGGCTGTAGAGCCTCTACAACAAACTCTGCAGCAAAATCGCGCTCTACATCGCTCTACAACGCAGGCACTTCGTCCCGCGGCGGATGTAGAGCTCTACAGCTCTACAGCGCTCTACATCTCTACAGCTCTACAGCGCTCTACACTCTACATCCTCTACACCCTCCCTCAGGTCAGCGGAGGCGGGCGTCCCAGGAACGAGATTACACTCCGCACTTTGTGCTCCAAGTACTGTACCCCACCCAGCGGACTACCTTAAAAATGGGGACCCAGGCATGGTGGGCAAGCCATCACTCTTAACGGTGCGGCCTAAGCCTCCGCGCTCGGCACACACACGTCACGTCAGCTCGCGTAGGGGCAGGCTCCCTTCCTTCTGCTGGCTGCAGCCCGCCCTCGTGCAGCAGACGGCTTCGTCGCGGAGCATAACTCATAGCGTCCCTGTGAAGTTACTCAAAAAGAGGCGCCCGGAGGCGCCTCTTTTGGCTCGCCAGCCCTCCGCTCAACGGCCGTCGCGCCTCGTCGTCCTGACTGGTCGCTGGCTGTGCACGCGCGGCCGCACGTGCGCGGACCGGTGCGGGAAGTCGGCTGGCTGCCTGGCCGGCTCGGCCATTTAAATTCCTCTCGCACTCGGCGGCTGCCAAGCGAGCTCAAAGTGCAGATTGGCACGTCGCTCGTGGCCGGAGCGCGTCGCCGCGGAGGCGCAGTTGGCCACCGGCGCGAGCTCAGCGACCCAGGTATTCGCGCTCGGCTAGCAGGCGCCGCTCTGCGAGCGAGCGCGCTAACTCCCATTGCGGCGGAGATGGCTTGTTGTGCGAGTATATGGGCCAAAAGCGTCGAAAATGTCCCAAAAAGCGTGTCTGGAGTTTGTTGCAGCTCCGCAGCCTGCGCGCGCTGCCGGGACGCACCGCTCGCGCGTTCGGCACACTCAGTGGACCCCACCGAGTGTGCCGAACCAACAGGAGTGAGTAGGCTCGACGCCGTACTCGAGATGGAGCTGCAGAAAGTACGCCGCCGAACGTGCCACCGACGGCGTCCTGGCGGAGGTGGTGGAGTTTGAGAACTGAGGCTGCGGAGGTGACGCCTGAGGTACCAGTCCGTGCACAGCGACTCAGCCGGCGACCGCCACGGGCTCAGACGAGACTTGTCGACGCGTTCCGGCTCAGCTTCACCGTGGTCATCGGGCGTCTGTCGACGTCAGGACCACCCATACAGCTCGCGGGTTTGAGGTCGCAAGAGCCAAGATGGTGGCGTTTGGACATCCCAACCATCACACAAGACAGCCTGTAGGTGGTGGCGGGACGGCGCAGTGTTTGTGGCACTCGGCAGTAGGCACCCGCGGCACGGCCCCGCTGTCGGCTCTCGCTGGCTGCGGAACCGGCCCCAGAGGGGGACGGTCCGGGCGAGTGTGGCAGCTCCTGCGCTAGTCTGGGCACCCTCTATCATAGCACTACTGATCCCGGTCATTAGAGCTGCCAGGGATAGCGTCAGGAGCCTATAGGAGTCAAAACCCCTCATATTTGAGACATCGTGGCCCATATACTCGCACAACGAGCCAGATACACACGAGAAACGAAATCGATAACGCGAAATGACGTACGTTCTAGGACGGCCGACTAGAAAATGAAACCTACGCTCGGCAACGAAACCGGAGAGGGAAAATTCCTGGGGTCAGTTTTGCTGCGCTCAAAAACACAAACGAGAATCTTTGTTATCGCCCCCCACTCGCGTGTGCCAGTACTCAGTCTCGCCCCCGACGTCTATGAGAGCTCCCCGGGCAGCGCCATTTTTTTTCTAGACTAGAATCCAGCTGTATGCAGCGCGCGGGCCCGGCCACTGGCCGCCTCTGGCCGCGAGAATCCGAGATGCCGCGTGGGCTCAGTCAGCGAAAAGCTCATCGCCACCATCCATGACTGCATCGTACCGCACCGGCCGCCGGCCAGCAGCATCATCACCGCGACTCTCTGCGCCCTCCCTTCCGCCGCCGCTGCCACCGCCGCCACCGCCGCCGCCTCCGCCGCCGTCACCGTCGCCACCGCCGCCTCCCTCCTCGCCGCCGCCCACCGCCGAGAGCACGACGATGTCTTGCTCGTTGAAAGGCCGGTGCCGCCCACGGCCTCCGCGAGGCGGCGGGTGCGCGTCTCCGACCTGTGAGCGAGAAGAAGAAAGCTGTGAGCACGCGGCGGATGCGCGTCTCCGACACGGGGGTTGCTGTGGGGGCGGGGGAAGGAGGGGGCGCAGAGTGGCGGTGGCGTGCGTACGCGGTGGAGGGCGGAGGGCGGAGGGCGGAGGGGGGAGGGCCTTGCGGAAGGCAAAGGCGAGGTAGGTGTGCGCGACCTCCCACTCCGCCTGTTCACGCAAGGTAACTGCGACCCGGAAGGCGAGGCGAGGGCAGCACCTACCGCTGCCGCCTCGGACAAGGCGCCGTCCCCGTCCGGGAAGACGCGCCTACTCGCAAGCGCGTGCGCCCGAGGTCTCGAGGCAGCACGCAAGCGCGCCCTCTCCCTCCCCCGAGAGCGCTGCTCGCATCCGCTCGAGCAGCGGCCGGTTCCTCTCTGCCTCCGCCGCAAAGAAGTCGCAAAAGTTGTCCGAAGAGACGAGCTCGAGCCTGGCCACACACACCGCAGCGAGGTCTCGAGGCTGCACCGCCCCGCCAGAGACGGCGGCCTGCTGCGGTTGTGCTGCCGCTATCGCTACTCTTGCTGCTGCCACTGTTGCTGCACCGCTATTGCTGCTGCTACTATTGCTGCTGCTACTATTGCTGCTGCTATTGTTGCTGCACCACTATTGCTGCTGCCACTGTTGCTGCTGCTACTCTTGCTGCTGCCACTGTTGCTGCACCGCTATTGCTGCTGCTACTCTTGCTGCTGCTACTCTTGCTGCTGCCACTATTGCTGCTGCCACTATTGCTGCTGCTACTATTGGTGCTGCTACTCTTGCTGCTGCCACTGTTGCTGCACCGCTATTGCTGCTGCCACTATTGCTGCTGCTACTATTGCTGCTACTATTGCTGCTGCTACTATTGCTGCTGCTACTATTGCTGCTGCTACTATCGGCCTCGCCCGTGGGAGGCGGCGAGGGCTCGCAGCGTGCCCATCGGCACGAGGAACTCCCTGCAGTCGTCGACCGCCTCCTGCAGCGTGAAGCGGTACGAGTGGCCGAACGGCTGCGACGGCGGGAAGGCCTTGGAGGCCGCCTCCGGCGGGAAGACAGCCCGGTAGTGCGGGTTGCCAAACGAGAGGCCCTCGCTCGCCCGCAGCCTACAGGCGGGGGGCAGAGGGGGCCTCCCTTCCTCCCGCCGCAGGAGGGAGCCCCCGCGACCGCTCCTTCACCGCCGCACGAGCACGTTGGCGTCCGCCGTCGTGCCGAGAAAGATGCCTCCTGCAGCGGGGCACGCGGCGGGGGCGCGCGTGTCGGGGAGGCGTCGAGGATGAGCCGCGGCGCAGAGGCGGATGGCGCGCCGGGCAGCAGGCGCGAAGACACGTTGGCGAGCAGCGCCGCCGCACGCTCCTCGCTCGAGAAGGAGTAGTGCAGTGCGAACTGGCAAGAGACGAGGTGGAAGAGGAGGCCGGTGGGCAGGGCGGCCGCGAGGGCAGCGTCGGCAAAGTCCGCCGCGTAGAAGAAGGCCTCGAAGGGCATCGGCTGCCGCCCGTGCGCGCCGTTGTAGCGGCCGACCGCGTCGCGGACCGACTCGATGGCGATGTCGACGCCGACGTACCGCGCGCAGCCGCCAACCTTGAACTTGAGCATGTCTCCGCCCTTGCCGCATGCGAGGTCGAGCACGCTCGCGCCGCTGCGCATGTGGCGCGCGATGAGGACCGACTTGATCCAGTTGTGCAGGTTGCGGAGCGTGAGGATGTCTGAGCCGCCCGTCAGCGAGCGGTGGCGGTCGTGGAGCTTGTTGTAGTGCCGCGCCGCCTCCTCTGCCTGGTCCGTGCCTCCCTGCTGGAAGCCGAGCCCGGCCTTGCGCTTTCGGCTGTGCTCGCGCTCCCAGGACTCCTCCATTGCGACGTCTGAGAAGCTCTGTGAAGTACCAGCAAGGCGAAGCTGTCGGCTGCGGGAGCGCGAGTGAGCGGGCGGAGTGGGACAACCGAGGGTTTGGGTTTAAAAAAATTGCAAGTGATCCAAGTTGTCGGGGGATGAGATGGATCAATTAAACACTACAAAACTAGGACTTATAGTAAAGCTGCGATTGCAGCGCTGCTGGTCCGGTCATTGCAACCCTACGCCACGGTGATGCTATGAAAAGATCGTAACGTAGGAAACGGCGCAGCCGCCTCCCACGCGTTCGTCGCGGGATCGTACCGCTCCACCGAGCTGAGGTAGTAGTCGCCGTCGTAGCCGCCCACAGCGTACAGCTTGCCGTCGAGCGCCGCCACGCCGGGCCTGCTCCGTTCCTCCCCCATCGGCGCCACCGCCTCCCACGCGTTTGTAGCCGGATCGTACCGCTCCACCGAGCTGAGGAAGTCGTCGTCGTCGTAGCCTCCCACAGCGTACAGCTTGCCGTCCAGCACTGCCACGCCGTGATTAATCCGCTCCGCCGCCATCGGCGCCACCGCCTCCCACATGTTCGCTGTCGGGTCGTACCGCTCCACCGAGCTGAGACAGTCACCGTCGTTGCCGCAGCCGCCAACAGCGTACAACTTGCCGTCGAGCACCGCCACGGCGTGATTAATCCGCCCCGACGGCATCGGCGCCACCGCCTCCCACGCGTTCGTCGCGGGGTCGTACCGCTCGACTGAGCTGAGGGCCTCGTTCTCGTCGTCGTCGTACCCGCCGATAGCGTAGAGTTTGCCGTCGAGCGCCGCCATGGCGTGATTAGTCCGCGCCTCTGCCATCGGCGCCACCTCCTCCCACGCTTTCGTAGCAAAGTCGTACCGCTCCACCAGGTTGGAAGGTGCGCGGTCGTCCTCATCCTCGCCATCCTCATCCTCGCCGTCAGCCTCACTCTCGCCGCCCACCGCGTAGAGCTTGCCATCGAGCGCCGCCATGCGGACATAGTTTCGTGCCGTCGGCATCGGCGCCACAGCCTCCCCCTCCCACTCATTCGTTGACGGGTCGTACCGCTCCAGCGAGTCGTGGCCGCCGATCACGTGCAGGCGCGGCCTCTCGCGCTTCTTCAGCGTCTCCTTCCAGCCGCGGCGCCACGCGCGGCACGTCCCCTTGGCGGCGTGCTCCTTGGTCGGCAGCTGGGCGAGGATGTGCGGGGCGAGGTCCGGCGAGAGGAGGACCTCGGAGAGGACCCACTCGGGCTGCTCCACGAGCCGTGCGGCGTGCTCCTCCGCCACGCGCAGCGCGGCGTCGCTCGCGCCCGCCTGCGCCTCGATGATGGCGCACAGCTGCTCTGGCGAGAGGCCCGCGACGCGCGCGCCGATGCGGTGGGAGGCCATCGGCCGCAACCAGTGGGCCCCCCAGCGCCAGAGCGGGCAGGCAAGGCAAAAAAAAACACTCGCGCGCTGCTGGAAGCCGAGCCCGGCCTTGCGCTTTCGGCTGTGCTCGCGCTCCCAGGACTCCTCCATTGCGACGTCTGAGAAGCTCTGTGAAGTACCAGCAAGGCGAAGCTGTCGGCTGCGGGACCGGGTCCGGGAGCGCGAGCCGCGTGCGGGCGTCCGGGCGAGGGCTGGGTGAAGCTGTCGGCAGCGGGAGCGAGACCGGAGCGGGAGGGAGTGGGAACAACCGAGGGTTTGGGTTTAAAAAAAACACGAGGTTGTCGGGGGATGAGATGGGAGATGGATCAATTAAACACTACAAAACTAGTACTTATAGTAAAGCTGCGATTGCAGCGCTGCTGGTCCGGTCATTGTCCCTCCTCCTCACCCTCCTCCTGCGAAACACGGCAAGGGGCGGGGCGGTGGTGAAGGAGCGTGCGAGCCAGCACGAACGGGGCACGCTGGCTGCAACGGCGCAGCCTGCGCTCGGGGCGGAACGGGGAGAGGGCTCGCCTGCAAGAAGGGGTTCGCAATCTCCTCGAGCCCGTCGGTCGGGCAGACGAGCATGATGGAGGTGCCGCGACAGACCATCAGGCCCATCGGCCGCGTCTCGTCCAGCAAGCGGTAGGCGTCGGTCGGGTCCTGCGGGCGCGGCGCGCTGGCTCAGCCGAGCGAGAGAGAGGAGAGAACGACGCAGATCGCAAGCGGCGCGGCTCGACGCGCGGCGCGCCTTGAGGTACTCGTGCGCCTCGTCCAGCACCAAGTTGAGCAGCGCGTCGTACCCCTTGAGCACACCGACCACCTGCGCCGGGAGCCAAACCACCGGTGAGCGGGCAGCGAGCGGAGAGACAGGCGCGGCCGTCGCACAGCGCGGCGGTTCGCCTCGCGACCCCCCATGAATTTGACGCGCACGGACTTGTCCACGTACTTGGACATGTCCAGCACGATCGCCTTCTTCTGCGACGCCATCCTGGCACCGGCCGCGGAGGCGAGACTAAAGGAGAAAACTTAGCCCTGGCCGAGAGAGGACGGCACGCCGCAAAATCCTGCAAAGGTGGGGACGTGTCTGTCCTCGACCCAGCCCTAGCTTGGGATGTCCGTTTTATTTATTTATTTATTTATGGCACGCCGCCAGCACACAGGGATTTTAAGGAAAGGAGTGTGGTATAAAATTTTCCATCTTTTGAGAGTGACGTCGAAGATCCTCATCACCAACGTGCCGCACAAGGACGTCCTCTCAAGCTTCCGCAAGAAGTAACGAGCCTGTTCCTTATTTCCAGCGCAGCTCCCGCTCAGTATGTGCGCCAACGACGCCTGTGGTGGCTCACTCACTGTCTTCTTGTTTCCAGTCGTCCCAGTCTCTCAGTTCTCCGAGTCTCCTCCTTGCCTCGCGCATTCACCCATCCAGTGATTTCTTTAGTTTCCCATAAGTAAGGTAGGTAGGTAGGTAGGTAGGTAGGTAGGTAGGGGCAGGGCAGGGGCCGGCCAGCAAAACCAAAAAAGTCACTCCTTGAAAAAGCAGGTCCGCGACACTCACAGCCAGCCTGCGCGTCAGGCTGGTGCGAAGTCCCTCCGCAGCTACAGTGATTCGAAGATACCGTTGACTCGACCCCGTTGACTCGCACGCGCTGTTATGTCCGCCGGCCCTGCGGATCAGCCGCCGCCGGCCTCCGGGGCGCCAGGTCCATCATCTGCCGGCCAAGGCGGCCAGCGGGGCGCGAGCGTGCAGACGCTCGCGCGGCTGTTGATGCTGGGCTGCCGGGAGCGTGCCTTCTACCTGGGTAAGCGCGCCTTCCTCGACACGGAGCAGGGCCGGTCGCAGCTTGCGAAGCGCGCAAGAGGGCGAGGGCCACTGCCGACCCCGCGGCCACGACCGCGGCCGACCGGCTCCCTCTCATCTGTCGCGGCAATCATGAACTTTGATGGCCGGCCGCTAAAGTCCAACGTGGCGCACGTCGCGACGGCTGTCTTCGTCTTCAGGCAGATGAGGCGTGCCCGCCGCCAGTTTGGCGTCACGGTTCCGTCGCCTCAACAGATGCCGGCACCGGCGGCGGCGGCACCGGCGGCGGCGGCGGCGGCGGCGGCGGCGGCGGCGGCGGCGGCGGCGGCGGCGGCGGCGGCGGCAGCCTCGACACAAGCGCCGGCATCAGCGGCGGCGGCGTCAGCGGCGGCGGCAGCAGCGCAGGCACCACCTGCAGCCGCGGCCGCGTCAGCACCGCAGGCGGCGGCGGCGGCGGCGGCGGCGGGAGCGGGCTTCTGGGGCTCCGGAGGGGTCCCCGGAGGGGTGGCCGACAGCGCCTTCCTGGTTGAGGCGGCGAGGGCGAGGGCGATGGCCGACACTGCGACGGCGATGGGGTCGCTGAGCGGCAGCAGAGCGGACTCGCTCGCCATCCACCAGCTGCGCAAGCAGTACGCGGAGCTGCGCGCAGCCTTCCACGGCCAGTGGCTCAGCAAGGAGCAGGAGCGGGCGGCGGAGGGCGCGGTGAGGCTCTCCACCGCACCGCCGCCCGCCGCCGCCACGCCGCCGCCCGCGGGCGTGTCCGGCCCGCCACAGCCTGCCCCTGTCGCGATCGTTGACGAGCCAGGGCCGGCAGCCAAGTCCCCGCCGCCCCGCCCGCCCGCTATGCCGCCGACGCAACGCCTCCCGCTCCCGCTCGAAAGCATGGCAGACGCGGTCGTTGCAGCTGCAGCGGCTGCGCCCGACGGCCGCTCCGCCCGCCCGCCGCCGGCCGACGACGCGCCCGGGCTGACCGGCGCGCAGCTGGCGGTCACGCAGATGCTCGCGGTTGAGCGCGAGGCGGCGGCGGCGGCGGCGGCGGCGATGGCGGTGGCGACGACACGGCCGGCCGGGGAGGCGCCGCCAGGCCCGACGCCAAGCTTGTCGGCGAGCACGCAACGAGCGGGGGCGAGCTCCGCCGCTGGCGGGTTGGCCCATGGTGGACTTCGTGGCACAGGTGGGTCTAACACCGCTCCGCTGTGCGTCCCGACCGAATCTATTTTCTCTAGGACTGTCTGACGAGCACAAGAGTCCAGACCTGGATTGAGATACATGTAACCTCTCCCTCTCATGAACGACAACCGACTCGCCACACCCAGCGCGTGACTCGCGACCAGCTCCATGATGGATCACGGCGAGCCCTGCCCGAAATGTTTCTTTTCGAGCTAGAGCGAGGTTGACTCCTCCCAGTGCGAGGCCCGCCGCCCGTCGACAGAGCGCAGCCTGCCGGCCCGCTCGCTTCCTCGCAGCTAGCCACCCGCACGCGGTCTCCCCACCACGCCCTTGCCACAGCCACGCCGCGTGCTGCCGATTTCCGCGGCCAGCCTCGAGCAGCGGGCACCGACGCCCCTCCCGCCCCGCGCCGCAGCCGCTGCAGCTGAAACGACCGCGTCCGCCATGCTTTCGAGGAGGACGCCCACACGGCTCGCGCTCGCGCTCTTCGCCTGCTGCTGCACCCACGCCGCTGGGCTGCTCGTCGCGCCTGCGGCCCGCGCGGCGTCGCCCGCCCGCGCTGCTGAGCCGCGCATGATGGCCAAGAAGGTGGCGAAGATCATCAAGCTGGCCATTGATGCGGGCAAGGCGAACCCGGCGCCGCCGATCGGGCCGGCGCTCGGCGCGGCGGGCGTCAACATCATGATGTTCTGCAAGGAGTACAATGCTCGCACGCAGGACAAGGCGCGGACAAGCCGCTGCTAGACCGCCGTCTCTCCTCGCGGCGACGCTCCGCCCCGTCCCTCTCCTCGGGGCGTGACCTCGTCCCTGCCCCCTCCCCTCTCCAGATGGGCACCATCGTCCCCGTCGAGATTTCTGTCTACGACGACAAGTGAGCGCCTGTCCCCCGCCGCCGCCGCCGCGCCGCCGCCGCCCTCTCAGCCGGTTCGCCGCGTCGCAGGTCTTTCACGTTCATCATGAAGACGCCGCCCTGCTCCGCGCTGATAAAGAAGGCGGCGAGCGTGCCGAAGGGGTCGGGCACGCCCAACGCCGCGCGCGACGCCAAGATCGCAGGCAGTATCACGATGGCTCAGGTGAGGAGAGAGGGGGGGGGGGTGAGAGTGAGAGAGAGAGAAGGAGAGAGGGGGGGGAGGGGGGGGAGAGTGAGAGAGAGAAGGAGAGAGAGGGGGGGGGCTCCTCGCGGCGAGACGGCGCCTGTGAGCGACGCGAGGCCGCACGGGAGCACGCTCGGCTGTTAGGTGGAGGAGATCGCAAAGGTGAAGCTCCCCGACCTGAACACCAACAAGCTCCAGTCGGCGATGAACACCGTGATGGGCACCTGCGCAAACATGGGGATCGAGGTCAAGGACTGACCTGGCCGCCTCCGAGGCGTGAGGGCGTGGCGATGAGGCTGGTTGGTGGCCGGATGTATTGAGGTCGTGAACAGGTTGACGGAGACTGCGGTTTGCGCCACGACGCAACGCTCTTTTTTTTAGTCCAGGGGGCAGCGCGTCTATCATCCTCTCAGCTGTCCGTGGCCCGTGTCCGGCGCTCGGTATGGAACGTACAAAATCGTGCGTCTCCATCGCAGTCGACCTCCCCCGAGGTGCGGATGTTGACACTGGGGCTGTCGATGCTGCCCAAGCGACTCCAACGCTAGTGCGGACACGGACCCCACTAACCACGCCGCGCGTTATAGTTCGTACATGGCTGGGCACTTCCATCTTTCTACTCGAGTAGCTTCTAGGTGGGGAGGAACACCTGTGACCTGACCGGGTTCATGAGAGAGATTTGTTTGTGATTGTGTAGTTCATGTGGCCAGACGGTCAACAACTCGGTTCTCACAGCCCACTCACGGCCCATTCTCACGCAGTGGAAGTTGAAGATGGCCGCGCCCTCTCTCTCAGTGGAAGTTGAAGATCTTCCCTCTTTTGCCGTTTTGTGCGCGAAAAGAAAGAAGCCGGCCCGCGCTCCCGCGCGCGCTTTCCGGTCTTCCCTCCCACCCACGCGCGCGCCTCATGCCCGGCCGAACCGGCGCTGGCAAAGGGCGCGGACACGCTTCAACGACGCCACAGGGTGCGTCGCTCGCGCTGTCGAAAAAGATCGAGGCGGCGGCGGTGAACGGCAAGGCGGGCGTGGTGCAGACGTGGCTCGCCGGGGACGGGCGGGTTGATGCGACGTGCGTGCGTGGAAGTGTGAGTGGCTGGACGCTCCTGCTGATCGCCGCCGGCAACGGTCACAAGCAGCTGCTCGAGGTTCTGCTGAAGCGGGGCGCGAAGCCTGACGCGCAAAACAGCAAAGGCGATGCGGCCCTGATGGCCGCCGCCTTCTCGGGCCACGTGCAGGTGGTCGAGACGCTTCTGCAGCACGGCGCGGAGATCAACCTGCAGAACAGTGAAGGTTGCACTGCGCTAACGTTGGCCGCCCACCAAGGCCACGAGCGCGTGGTCGACTTGCTTCTGCGGCACGGCGCAGAGGTCGACCTGCAGGACGGCGACGGCCACACCGCGCTCGTGAGCGCCGCCTCCCACGGCCGCCCTGTCGTCGTGCTCCAGTTGCTGCGAGCGGGCGCAGACATGGCGCTGCGCACTGCGCCGGGCAAGACGGCGCTGCAGATCGCCAAAGAGAAGGGCCACACCGAGTGCGTCGCGGCCGTCAAGACGTTTATCGGCGAGGTGGCGGCGGAGAGGCGCGACGCGGCGGCGGTCGAGGCGGGCGGGGCGGGGACAGGCAGCGCTTCGGGCGGCAGCAGCGGGCCTGTTCCCGAGGAGATCGGCGAGGCGGGCGGCGCAGGGGCGGACGGCGATGCCGCCTCGGGCAAGGGGGCAGCGGCGGCACCAACTGCCGCGTCCTCTTCTGGCGGCGTGGAGAGCGGAATGGGCGAGGACGCCGTCCCCGAGGAGATCGCGGACGCGGCTGAGCAAGGCTTCGAGGCGGTGCTGGCGTGGCTCGACGGCGGCGGGCGGGTGGACGCGACCTTCACTCGTGAGGGTCAGAGCGGCTTTACGCTGCTGATGTACGCTGCCTTCTACGGCCACGAGCGGCTGGCCGCGGCGCTGCTGCAGCGTGGCGCTTCGATCGACCTTCGGAACAGCCGCGGCGTCACCGCGCTGATGGGCGCCGCCCTCCTGGGCCACGAGCGGGTGGTCGAGCTGCTGCTGCGGCACGGGGCGGAGATCGACCAGAAGGAGATTGCCGGCCGCACCGCGCTGATGGCCGCCGCTGTCAAGGACCACCCCGCCGCTGTCCGATGCCTGCTGCGGGCGGGCGCCGACACGGAACTGCGCTCGGCGACTGGCTGCACAGCGCTGCAGATTGCCAAGGAGAAGGGCCACACCGAGTGCGTGCGCGCCCTCGAGGAGCATGCGGCGGCCGAGAAGGCGGCAGAGAAGGCGGCGAAGGAGGCGGCGTGGGCTGCGGAGGCGGCGGAGAGGGCAGCGGAGCGGGCGGCGGCGGAGGCAGAGGCGGCGAGGCACGCCGACGAGCTGCTGGCGGAGGTCGAGGCAGAGAAGCGCGGCAAGGGCAAGAAGGGGAAGAAGAAGAAGAAGGGCGGCGGGGGCGGCGGCGCTGGGCCGTCGCAGGAGTCCGAGGCGCCGTCAGAGGCAGACGCAGCCAAGCCCGCGAAGCTGGACAGGGAGGGGTTGATCAGGCTTCTCGAGACGCTCCACGAGGAGCGGATTCGGTACGGCATCACGGCGGAGACGTCGGTCGCGGGATTGGCGGAGGCGTTGGGAGAGGAGGCCGAGGCGGCGAGTGAGGGAAGCGAGGAGGAGGCGGCGGAGGCGGGTGAGGAGGCAGCCTTGGTGGCAGCGGAGGCGCGCCGGGAGGCTGAAGCCGAGGCCGACGCTCTGGCAGCGGCAGAGGAGGAGGCGGCCGCCGCGGCTGCGGCGGCTGCGGCGGCGGCTGCGGCGGCGGCGGCAGAGGCGGCGGAGGCGGCGGAGGCGGCACTGGCTGCCGTCAAGGCGAGGCGCGTGTCAGCGGCCGCTGCGAGGGCCAAGGCGGATGCAGACTAGCCGCGCGCAAAGGACAGCAATCAAGTACAGTACTGCTATTGGCGCCGGCGGCGCACGGATCTTGTTGCAGCATTGTGGGAGGACGGTGGGGAGGACTTTTGTGGGAGGGGTGGAGCTCGCGCTGTCCCGTGGTCTTGCACATGTTTATTGTGTGTAGCCCTGGTCGGTGCGAGTTGAAACGCGTATCGCGTTCTCTCACGGTGTGACCCAAAATGGCCAGCTCAGAGGCACCCCCGGAGGCAGGCCGCGCCGCGCATCCAGCAGGCTGCGCCACAATCAGGAGCCCCTCGCGGGCGCGAGGGAGGAGCGGCGGCGCGGGGAGCAGGAGACGAGACCGATCGGGTCGGGCCAGGAGAGTTGGAGGCGGTGAGCGCGGGACTGGCGGAGAAGCCGTATGTTTTATGGTGTCGTCCTTTCTCCTGTGCAGTGATTTGTTCTCAATGGCGCAGGCACGCATCTCCGCCTCTCCCACCCCCCGTCCCGCGATCCGCGCACGCACCACTGCACGCACGCGCGCAGTCTGACTGGCTGGAGTCGAACGTGGAACGCATCTCGAAGGACGACCTGACGGAGACGCCCACAACGGCAGACGCGCTCGAGGGTCAGCCCAAGACCAACACAAAGGCATACACGGTGACCGACGGTACCGAGAAGGCCACGGGGTCCGACATCGCGTACAAGCTCTCGCACCTGCTCGCCCTCGTCGTGGCCGGCGTGATCGCCCTGCTCGCCTCCGCCGCTCTTGCCGACGGTGCGCCGCCGCCACGTTGTCCCGCCGCCCCGCCTCTCTCTCACCACACCGCCGCCCTCGCCCGCAGGCCGGTCGGTCATCAAGCTCAAGGACACCTCCAACCTGCCCCGCCTCACTGCACTCACGGCGACCCTGGACGGCGAAACGATCAACCTCAAGGATCACGGCCTCGACTACCGCGCCGACGAGCTTCTCGGGCCGCAGTACGGCGTCGGCCTGCACCACGACTCGTCGGGCTACGGCTGGGGCAAGGCGGGCGCCCGCGAGACCCTGCAGGAGTACATCGACGAGCTCGGCCTCCTCCAGGTCATTGCCGCCGTGCCGAGCGTCGTCGCGACCGACGGTGCGCCGAATGCACGGCCGCCGCCGCGGGCGCGCGACCAACAACCCCGCCCTCTATCGTCCGCTGTCCCGCACCAGGCCTCAAGCACCCGGCGCACTTCCTCCAGTGCACCGAGCTCAAGAAGGCGGGCTTCTCGGCCATGTCCCTCGCCATCATCGCCGAGGTTGCCTCCGCCGTGATGATCATTTTCCACTGACTGGCGCTCGTCGGCCTGCTCCCGCTCTCCGCAAAGCTCGCCAAGGGCTTCGCCGGCCTCATCTGGTTCACCCTCACCGCGGGCTTCCTCATTGGCGCGCCGCCAAGCCCCTCCCCCCAACCGCCAGCACCCCCCCCCCCCCCCTCCCCCTCCCCCCTCCCTCAACGGCGCGCCGCCAGCACACCTCCCTCCCCTCACCCCCCCTCCTCCCCCCCCAGTCGTGTGCCTCGCGATCGGCGTGTACGAGACGGAGTGGACGTGCAACAACGACTTCGTCCCTGGGCTGAGCTCTCCGTCGGCGTCACCACCGCCCTTCTTGCCCTCTTTCTTCCCACCTTTCTTCTTTGGCGCCATGCAAAACCCCAAAAGGAACGACGCGGAGCGCAGCTGCCCGTGTAGTCCGCGCGAAACGTCCGCGCGATTGATATTTCTTTTTTGAGCTATTTCTTTTGTAATAGTGCTAGCACGCGCCAGTCCGCCGAGCCTGTCTGCTGTGAGTTATTTTAGTTACATTCTTTTACGACACTGGGCTCGGGTTGGCCGCTTTGTGTATCTCGAGACCTCGAGAGAATCGGCTTATCTGTTTTCACGGCTGAGTGGGTGGCGTTTTGGCCGGCGCCAAGGGTGTGGGGAGGGAACGGGAAAAACGGACGTGACCAGCTACCACACCTACGAGGCTGATCCGGGCGTAACGCCAGCACAGCGAGGCGCCCACGTAGCCGTCCGAAGTCGCGTCAGGTTCGCTCGACACGCTAGCGGAGCGGTTGGCGAGGCTAGTGGTGGCCATAGTCTGGTCCCCTAGGGGGTCGATGGGTCGGCCCGCGCCCTCCTTCCCAAGCCGCGCCGGCCGTCGCGCGCGCCGCTTCGGCGTCGGGCCCGAATCCAGAGCTGTGGCTAGGAGGGCGATGCGAGCCGAGCCATCGACCCACCTACCGTCTCGTACACCGCATGCCACGCACTTCTGCACGTCGCGACAGCCGCGTCGTGCAAATCCCACGTGACTTCACCCCATTGCGCGCGGCGCAGATAGCGAAAATGACCAACGCGCCCTCTTCTGCCTCTGACGACGACCGCGCGTGGCGCACCTCGGCTGCTCGCCGACGGTGAAGCAGAACAGCAACTCAGGCCGGTGGTACATCGAGTGCCTCTACCGCAAGTCGAAGACGCACGTCAAGATGTCGCTCAACAGCCTACGCTCCAGAGGTGGGTCGCCCGCTCCACGAACCCTCCCTACGGCGCGGCCCCCTTCGAGCCGCGAAACTTTGGCACGCAGGCCGCAGCGCTGGCGGCAGCTCCACGCTTCATAGAGTGGATCGTTGACGGCTTCGCCAACCTGGGCTCTGGCGGCAGCACCTCCACCCCGATGGACGCTGGACGCGCTGTCCTCTGGCGGTGTGTGTCGTAGGGTACTGCTATAACTGCTTCATGTACTTGCGCGCGCACGCACATGGGGCGCACGACGGATCATTCCGCGCCTGTGGGAGCGCTGGCCGTGCACGGCACATGGGGTCGGTGTGTGTGCGCTCGCGAGAGAGAGATGGGTGTGTGTCCTTGACACTCTCGCTCCGGGTGCCTCGAGCGAGAGAGGAGGGGGAGACGCCGCGCTGGGTATTAATCAGAGTGTTAGTCAAATAATCCTCGCACACCACGACTCGCGCATAAACCACGACTCGACCCACAGGGAGAGTGCGTGCGCTGCGACGGACCCAGCCGGCACCGGCAGTGCGGACACAGTGCGAGACTGCGAGTCGTGCGATGACTACCGACGCACAAGCACACCACGCGACGTAGTCTGCAACACCGCGCGGCTGGACACCACACACTTCACCGGCAGGACTCACTGGGTCGGACGCACGCGCCGGTGCAGCGGAACCGAAGATACCGAGAAGCCCGCCCGAAGCCCCGAACCATGTGCTGTGGTCGCTGCCACGCCAACCGCGCGGCCGGCCCGGGCGCAGGCCGTGACGACTGATCGCGGCGGCAGCGCCGCGCGCCCTCGTGCAGCGGTGCGCGCCGCTCGCGCCGCGCCAAGGGAGGTCTTCAGCCTGCGGCACGCTCGCCCGCAGCGCTGCCGGGCGTGCCCATCAAAATGCGCCGCCGCTGGACGTCTCCGCCGCCTCCAAGGCGACCGACGCCACGAGTGATATGCGTGACGCCACCGTGAGACGTCTGGACGGCTCGCTGCGACCTCAAGGCCAGCCTCGCCGCCCGCCGTGAGCGCCAAAAAAGCGTCAACCGCGCAACCGCGCAACCGAGAGAGAGCGACTGAGACGCTTCAGCGACCGGCCAGGAGCCGGGCCGAGGTCTGTCCGAAGCCGCATGCCGCTCGAGTCGGTCGCCCGGGGCACCCTGGGAGGCGCCCGTCGAAGCCAAAGCTGTGCTGGGGACACGGCCGGATCAGCCTCGTACCCGCACGGAATTTGGTGGGCTCGAGCTGCACAAGGGGAAGTGGGCTCCCGCCTCGGGAGGGAGTTTCCTTGAAACTCTTTTTCACAGACATTGTTATTCGGAGAAGAAGTACCGCCACAGCGCGCTGGTCTATAAGGTTCCACCGTGCCGATGTACCCGTGTCTCGTGTGTCTGCATGCATCAACAGAGGACAAGCCACGACCTCTGTGGGTGTCAGAGACCTCGGCGAAGATCGTTCAGCCACCCGAGCCAAGAGCCACCGGAGTCTCCCCCTCCTCTCCCCTCGAGCCACCTCTCCCCGTCCTTGCCCCACATGCGCACCTGAGAGTAGAGGCTGCGCGCCTCGTCCGCCGCCAGAGCGCCGTCCCCGCCAGAGCCGGCCGCCGGCAGCGCCTCGATACTCCGCGCCAAGCCCGCCAGCTTGAGCAACGAGCGCTCCGCCTCCGCCTCCCCATCGCCCGCGGCCCGCACGAGAGCCGCGAGCAGCGCCTCCACCTCCTCCGGTGGATAATTGTCGAAGGCCGCCAGCATCTGCTCGAACACGCGCCCCTCAAGCGCGTCGCTCCAGGAGCCGGTCTCCTCGGCGCCCCGCGGAGCCGAGACCACGTCGAAGCGAAATCCGCCGGCTGCCTCCTCTGCCAACACCGCCGCTTTGGCCTCTGCCGACGCCGCTGCTTCCTCTGCCACCAGCCTCTCCGCTGCTGCCTCCGCCTCCTCTGCCGCTGCCATTTCCGCCTCCCTCCTCTCTCTCGCCACCCGCGCCGCCTCCTCCGCCTCCTCCGCCTCCTCCGCCTCCGCGGCCGCCTCTGCGACCGCTTCGGCGGCCGCCTCCCTCTCCGCCGCCCTCTCCCGCTCCTTTTGCAGCTCCCTCTCGCGCTCCGCCGCGAGCCCGCGTGCGTACCAGTCGTCCTGGTCGAGGTAGCGGTCGTAGCCGCCCTCGTCCTGAGTCACGTCCGCCCGCCGGCTCGTCTCGACGCGCAGCTCCAGAGACAGCTCCGCCGCCTCGCCGTACCGCTCCTCGTCCACCGCGCGACGCAACGCGGCGAGCAGCTGCCCGCGGCGGCTGCTGCCAGCCTCGAGCGCCGCGGCGGCGCCGACGTCGCCCTCCTCGAGGGCGCGCCGCATCGCGAGGCGTCGGCGCACGTCCTCGTCGAGGAGAGGCTCGAGCAGCTGGGTCAGGGCCTGCAGGAGGGGGGGAGACACGGCTCAGGAAAGCCTCCTCAGGAAAGGCTCCCCGCGTCGAGCGGCTCTTCCCCACCTCGTTGGTCGCCTCTCGCCTCCGAGGCAGCCGCAGCCCCGCCCGCAGCGCCGAGCGGGCCTTGTCCTCGAGCGAGAGGGAGAGGAGCTCGTCCGCAGAACTGATCTCCCAAGGCAGCGGCGGGGGAGGGCGCCGCTCGCCCTCCCCTCCCTCCTCTCCCTCAGCCCTCTCCGCCGTGCGCGGCATCACCTCGAGCCGCATCTTGCCGCGCTGCTCGCTGTACCGCGGAGCAGTCCGGCCGCCTTCCCACACGCGAGCGTCGACCAGCACGCGACAGCCGAGCGCCAGCGCCACGCCGAGCGCCTCGTCGGCGGTGCACTCGCACAGCGTCGCGTCCTCCGCCAGCTCGGGCAGCGAGGCCTCGCCCTGCCAGCCCTCGTCGCCGAGCCCCTCGGCCTCGTCCTTGGCCCGCCAGCGCGCGTCTTGGGCGGGCGGCGGGCCGGCGCCCGCCGCGAAGCTCCCCGAGTCGCGTGCCATCGGCAGCCGCCGCTCGAGCACGAGCGCTCCGCCCACCACGAGCGAGTCGCCCAGCAGGGCGGTGTCCTCCAGCACCACGCACGCGATGTCGGCGCAAGCGTCGCGACGCGCCATGTCGACGAGGAGGTGGTAGGCAGAGCGATAGCCCTCGCGCGGGTAGCCGCGGCCCGAGCAGCGAGCAAAGGCGTCTCGCTTGGCCTGCGGCGCCGGGTTCCAGGCCGCAAACGGCAGATTGTCAAAGAGGCCGCCATCGCGGCCGGCGGTGGCCTGAGCCTGGAGAAGCACCTCGACCATTGATGGGCGTGCTGCATTGAGGGCCTGCTCGCACGCCATCACCGCGTCGGCAGGAATGGGAACCGGAAGGACCGGTCCCTCGCGTGTCTCGGAGAGGAATAGCGCAGGCGCCGCCGCGCAGCGGCCGAGGCCGGCGAACCGGAGAGGGACAAAGTCGGAGAGGCGGATGGGCACCGCCGCGGCAGATGGGAGCGAGAGGAGGAGCATGCACATGCACGTGGGGAGGTCGAGAAGGCGGCGGTCCACGCGTGCTTGCAGTCACTCAGTCAGCAGTCAGTCTCCGTGCAAATGCGACCCGTCGAGACCATCAACTGTGGCACGGGCTGTGGCGCCACACTTCGACTGCTCGCAGGCTGGATAGCTGCTCGTTCTCAGGGAGGGGCGTAGTCCCGTTCACATAAACGCACAACTCCGGACCCAAGACGCACAAGCACAGACAGTCGAGAAGGGGGAGAGACAGCAACGACAGTCAGAAGTCAGCGCTGGGTCCCAGGAAGGCGAATGCGATGACGGCCTCTAGTGTGAGCTCTAGCTAGTGAGCTCATACGCACGCCGGCAGATCGCGACTATATATATACAGCTAGTTAAGAGCCGACCGACCCTCGCGTCCGGTGCTCACCGACGGCCGGGCGGGCCGCCCGCCCACGCGCCGCCTACGCGCAGCGCGTGCGCCGCAAACTCGCCCGCCGACAGCGCTGGCCAGTCTCCATCGGCCGTCGCGAGAGGCCTGCCCGGCTGTCGCCGCGGGGCCCCCACGAACACCACGCGTCGGATGCGGTGCCGCGCGAACTCGCGCGCAAAGTGCACGCCCCACGCCCGCCGCAGCGTCGTAGCGAAGTAGGACCGCGCCTCCTTCGCGCTACGCGCGCCGATCCGCCTCCAGTGCTGCTTGGATGCCGACTCCACCACACAGTCGAACAGCTGGTGCAGGTCGTCCGACGCCTCCGCGTAGGCCCCGACAACGAGGCTGCGCACGGTGCCAAACGAGCGCAGCACGGAGGAAACGGCGTCCCTCGAGCCGTTGTTCCATGCCTGCACGTGCGGCTTGGCATCGAGCGCCGCCGCCCGCGCCTCGTAGTCGCGCTGGACAAGGTTCGCCCTGTCGGCGACAGCGCCGCCCTGGCCATCGTCGCGCGCCCGAGCGCTCATGTAGTGAGGCCCGCCGCGGTGGATGGTCTTGCCCTCGAGGAGGTGCTCCGCCGGCGGCTGCTCGGGCCCGCGCTGCACTGTCGTGCCGCGCCACCGGACAGACGGATGCGCCTGGCCTCGTGTGCCCGTGCAGCGCGCCGTGCGGGACTCGCGCAGCTTGCAGTGCAGGCGCCCATCCGGCACGATGCCGTTCTTGCCGCGCGTGCCAGCTGTGCCGTTGAGTGTGACAGGCGGGATGACGGCGCTGAAGATCTCGCGCGGTTCCTCCTTGCCGCGCAGCCCCGCGTGCAGCGCATCACCGATCACGCGTGAGAAGATGTCGTCGTGGCAGTTGCCGTGGGCGCGGTCGTTGAGCGTCGCCAAGCCCAGCTGGACGCCAAAGGCATCGCAGACTCGAGGAGGGCCGCGGCCGGAGCAGGCGATGCTCTTGCCCACGAGCGCGCGCACGGCTGGGCTCTCCCGGCCGAGGTAGGTGCAGAAGATCTCGCGGAACTCGCGCGCCTCGCACCGGTTCTGAGCCGAGGGCCATGAGCTCACCCACGCGGACGAGAACGAGTCGACGGCCAGCCACGCCTCCCGCCGCGTGTCGCCGTGCGGCAGCCCGAGGATGCTGCGGCTGAGCTGGTTGCGCTTGACCTGCTCCCGCTGCTGCGTCAGCTGCCGCTGTAGCCCAGCGCTGCCGGCCCGCCCGTTGCCAGCCTCGGGAGCCCGGACATCGAGAGGTCCCGCCACGCCCTCGCCGCGGACCTCTCGCTGCATGCCCTCCCACGCCTTCTTGAAGGACTCGCCCGTCGGCGTCAGCTGCCCCAGCTGCGCGCCGAGCGGGTTGACGTTGGTGGTGCAGCCCGAGAGGAAGCGCGAGAGGCGAGGGCTGTTCGGGTACGGCAACTCGAAGGCGCCGTGGCCGAAGAGCGGAGCGAGCATCTGGAAGAAGCCGCGCTCTCTGCCGCCGCCGGGCGTCGACCTGTCGAGGAACCTCTCGGCCGCCTCGACAAAGCAGGCGCAGAACGCAGCCGGCGCCACCTCCTCGAGCGAGCGCAGGCCGAGGCCGCGCATCCGCGCAGGCAGGCGAGCCCGCCGCGCGGTGATGGCGTCGCCGAGCACGCCCTCGTAGCCGCACGCCTCAGCGGCACGGGTGAGCGCAGCGTCGACGACGCGAGCGTGGGACACCGTCTTGTCGGGAGGGAGGTGCCGAAGGATGAAGTCGAACTTGGCGGAGCAGGAGTAGTAGATGGCGGCCCACAGCGCGTGGGGGCTCGCAGCACGTAGCGAAAGAACTGTCTTGTCGATGTAGCTCACGATACTGCTCACCTGGGCGCGTAACCACGCATCCACAAACCCTGCCTCCCCCATTGGGCAGCCCGCGACCATCACGCCTCGGTACGTCCGCGACCCGCCATCCTCCTCCGGCACCAGCACCATGCCGACTGGCGCGCCCAACGCCTCCCGCCACGGGCAGTGCGAGAGGTTGTACTCGGGAGAGAAGCACTCGAGCTTCGAGACCTGCATCTCGAGGTTGAGCGACGCCTTGACCGCCTCGCCAAAGCGCTTGACCGCCGGGAACACGGCGGCCGCCGGTCCTAGCGCGAAGATGTCGTCCATCTCCGCCCAAGCCCCGCCACCGAACGGCCTCAGCTCGGCGTCGAGGGCAGCCAGCTCCGGCTGGATGGCGATGCAGAAGGCGCCGCTCGATGGAGGCCCGCCCTGCTGCGTGCCGGTCGCCGAGTCGCCGCCACGCGACGTCTCAGCGCGGCACGTCTGCCCCTCGAGGTGGTGCTGCTCAAAGAGCCGCGTCCGCTGGGGCCCGACGAGCAGGCTCGTCGCGGACATGAGCGTCGCGTGAAGAAGCGGCATGAACGGCGCCAGCTCCGGCACCTCCGAGCAGCGGCGGAGAAGCGCCGACCGATCGATCTCGTTGTACGCGTTTTTGAGGTCGATCTTGACGAGCACAAAGTCGCCTCGCTGCTCGAGCAAGATGCGGATCCCGTTGATCATGATCGAGATTCCGCCCGAGACTCCTACCGCCACCTGCTGTGGCGCGAGCACGTCCGCCATCGCCGGGGCCACGCTGGCAGTCACCGAGGTGAGGATGGACCGCAGGGTGACCTCGCCCACCGCCACTGGCCGCACGTCAGGCTGTCGCATGGCCTCCACGTCGGCCTGCGTGACCGCCTTCTTGACGAGAGGCATCAACGAGGCGATCGAGGCGGCGCCGTAGAACCAGGTCGGCAAGTCCCCGCTGGCGAGCTCCGAGGCGAAGGCATCGTACTTCTGCATGACGCTGTCGGCCTTGGCGTCGTCGAAGGAGTGGGTGAGCACCCTGAGGTACTCGTTGCGGTTGCCCGAAGGCCCGGTGCCCGCGCGCCGCCGCAGCTTGCGGAACGTCTCGGTGAGGCTCACCCGCACCGCCGGGACCTGCACGGGCAGGTCGTGCGGGACGGGGCGATCGCGCTCCGGGTGCTTCCTGCGCAGCTGCAGGAGCACGGAGGCCGAGAGGTCGGCAATGCCCAGCGAGTGAAGCATCCGCATCGCGCGAGAGATCTCGCCGTCCGCGAAGAGCGCGAGCGCCGCGGACACCGCTGCCGAGCGCTCTCGCTCCGTCCGCTCCTCGAAGCTCTCGCGGCGATGCGCGCTCCGACGCCGAGCCGACCACGCTCTGGTGCGATCGGCCTCCCAGGCGCAGAGGAGGGCGGCCCGCTCGCCGTTGCGCCACCGCTGGAAGCGCAGGGCGAGAGACGTCGACACGTCGATGGAGCGACCGCCGCCCCGAGAGGTGCGCGCCGGCCCTCGCAGGAGCACGTCATGCAGACATAGTTGCCACTTGAGCCCGCGCTCGAGCGCCAGCTCATCGCCCGAGCTCTTGGCAGCCTGAATGAAGTCGAAGACGTCGACATTGGCTCTCGCCCACTCGCCTCGCAGCGAATCCGGTACCTCGAGAACGTGACTGCACGGGGAGACGGCGCACTGGAAGGCGCTGTGCGCGTCAATGCACTCCCACTCGCCTCCCGGCGGCACCGCCGGTGGCGCCCTCGCATCAGGGAGGCTCACCTTCTCCGCCGCCGGCGGGAGGGCGTCCCATGCGGCCTGGCGCGTGGCGTCCGCGTCTGCCCGCGTTTTGGCCGCATGGCACGCCGCCGAGCGGCCGGCCGCCGCCTCGACGAAGGCCTGGTCGGCCTCCGAGACCTGTGCTTTACACAGCGGGCAGTCCGGTGGGGCCTGCTGGTTTGACCGAGCTCCAAAGGCGCTCCGCAAGCAGCCCGCACAGAAAGCGTGGGTGTGGTGACAGCCAAGCTGGCAGATGGTCGCCGTCTCTTCCACCTCGGAGAAGTCACAGAGGCAGATCCCGCATCTACTCTCGAAGAGCAGTTGCCGGTTCTCCTCTTGCCGCAGGAGCTGGTGCTCGATGTGAAGCCGGAGCCTCTGGCTCCGAGCTTCTTCTTCGAGCACCTCGAGGTAGGACATGGTCGTCCCATCCTCCAGCGGCCGCCCCTCCGCCTCCTCCAACCACCAGCTGTCTGCGGCCCCGTCCGATTGGGGGGGCATCCACTCGCCCTCAGCCTGCGATTGAGCCGCCGCCTCGGCTGCTGCAGCCTCCGCCGCCGCTGCAGCCAGCCGCTCTTCCGCCGCCAGCTGCGACTCAGCGATCCGCGCCAGCCTCTGCAGCCGAGTAGCAGCTGACTCAGCCGGCAGGGAAGGAGCAGCAGACTCAACAGCCTCACGAGCCTGGCTGGCTTGAAGGCGCTGCGAGCGGCGGTAAAGTTGGTCAGTGTTGCTGTCCTCTGTATCACCGCCGCCGCTGCCACCGCCGCCGCCGCTGCCACCGCCGCCGCCGCTGCCACCGCCGCCGCCGCTGCCACCGCCGCCGCCGCTGCCACCGCCGCCGCCGCTGCCACCGCCGCCGCCGCTGCCACCGCCGCCGCCGCTGCCACCGCCGCCGCCGACGCCACCGCCGCCGCCGACGCCACCATCGCCACTGCCGTCGTCGCCGTCGAAGCTGCGACCACCGCTGGAGCCATCAGAGCTGCCACCTCCAGAGCTCCTAGAGCTCCGAAGGCGGCGAGGGCCGCTGGCTCCACGTCGGCCATCGCCACCACCTCCCCGCTCACCGCTGCGACGTGACATCGCGATATGCGAGGTCACGTGCGCAGCGGCGCTCAGTTAGGTTGGTTGCGTCCGCTGGCTAAGCTTGGTTCGCGGTGGCGGGCGCCATGGCGACTGCACGATGGCAGGTAGGACGCACGTCTCGTTCACAGCCTTGTTATTGAGAAGAAAATACGTCCTATGGCGCTGTGCGCTGGCCTGTGAGAGGTTGAGGTGCGAGCCCTGGAGGCCCTGGGGATGGGGGGGGACTACCCGCGGGCTTAGAAGGCCCGCGCGCAGGGGGGTGGGGCATTGAGACCGGTCATGAATGAGTGCGCGACACGCATGTTGCGAGCAGCGTTGTTGATGTTTTGCGCATCGCCACTGACGGCGGCGCGCGAGAGCTGTTGCGAGTGGTGTTGGGCTAGCCTTCACACCCCCTCACTTAGGCATGAGCGCCCGAAACTTAAACGGCGGGCGCTTGACGAACCCGAGGGGGGGGGCGGGGGCAGCAACGGCTGCGGCCCCGAGAGTCGAATCGACAACTCATAGTTCGAACTGGCGGCTCATAATGAAACTTGCTGAAATCGCCCTGTGGGGGCGGCAGCGGCGACCGCCCCGGGGGCGGCAGCGGTGACCGCCCCGGGGAATATGTTTAGCGACTCCCACCCCCAAGGAAGTTCTGATAGACATGTCCAGGACTCTGTAGGAGTTCAAGCGCAAGAACAAGAAGGACCTCACCGGCAACCCGCGCTCCATGCGCCGCCTCCGCACCGCCTGCGAGCGCGCCAAGCGCACGCTCTCCTCATCGACGCAGACGTCAATCGAGATTGACTCGCTCTTCGAGGGCATCGACTTCTTCTCGTCCATCACGCGCGCGCGCTTCGAGGAGCTCTGCATGGACCTCTTCCGCTCCACCATGGAGCCGGTCGAGAAGTGCCTCCGCGACTCGAAGATGTCCAAGGGCGGCGAGGTGCAGGTTTGGGGCCCAAGTCGTGGCCAAAATCAAAATTATTTGGTCCCAAATTCCTCATCGCCACCATTATCTGAGAACTCGTCAATGGACTTATCCACCCCCTCTCCAGCGGAGTCGTTTGAGTCGCTGCGCTTGTCATCGTCTGGTTCGCGCTTGTCGTCCTCATCTGGGTCGCGCTCAGATGCCAGCGGTGATCCTTTGTACTGTTCAAGACTTTGCTCGTAGGGATGAAGAGGGATGATCGGCGAGGACGGCCGCGGCACGGGCTTAAGAGGGAGGTCCTCTTCTTCTTCATCTTCAGAGGGCGGCGGCGAGGGCGGCCGCGGCACGGGCTTGGGGATCGGAGTCCGTCTACCTCTGTCGCTTGGTAAGTGTACACGAATGATGTCGGGATCGTCCGCGGAAGGCGTCTCACTCTCGCGTGAGCCGCCACGCACCTTCACCGAGCTCGAAGGTGCTGACGAGGTTGAGGCGGTAGCCGCTGGCCTCGCCGGCGCCGGCCTCGCCGGCGCCGGCGCTGGCCTCGCCGGCGCTGGCCTCGCCGGTGCCGGTTGTGTTGTCCTAAGCTGCTCTATCTGCCTTTCCAAAGCGTGGACATGTCCGACGAGACGGTCAGCCCGGCTACGAGCCCCAATAAGCTCGAGCTGCAGTTGCTCTCCTTCGGATTTGCGATTATATCGCTTTCGATCCATCATTCAAAAATCACCATTTCCCCCACTATTTCCAGCCTCACATGGACATAGTGTGCGAAAGCTACCGCCGCACCCACGGCAGGCCGCTAGCGTGGGGAAGCGCTCCGTCCCGAGCGACTCGAGAGGGACCCCCACCGCTTGCCAGTGGTGTGTCACTTGTTCTTGTATTGCCCGTTCGTGCTTTTGGCCACCCGGGTCAAACCATCCGCTCAGAGGGCACCCACCTCCCTCCATCCCGAGCAGCGCTCCCGCCATTTCGAGAAGGTATCAGACACGCCTCTCATACTGTAGAGCCGTACGATACCGTACAGAGAGCCTCACGACCGCACCCCCCTGTATATGACCTACCGCACCCGTACCCGGCTACCGCCGCCGCGTGCGACGTACGTGGCGCCGCTGGCCATCCCGGCTGCTGCCGCCGCCCCTCTCGACGCCGCTCCCCTCGCCGCCGGTATCGACCGCGCCGCCGACGTTGGTCGCGCTGGACGGCAGCGCGTCCCCAGTCTCGCCGTCGCTCTTCTCGCCGTCGCTCGCCTCGCCGCTGGTATTAGGGTCCGCGCTGCCGGCGCCGAGCGTCACCTGCCTCCACGTCTCTTCCTCTAAGGAGAGGAGAGGCTCGGCGTCCGGGTAGCCGTCGTACTCGACCGCATCCACACGAGCCGGCCGCCCGAACCCTCCTCCCGCCACGTGATGGTGGCCGGCCACCACCCCTGCTCGCCTAGGATCTCGACGTGCGTGCCTATCTCGATGACAGCGTGCCCGGCCAGCCTCGCCGTCGCGTCCACGCGCAGCCGCTCCGCCGCGCCTCCTGCCGCTCCGCGGGCTGCCGCAGCACGTAGTGGTCGGCCGTACTCCGCGCCACCCGCGAGGACGTCAGCCGCTCACCGTCTCGACCGCCGCCTCGATTGGCGGAGGGGCTCGACCCGTCGTTCCGCGACCTCCTGGAGTCCTGGTGCGCCGCCCGTCTGCGCTCCACCAACGACGCCGTCGCTCCAGGCCGCCCATCTCTCAGCCATACCCCCCTGACCCCCCCTCTGGACGCGTCCACCCTACGTCCAACATTCGCATCCCCAAAAATACATACATCGTAGCACACATTCGTATTCGATTATTCGTACCGGCGAGAGCTTGCAGAGTGGAGGTACAGCGCGTGAGTCGTGCCTCCGCCGTCGCCCCCGAGTGCTGTTGTCGCCCCTCTGCCCTTCGCCGCAGCACTAGCCGATGCGCCTAGACGCGTCGCCGGCGTTGACGCGGCGTGGCGCGCTGGCCGCACTGTCGCTGCTGCCGGCGCTGCTGCCGTCGCAGCCCGCCTCTGCCCTCTTCGGCGCGGGCAACTCCCCCACCGTGGAGGTCCTGGAGCAGCCGGAGCTCTGCCAGGGGCGCGCGCAGGCCCAGGACTTTGTGGCGGTGCGCTACACCGGCCGCTTCGCCGACGGGCGCGCATTCGACACTCGGTACGCCGCTCGGCCGCTCGTGTACCAGCTCGGCTCCTTCTACCTGCCTGGCGTGGACGCGGCGCTCGCGGGGAGATGTGTCGGCACGAAACTGCGGCTGCAGTGGGCGTCGAGCCCGCGCCCGCGGCTCGAGGACGACGCGCAGCAGCTGCCCGCGGGCTCGCGTCTTCAGCTGGAGCTCGAGCTCGTCACAATCAAGTACTCGCTCTTCGGCGAGACGATGCGCGACCCGGCGAACAGCTACTTCTTCGCGCCGGGGCCGGTGACCCTCTCCTCCGCGTACGACCCGCGCGGCCACGCCTCCGGCCTGCCGCCCCAGGTCAAGCGAGACAACCCCTTCGCGCTCGGCCCGACGGAGGACTCGCTCATCTCCAACTCGAAGGGCGTGCTCAAGCCGTTCGTCGGGGAAGGGGTCGGACTGCCCGAGGCGCCGCCGGAGGCGGCGGGGGCGGAGGGCGCGGGGGCGCCCCTTCGCGGGTCGCGCACCGGCAAGGACGGCTGAGCGCCAAGTGCTCGCAGCGGCGCCGGCGCCCGGCGGCGGGGTTCATCCGCGCGCCGGTTCTCGTCGCTTCTCGCCACTTAGATCCACTTCTCGGCAAAGGGAATGATGTCGGCCTCCCTTAGAGATGGAGAGTTTTCATCGTTCCTCCTTGCGCTACGCTACCGTACAGAAAAATGTCGATTCAGAATTCTAAGCCGGTGTGCTGCAGCACCGCTGCTCAACTCCGTGTGTAGAGACAAGAGAGCGTAATGCCGTCGGCCGTCAAACCACTCTCTGCTCCTAGTCCTCGTACTCGGGTCGAACGTAGGTCTTCGTGTTGAAGACGTACCAGCTCCACATGCTGAGCGCGAGCAGCATCGAGCGCCGCACGTTGCGCAGGTAGCGCGAGCGCAGGAGCCGGCCCACGGCAGCGACGGCCGAGCCGATTGCACCGCCGCGCGCTGCTGAGATGAGGTCGGCGCCCTCGCGCTGCCTCCTCCGCTGAAGGTGCGCGCGCATGTCACTGACGATCCCGCCGTTCGCCAGCGACCAGCTCGAGTCGCCCACCGTCTCGCCGTCTGCTCCGGCGAACACGTCCTCGGCTGCTCGCTGCGGCCGCACAGAATCCCCGTCTGACGCACCCCGCGCCACTGGATCCGCCTGCGCGCGACACGCAGCGCACGGGCGCGTGGTTAGTGGGGCGCACGGGCTGGTGCGATGCGCGATGTGCGCGCACCGCGGCAGTGACGGCGACGAGCGCCACCGCGAGCAGAGATCTCGACGCGGGCCACATATGGCAAGCGAAAAAGACGAGCAAACTGGCGCATCACACGTCTTCTGATAAACGCAGTATGGAAGATACAAAGAGACGGAGGAGCAACGAGCGCCCTGGCGTGAGCCGAAGACACTCCCTCCGTAGACACTGATCACACACGGGTGGGACAGGGTGGGTCACAACAACGAGGCACGAGAGCGTGCACGACAGAGCGACGGCGCAGCGTACCGCCGTCCAGCTAAAAAGCGGCGGCCGACGGTTGCTGCGCAAAGTGATCAGTTCTAAAATAGGTGCCGGGGCCCAACGGATAGATGAATCCGGGGCACCCTCCACTCGAATCCCTGGCCGGGGGTTCGAGGTGGCCCCCACCCTGGGGCCTCCCATCAAAGGGACTGCGGCAGAAGACGCCCAATCTTGCACAAGTGCAAGAACCATACGTCTTCTGATAAACGCAGTATGGAAGATACAAAGAGACGGAGGAGCAACGAGCGCCCTGGCGTGAGCCGAAGACACTCCCAACTGCGCTCCGTCACCGGTGTCGCGGTCTCCCCCACTGAGGGCGATCTGCGGGGGGGAGTCGCGCCGCCGGCATGTATCTGTGCAACTGTGTTTTTGCCTTGTCCCGTTTGATGGAGCAAAGTCACGGGCCGCCCGCGCTTGAAGGCGGTCGCGCCAGGCGCGGGCGGCACTAGTTGCCGGCGATCCGCTTGGGCAGCGCCAGGGCGCGCCGGCGAGGGAGAGCGGCTAGCCTCGCGGCGAGGGTGCGGGCTCGGTGGCCGAGGCGTCCTCGAACTCGTGCTGGCGGATGCCTCGCCGCCCCTGCGAGTCCACGACTGTAGCTGCAGCCTCAGAGGCATGCTGTCCACCACGACACAACACCACTCACCACAGAGTGCGTAAAGAATTTTACATGCGTAAAGAATTATAACTCAGCGCTGAGCGCATCGGCTCTGGGGGGGTGAACATACTGTCGCGGCCTAAAGTCTGTGCATGTTGTCGGGGACACGATCCCGGCGTGAACACAACTAACTGACGGATATCCGCTCCTCACAGTCGCACGCGCCGCGCTGCGGCGCGTGCCACTGTCTTTGTTTGAAGTCAAAAGTCGAATCAGAGCGCCGTCGGCGTGGTCCCCCGATTTCCTCCCACGGACCGCCCGTCCGGCACCGCTTCCGGGACGCACGCCGGCGAAGCACCATCGAGCTGCTGTATGGCCCCGGCATCGCCTCCCTGGGCCTGGCTTAGCTAGACTGAGAGATATTGTGGACATGGTTAGTCTCTACAACATATACACTGACACTGAACCTCCCAGAGCTCGTCCCGGTCCGTCACGGCCATCCTCGTCCTCCGGCGGGCCCCCGGCCGCGGCGCGGTGCGGCGGTGTCACAAAAATCCGACCACAGAGCACCGGGACGCGGTCGGGCGATTCGAGGCCTAACTAGGCGTATGCATTGACTATCCAGGGCTATCACCTGGACCCACATCAACAGGCGCCTGCGGAGTTGTGGTCAGGAGCTGCTGTTCACACCTGCACAAGGGACGTCCGAAATTCGGCGCACAATGCTCATTCCGACGCCCGCCACATGACGCCCACCGCAGCCGCGTTGGTCGGCGCGCGCCGCCGCCGACCATCACCACCGACCAACGGCTCGCACGGCCGTGCGGTGAGCAAAAATTTGGGTCGCTGCGCGCCTGCCAGATGCTCTGCGACGTCTGGACGCTCGCCAGAAACGCCAGGAAGCTTGCCTTCCACCCCTGGGCCCGAGGGCGAACGGCAGTGGTCGGCAGCCTCTGCGACGCTCCGATCGGCTCCTCGACCTCATCGCTTGCGACGAGCCAGCATGGCTCGTCGCTCGACGGCAGCCTGCTCAGTATGCTCTTGGCATTCTGTACAGCCTCGCCAGGCTCTCTGAGACGGCCTGCAGGGCCGGCGCGGACCGCCTCGGGCGCGATGGCCCTCCTCAGTACCTACCTCTTTGATGCCTGTCGGCTCTCCAATCTCGTCGCCGGCGGCAGGCCCGCATGGCGCGCTGCTCGATGGCAGCCTGCTCAGTACGCCTTGGACAGTGACTTCTGCCTCGCTGCTCTTACTGCAGCCGCCTCCGGGACCGGCGCCGGCCGCCACGCCTCGCCAGTGCTGTCTACGCCTGCGACACGCGTGTCGGCTCGCCGCCCGCGTCGCCCGCGGCGGGCCCGCATGGCTCGCCGCTCGTCGGGAGCGTTCCCAGCAGGCTGTGCAGGGCAATCTGCCTCACTCAGGGCGCCGCCGCCGCTGCGCGGGGCCGCCACCGGCGCCGCTGCCGTGAACACTGCCGCCGTGTACGTCACCATCGCCTCTCTTCGTCGCCGATCTCGCCGACGCCGCTCGCCGCTCGCCGCCGCCCTGCCCTGCCCTGCCCTCGCACAAACAAACAAACACACACACACACACACACACATACAGACACACATACAGACACACAAAACACACCCTGCCCTCACTCGAGCGCCCCGCGCCCTCCCGCCCCACGCCCTGCGCCTCACGCCGCGCGTCCCACGCACGCCCCGCGCCCCGCGCCCCCACGCCCCTCACCTCGCGCCTCACGCCTCCCTCCCCACCCTCTCAGGCATTTCTCCTCCCTGCTGCTCGCCGACTCCTCCTCCCCCCGCATGACCGACGACTACCCGTCCTTTGGCGACTCCTCCCTCTTCGGCGCCAACGCCCACTACCCGTTCGGCCCGGTGAGGGGCAGGAGCGGAGCCATTCCAACGGCTGGGAAAATTTCTGAACGGCCGTGCATGCGCCTGCATGCCGGACAACTAAGAAGGTCCCTCGCTCCTGCTCCTCTCTCGGAAGACGCGCGCCGGCCTGGGGGATTCGCTTGCGATCCCGCTCCAGCCAGAGGCCGCGTGAGGCGTGTGGGACGGTGCACGCTGGGGCTCGGTCCCCGAGAGCGCTGGCCTCGCGTCTCGAGGGGAGGACGGCTTGTAACTGAGGTTCGCCGTCAGAGACAGTCGTCCTCCCCTCCTCGGCCATTCCAACGGCCAGGCCGCTCGCTTAAGGCTGATTGGCTAGACGAGCGGTCTACCTCCGACGGGGCGGTCCGGGAACGCGTGGAACCTGCCCGCCTCGGTGGGAGGTGGTTTGGCGCCGACGGACCGCCCTCTCCACCACCCTCGCCCAGGGATCTACAACGCTGTCTCAAGGTCCGACAGGTTCGGCACCGGGCACCGCCTCGGTATACAAAATGCGCCTGCGGGCGGACCCTCACAGATCACAGATCACACCTGCACAGACTTTGATACGGCACAGTACTCTTGATGAACATCGTGTTGTGTGGGTGCGACTGTTAGATCCAAAGTTAACGGTTTGTTTGCAGCTCTATCATCAGCGTTGTGCGCAGGCTCTCAGCGGAAAGGGGGGTATTTCGGTATTCACTCCGGGCCGGCACGGTCCACGGACCACCCCCGCGGCCGACACCCCGAACCCCGTCCGTGCGTCAGGAGACGGCCCGAGCCGTTTGGGACAAAGTTACGTAAGATGCCAAGGTGTACGATACATCACAGACTTCGACCCTGTCAGCAGTCCTCCTCCGTGTACGTAAGAGCTAGTGGCGGCCCCTTGGTTATTTTTGCGTACTCGAGTATGCCACAACAATGTCGGCGATCGGGCTGATTGCGCTCCTCGCCTGCCCGTCCAGGGTCGAATTGCATGCACATCGCCCCACGCCCGTAAGGCATCGATCCCGCAGGCCGGTCGCGATTGCCATCCAGGGTGATGTCGTGATGAGCGCGGCTGACACCATCCTGCGACGAGCCCCGTACGCCTCGGCCTTCGCTGTCGTGGGCGTGAAGGCTGTGCTTGCCGATCTGCTCGCACAAACGCGAGAGCGCAGACTCCAGCCTGTTGGCGCGCGCGTCGTCACTTGCGACGATCTCTCCTGCGAGGAGATTGAGGTCGCCGCACCGTATTGCGCGCGTCGCACGTTGGCTTTCTTGCTGTACGGAGGAATCTATCAGGGGTGCTTCCAGCACTGGCTCTTCAACCGAATGCTGCCCGCGCTCGTGGGAGAGGGCTCTGACCTGCGCACCGTCCTCTCCAAGGTCGCCGTGGACCAGCTTATCCTCACTCCCTTCCTCTGCCTGCCCGCTGCCTACTTGTTCAAGGTGGGCCCAGCGCTGCATCCACCTCGCTCCTGCAGAGTTGCCCGTGCAGAGCTGCCCTGCCCCACAGAAGCGCCCTGTCTCGCAGGCGCTAGCTTTCGGCTACGGCGCCAGGCTCGCCCTCCGCCGCTACCTCGCAGACGCGCGGCGCGACCTGCTCGCAAAGTACTGGGCGCTCTGGACGCCCGTGCAGTGCCTCACGTTCGGCGTGGTGCCGCCGCAGTGGCGGATCGCCTTCGTCGCCGCGGTGAGCTTCTTCTGGCTTATCGTGCTCAGCTCGATCACCGCGAGGAGCGACCCGCCGCCTCTGGACTGACGCCTCTCGTCTATTCCTTGTCACGCTGTGCATTGCTTGCCCACACTTGGTGTGCATACTGTTGTCGTGCGCGTTCGTCGTATTGGAAGTGGCGGTGTACACATACGTAGTACATGCAACGGTGCGGGGGGTGTGTCGCCAATTGCGGCTGTGTACTGTTCGGCTGCATGCCGGCGTGGGTGGCGCAGGTTGAGGTTCGTCGAGGTGTGCGCGGCTGTGCGTCCCCGTCGTCCGTCCCAGCAACGACCTCGCCCACACCCCTCCACCACGCTCCACGCTCTCCCCAGGGCCAGGCGTCCGTGTGTGTGTGGCTTGAGGCTTGTATCCACATACCGTGTACGAGAATGTACACGTGTGTAATAGTTGATCGAGACCTTAAAACATGGCTGCACACGTCGTCACCCCCGGTCGGTGACACTGCTCACTGGTACGCGGGGGGGGGGGGGGGGGGGGCAGGCGGAGCTCCAGAAGGCACCCTGCGCTCCGACACATCTCGACTCTGGACTGGTGCGCACGCACGAGTCCGGGCGCGTACCATCACGCGTTCGTGGGGTGGGTGGAGACAATAGAGAGAGAAAGAGAGAGAGTCACATTCGCAACCCCGCTCAGAGGTCCTCGTCGTCGTCGTCGCCTCGCCACGCGGGTCTCACCCCGGCCGCAACCCTCTCCATGTGCAGGCGCGCGAGCATCGAGTTGATGTCGGCGTAAGCCGCGGGGGGCGAGAGTTGCGCGGTGCCCCATGCGGGAGCACCGCCCCTCGCCAGCAGTTCCGCCGCACTGCCCGGGGCAGCTGCTGCCGCCGCCTCCCACGCTCGCGCAAGCCCCGGGTGCGGAAGCCACTGCTGCGGGTGTGGCTGCTGCAGGTGCGGCGGCTGCTGCTGCTGCTGCTGCTGCTGCTGCTGCTGCTGCTGCTGCTGCTGCTGCTGCTGCTGCTGCTGCTGCTGCTGCTGCTGCTGCTGCTGCTGCTGCTGCTGCTGCTGCTGCTGCTGCTGCGCCGCCAGCAGCGCATGGTGCGGGTGGTACTGCGCCGGATGCCGCGCCGGCTGTTGGGGTGGGGGCGCCGGGGGGAAGATTGGGCCGAGCGGCACCGGCGGCGTGTCCAGCGGCTCGCTGCGGTTGCACGGGAGGACCGGTGAGTTGGCGCGCGGGAGGCGGCCGGGAAGCGGGGGCGCCCACCTCGAGTTGATTCGTAGCCGCTTCATGTCGATTGTCTCGCTGGCGGACGAGTCGGGCCGCTGACGTTTGCTGCGAAAAGTGGGGCGAGCCGGTGAGGAGAGGGGGCGGCGCGGGGGTCGGGCGGCGGGCGGCGTGGGGGCGGCTCACCCTCCGCACCGCGCCTCCCAGCGATCGGCCATGAGAGGTCGTCCAGAAGCCCGCCTCGAGCGGCTGGGCGGCTGTGAGAAATAACGCGGCGGCCGGCGGAGCTGGGAAGAGGACCGCCGCAAGCGGCGTGGCGTGGAGCGGTTGAGCATCCCTCCGGGGGCCCCTCTGCGCCGGGGAGGCGTTGTTGGAGGCTAGGACGCAAGCGTCCGTCGCCCTTTTCAAACTCGGGGCCCACTCCGCTACGCTCCGACCCGAATTTGGAGGGCCTAAAAGTTTAAGGTGTTGCTGCGCAAAAGGGGTCGGACACAGGGCGCAGCTCATGCTAAGAGCTAGAAGGGGAGCTAGAGAGAACGACTACCCTGTCCCGTTATTGCGTACACCAACACCACAAAAGCTCTCTCTCTCCTGTCCTCACTCAGAGCACAGAGGGGGGTCACAACTACCGAGTCTCCCGACTAGCTGCCACGTTGCCGACCGAGAGCGGATCTCCTCCTGCTCCGCAAGGAGGGTGGCCAAGGCTAAAGTCTTGCCGGAGCCGCCGGGCGCGTTGACGACTTGGAGAAGGTCGCCCTTGTACTTGTACTTGTAGAGATGCTCGAGGGGGTGCTTTGTGGGGCGGTGCGCAGCCAGGCCAGCAGTGAGGGGAGGCGCACCCTCACTCTCCTCGGTTGCAGAGCTCGTCAGAGGCTGCGTCACGACGGGAGGGTCGCGACAGCAGTCCTCGGGCGAGCCGACGCGCATGTCCAACCAGCGCTGGGACTCGTTGTGACGGCAGACGCCGGCTGCCTCTCCAACCGCTTCTGCAGCGTCCTTCTTTGCCCGTGCATGGGCTCGATCCGATTCCGCAGCGTGTCGTCCCCAGCGGCGGTGCTGCGCGGGAGGCGGCCGCGGGCACGCTGGGCTCGATCAGCTTTCCCTAGCACGGATTTGGGAGAGAGTTTTTTTGTGTTCGGATTTGGCGGACGTTCGTGGCTTCAATTTTACGAATGTCTTGGCACCAGCTGAAGGCTTGCACGTCCCACATCGCCCAGTTCGTGCACGGTATTCGGATTTTGCTATTTGCTCGTGTGGGGGTATATCGCAGATTTGTCAATGGTACCGCGTCTGCGACGCGGGCGCCTTGCGGGCAGAGCCCTTAGCCACCCTTTTATCTTGCGCGGTCAAAATTATGTATGTAGGAAGTGAGTGCAGAAGATTTGGGGTAAGTTGGCTGCAAACGCGATTTTTTCTCTAAGACGCACAACACTGTGCAAAACGGCCGCACTTGACGTTTAGGCTTGTTGTGCGAGTATATGGGCCAAAAGCGTCGAAAATGTCCCAAAAAGCGTGTCTCGAGTTTGTGGCAGCTCCACAGCCGGCGCGCGCCGCCAGGAAGCACCGCTTGCTGGATACACGCACTCCCTGGGTCCCAGGGAGTGCGTGTATCCAGCTGGAGTGAGTAGGCTCGACGCCGCGCTCGCTGTGGAGCTGCCACAAAGTCGCCGCCGAACGTGCCACCGAAGGTGTCCCGGCGGAGGTGGTGGAGTTTGAGACCTGAGGCTGCGGAGGTGACGCCTGAGGTACCGGCCCGTGCACGGCGACTCAGCCGGCGACCGCCACGGGCTCAGGCGAGACTTGTCGACTCGTTCCGGCTCAGCTTCACCGTGGTCATCGGGCGTCTGTCGACGTCAGGACCACCCATACAGCTCGCGGGTTTGAGGTCGCAAGAGCCAAGATGGTGGCGTTTGGACATCCCAGCCATCACACAAGACAGCCTGTAGGTGATGGCGGGACGGCGCAGTGTTTGTGGCACTCGGCAGTAGGCACCCGCGGCACGGCCCCGCTGTCGGCTCTCTCGCGGGCTGCGGAACCGGCCCCAGAAGGGGACGGTCCGGGCGAGTGTGGCAGCTCCTGCGCTAGTATGGGCAGCCTCTATCACAACACTACTGATCCTGGTCATTAGAGCTGCCAGGGATAGCGTCAGGAGCTGGAAGGAGTCAAAACCCCTCATATTTGAGACATCGTGGCCCATATACTCGCACAACGAGAGCCGTTATAGAGGTTAGTCGGGGGTTTTGTGTTCTTTCCATCGCACCATCGATGAAATAACTCGCTGCCCAAAACGACGATACTCGGCCAGCCGGCCCGCAGCTCTACGCGCGCGGAGCTGGCTGACCCCTCGCTCAGAGCAGCCCGCCCGACTTGCGCCAGGCGAGGCCCTCGCTCTCGCTCGCCATCGCCATGAGCACGCCGCGCATAGCCTCCGCGGCGTCGGCGCCCATGTCACGCGGTGCGCAGAGGCGCGCGGAGACGAGCCTGGCGGCGTCGGCGCGCACCTTGTGCTCGAGCGGCTCGAGGCCGAGGAGCTCCGCCTCGCACAGCGCGCGCTCCTCCTCCTCCTCCTCGCCGCCCTCGGCTGCTGGCTCGCCACCCGCCTCGTCCTCCCACCTGCCCGCACACTGCAGCAGCCGCGCCGCGCAATCGGCCAGCAGAAGCTCGACCGCCGCGCCGTCCTCCTCCTCCAGCCGCTGCAAGTTCGCCTGCGAGAGCGGCTCCGCCGCCGTCGCGTCGGCGACCACAGCCTCCCAGTTGGCGATGATCTTCTCCGCCGCAGCGAGGGCCGCGGCGGCCGAGGGAGCGGCCTGTGCCGAGCGCCTGAGCTCGAGCGCAGCGGCACCTACCCGCAACACCCTTTGAGGTCTGCACGCGGCCCCTCTTACGCCTCCGGCGCCTCGCTCCGCGGTGCGCCGTCGGCGCGGCGCGACACCGCGCGCTGAGCGTCGGAGAGGGTGCCGTTGGTGGCGAAGATGCGCTGGAAGGCGGCGACGGCGGCGGACCACGAGTAGGTGTCGCCGCGCACGCGTGCGTAGGCAGGCTCCTCCGCCATCGCCACGAACCACCCCTCGATCTGCGGCCAGCGAGGCGGCTCTCCCTCCTCCGGCCTCAGCGCAAACCCGGACGTGAGAGGCAGCTGGACCGCCCACCGCTCGAGAAAGGGCAGGTAGGTGGCGTCGGCGAGACCGACCGAGCCGCCGCAGATGAAAGGGCCTCCTCCCTCCGCGATGGCCGCGTCGAGCGCGTCCAGCCCGTCCTCGAAGGCTGCGCGGAGGGAGGCAACCTCCTCCTGCGTCACGCTCGCGTTGCGGACGGCGGCCGCGAAGCGGAAGCCGGCGGAGGAAAGATTGCCGGCCTCCGCAATGAGTGCCTCGGCGGCCGCGCGCTCTCCGTCGGGCGGCAGCATCGCCGGCTCTGGGTGGAGCTCCTCGAGCCGCCGCAAGATCACATCCGACTCCCAAACCACCTCTTCCGTTCCGCCGCTGCGGATCTTGACTGCTGGCACGAGGGTGGTTGGGACCATGTCCTTGTACCACTGTGGCTTATCGCGGAGGTTGATCAGCACCTCTTCGTACGGCAGGCCCTTGGTCTCGAGCTGCAGCCACACTCGCTCGCAGAACGGGCACCATCCATTCGTGTCGCGGTAGAGCGTAATCGCCGGCGTGGGAGCGCTGCTGGCCGGGAGCCGGCGAGCGAGCGCTGCCCAGCGGGTGGGAACGGCGGGCACCATGGGCAAGGCGAGCGCCGTGGTAACTGCCAAGCCGATGGGGATGGCGATGCCCATGACCGCGGTGTGGGAGGGTGGGTGGGGGTATTGGGGAGGGAGGGAGAGGGGTCTGGTCGGGGGTAATTTTTCTTTTCTTTTTTTGTCCTCTCTAATTGCACGTATGACAGACCCGATCTGTGTGGACCGCCCGAAACACCGATGTTTAGCGGGTTCGAGCCGTCACACAGTGGCTGCCGGGGTGTGCCGAGGGGGGCTGGGTGGGCGGTAAGCCGTCATTCATTGCCCGGCGTTGCTTGCAGCGCTCTAGGTGGTAGTCGTAGTGGCGGCGCTCCAAGAGTGGCGCTCTTGGGAATTTCCGCTCCCCCCCCCCCCCCGCAAGGCGCGAGACACACACGATGCTGTTACTAAAACCTCTCGCCTCTGCACGAGCGGCCAATCTGCGGCGCTCTAGGCATGCTGCAGGGGCCGGAGGTGCGCATCCTTTGCTGCCCATACTCCCCATATCTCCCCATATCTCCCCGTATCTCCCCATATCACCCGACCTATGCGTATTGCACTGTCGCTTCTTCCTGGGTGGTGCGTCCGGTCTGGCTCTCGCTTGCCTACTCACCGTCTCCTTGTCATTGGGGCGGCGCAGCTTCTTTGCCGATCACAGATCACCAAATGGTGGAGTTCAGTAGTACTCCGTGCCCCGGTCGGGGAGTCCCCAGTCGGGGCAGCAGGGAAGGCTGGCAAACAGAAGATGGCGCCTCGAGGGTGGGCAGACGATGCAAGTGTCGATGGAATCGTCAAGGTCTTGCTTGCACCCAAGTTCCGCGGCCGATGCCTGGTCCGCCAAGTAGACAGTGTCCAGGTAGAAATCCGACGTTGCGTGGACAGGCTCCGTTGCGGAGCCAGGGAGGTTGACGAATGCCAGCAGCCCCCACCCGTCTCCTTCTACACTTGCCTCCCAGTCCGGCACGTCTGTGCAGAATATGTACTTGCCGTTGCTTGAGCTCAGGGTGAAGTCTTCGCGATCAAAATTTTTCCACGCCTTGATCCGGTTAGGCTCGCCTGGTCCTGAGTGGAATGCTGCAGCGAGATTTCCGAGACCCAAGAAGCTTTCGGAATCGCCCACGATCTCGAGTCCGGAGTCGGCGGCACGAACATCTCAAAAACTATGTTCGAGTAGCGGCCACCTTTTGATTCAGGAAGAATGAGATTATTGCACGTGGCGGGGTCGCAGAGGAGGTCGAACGCCCGCCCGCGAGGAAGCGATGCCTTGTACGAGAGCCCGTTCGTTTGTCCGCATGGATCTTCATACACCGCCTCCATTGTGCCAGGCGCGGTGATCCCGTCGTTCCACGGGGCGAGGCTCCAGCCCCCTTCAAGCTCGTCACCCAGGATGGTGAATGTCTCGGCGTGCGCAAGACCAGGTAGCGAGAGTAGCAGGAAGGGGTGTAAGCGCACCATATACGCGTGTATGTGCGACCGTTCGCGCGAGCGCCCAGGCAGACGAGGCCAGCGCGGGGGGGATGGAGTCGCTTCTCTACCGCCGGAATGATGACGAGGAAAGCCTCCGATCGGTTCTCACGCCCCGGCGGGGGGGTGATATTGGATGGGCACCCCGTGCCGCCGCGAGAAAAGGGCCTGTCTCTTCCCGCGATGTGTCGCGGACAAACCCAAGTAGGAGCGGGTTCGGGCGCGCGGGTTCCTCTTCATTCATTTTCGGGCGAGGGGGTGGCACCACGCCGCGTGGGGCGAGGGGGCAAGTGTGTGTGATTGTGCGGGGGTGCCGGCAAGAGAATCGCGTCTGACTTACACAAGAGGAACTATAACACATCGCTAGTCATGTACAATCATGAGAACTGGGTCCAGGCTTCATAGCGAGGTGGTCTCCCAGTCTAGCGCACCTCGCGCCCGGCGGGCGGCGCGACCTGTCCGTCCACCGACCCCTCCGCCAGCGCGTACGCCACCGCCGCCTCCACCGCCGAGTCGAAGAAGCCGATGAAGATCTTTCGTCCGTCCACCGTGTGGTACGCCGTGAAGCGGCCCGACGCCCAGGGAGGTCGGCGGCCGCGCGAGCCCGACGCCTGCTCCTGCTTGCGTACGCCTGCGTAGCCGGTGCTGCTGCGACTCGAGAGGTGCAGCCGCCAGCCCTGCGCCTCTGTCACCACCGCCGGCGCCTCCCCCGCGGGGCCCGTGTGGGATGGACCTGCGAAAGCGCGGGGAAGGGAGAGTGCATTGAGAAGGCAGAACCTGAGCACAAGAGGGTGGCTTGCTCGCGAGCCTTGACTTGCATCGACTTGATTACAACGAGTCCAATCGAACACGGGGTCTGGCTCTCCGGCTCAAAACCGCTCCGCATTGATCGGCAATCTCGCATCAACGTCGAGCAATGTGGGGCACGAGTATGGGAGAGAGGAGTGCGCAACGGGAATGCATGTGGGGCAAACGGATCAGCAAGTGAGTGGACCACGCGCCAGCACCGCACACATCGGCCAACGAGTGCGTCCAGCGCATGCCGTTCTCCATCACCGTCTTGTCGATCGCCCGCGCGTACGCCACTGCCGCCTCCACCGCGGTGCCGAAGGAGCCCGCGAGTTTGTTACGCCTCCCGTCTACCGTGTACTGCGCTATGAAGCGGTTGCGCTTCTTCGACACCCCCCTGTATCCGGTGCTGCTGTTGCGGGAGAGGTGCAAGCGCATTCCCTCCGCCTCTGCCACGCACGCACGCCTTGCCCTCGCTCGACGAATTGCTCGACGAGTGAGCGACCTTTCGTCAAACTCATCCCACTTACGCTGCAGAAAGCCAAGCGTTGCGCGATCCGGCTCTTCCCGTTCCGTTGGCCTGCTCGAGAATGACCTGCCCCGAAACTGCATGACAAGCGGCCGAAGTTGTTCGCCGAACTCATCAGGAGGGGGCGGCGGACCGACCTCCGCAACATGGGTCTCGGCCTCGATTGCATGCACGGCCTCGGTTGCCAGCCTCTCGGCCTCCAGCCTCTCGGCCTCCTGCCGACCCATGCGCACGCCCTCCGTCGAGCGGGAGGGGGACGCGCCAGCACTCATCCTCACCTCCGCCATTCTCTTGCGTCTAATGGTGTTGCGATGCGGCAAGCAATCAAACGCGTCCCACTTGGATCGCAGAATGCCGAGAGTGGCGTGGTCTCGAACTTCCCGTTCCGTTGGCCTGCGCGAGAATGATCTCCCCCGGAACTGCATGACAATCGGCCGAGGTTGCTCGCCAAACTCGTCAGGGAGCAGCGGCTCGGCCTCCGCAACATGAGCCTCGGCTTCGATCGCACGCCTCTGTGCGAGAGAAAAAATTGACCATCGCCTTGCGTCGGCAGCCAGAGGCGGCGGGGCGGCGGGAGAGGGCGGTGGTGCGGGCGGTGATGCTGATGATGTGGCCATTGGCCGCCGCCGCGTCCTCTTTGCGAGCGCTCTCGGCTTCCGTCCCTTTTTACGCTTATCCCCCCCTTGCTCGTGCGTCTGACTTTCAGCGGACCAGGCCACTCCTTTTCGTCAGTCTACTTGGGTTTGTTTGAGATTACGAAAAGGACGAACGAGCGTACGATTGTACTCGATTGTACATTTTAGCCAAGGCGGATGGGGGGGATGGAGTCGCTACCGTTCTTGCCCGCATCTTGGGGAAGCTTCACGGGTTCGAGTCGTCAGAGGGAGGGAGGGAGGGAGGGAGGGAGGGAGAGGGAGAGAGAGTGTGTGTGTGTCTCGCGCCTTGCGAGGGGGCGGGGGGGGCGGAAAGGAGGAACCTCTTCCCAAGAGCCAAGAGAGAGCGAGAGAGAGCGAGAGAGAGAGAGAGAGAGAGAGAGAGAGAGAGAGAGAGAGAGAGAGAGAGAGAGAGAGAGAGAGGAGATGCCGGCGGATGTCGCTCACTTCCTGCTGTGGCGTGTACAGATGTACTTGTCTTCTACTTGCTCACCACCTCACCCAAGATACGCCACCGTGTGTATGCCCCGTGGGCCTCGTACAAGGAAATGAAACAGCCGGTCCACAGCGGGGTGGGAGGGAGGGGGGTGCGGGGGGAGGGAGGGAGGGGGGTGCGGGGGGAGGGAGGGAGGGGGGAGGGAGGGAGGGGGGTGCGGGGGAGGGAAAGAGTCAGGGAGGAAAAATAATATGTTTTTCTGACACGGCGACACGCGACACGGGTCCCTCCAAAAACTTTCTGGGAGATTGATATTTTTCCGCAAACTTGCAAGTTTGCAGATTTTTTTTTGCGATTTTCTCGATTCTCAAAAAAGTGCCGTGTGCGTGTCATCCGTGTCACCCGTGTCACCCGTGTCGGCCATGAGAACTGCTGCTGTGAAAGGACTCTATGTGTGTGTGTAAAGTGTGGATATGTCCTACAGGGGTTTGTACACTCAATGAGAATCTATATTCACAGAGATTTCTTGAAATTTATTTTATTTCACGGGTGACACGGGTGACACGGGTGACACGGCACTTTTTTGAGATTCGAGAAAATCGCAAAAAAAAATCCGCAACGACTTGCAAGTTTGCGGAAAAATATCAATCTCCCAGAAAGTTTTTGGAGGGACCCGTGTCGCGTGTCGCCGTGTCAAAAAAAATCCACCCCAGCAAAAAAAAGGATGACAGAAGTCTGCCCTCATGTAGTGAATCCACATCGGTTAGTGGAAATACACAGAGAGCCGTCATGCCGTGGTACCTGCTTAATCGTAGTCGATCAAATAAATCAAAAGACATACGTTAGCCAGCGCCCCCAAGAAATGTTGAAACGACTTTCAGAGCAAGCGGATCCAAACGACCCACAGGCAAGCGTAAGCTTCGGTGGGTTTAAGAAGGCGATTCACAAACCAGTGTTATATAAAGGTCGCTATCAGATACGACTGCACTCGCTCTCAGACAGCATCACAGTTCTCAAAAAATCGGAACGTAATGTAGAAGTAATAGGTGCGCCAGAATACTACAAGACGCGATAGGACGGCACCAGTACCCCCTGCACCCTTCAAACCCTTTCCACATGATCGGGGCGAAGACTTGGGACTGGACATGACTGGACCGGGGCAGGATCATTCCAGATTCCACAGGACTGGACTGTACCGGGAACCCCACAGACCCTGTCGCCGCCCCCCCCCCCTCGCCGCCGCCCTTGCCGTCGCAACCCTCGCCGCCGCCTCCGAGCCTCCCTCGCCGCCTCAACCGTCGCCGCTCCCACCAAGTCAGCCTCCGCCCCCACCAGTCATCGCCGCCGCCCAGCCCGCCGCGGCCCAGCCCGTCGCCGCCCAGCCTGCTGCCGCCCAACTCGCCACCGCCGTCGCCGCCGCCTAGCTGGACCGTCCCACAGGACTGGACTGGACCGGGACTGGACTGGACCGGGAAAAAACATCCCTCTGTACTGTACGGAAACTCAAAAATTAAATTAATTTAGCCTGTCTCGTCGTGCGCGCCAAGTTTACCCTCCCCTGCGGCCGTGCAGTGGGTACTACGTGAATATGCCGTTTGCATTTTTTGTAGTGCACACAGCGTGACTGTGGTGTGTCGGTGTGGTGCTCCATTGCCAAGCGCGCCGCAAGACACAAGTCTCAAAAAAACTCCCGCCAGTAGGCAGCTGCCAACTCGTAAGTCTCAACCGCGATCCGACTCAAGACTTAAGTTTGATGACTGACCGGCGCTTGTGTAGCAAATGCGTGAGCACTGGTCACCCGCTAGGCAAATATCCGGGAGTGGACCTGAACTACGCACGCAAAGGTGGGACAGAATGCAACACATGCCAGACCTACAAGCGGAGGAAGGAGAAAAAGGCGCAGAACATTGAGTCCAACAAATGGCTCTTTCGAGCTTGTGGGATCAACTGGCCTGCCAAACTCTAAGGCTGCATGTCTCGAGCCACGTCTTCTAAGGCTGACCCCCCCCAAGTGGCGAACTCTCGAGGCCTTTCTTCCGCGTGAGAGTTCCTTTTGGAGCCTGTCTGCTGTGAGAGAGAGTTCTTTTGTTTAAATTCTTTTTGGAGATCAGACTTTCTACTATCTATCATGCTTCATGACACGACACGCGGTGGTGGGAGCTGGTGGAGCTGTCAGCTGATCGATCCAAGCGGGTGGGGAGTGGGGGGCATGGCTGGGCATGCAGGTCCGCCAGTCGGCCCGGCCTCTGACGTGGTGCTGCCGCTGCATTCGCTGAAGAAGAGAGGTGCGACGGCTTGATTTGGAGGCACTGGAGGCGAGGGTGGGGAAGGGAAGGTTGGGCCGGGCCGTGAGGGGCTGATGGCGCTGGCCAGCGAGGGGTGTGAGATGCCGTCGTCGTCGTATACTGCTGGCCCTCGCCCTCAGTTGCCAGGGCTGTGGGCTGCAGAATTGGCGTCTGTGGCGTCTACGCAGGCTCTGCAGCGTGATGGCTGGCGGGACTGCGAGGCCGGCGGCAGCGGAAGGAGAGGCTGGGGCCTGGGCACGAGCCAGGAACAGGCTGGCTACAGGCTAGAGGCTAGCGCGGTCCGCAGGTGGCTGCGCTCGGGCGAGGCGCGCGGCGCGCGCGCACATGGGTCATGGCAGGCCAGACAGGCTCGTTTTCTTGTTTTTGGCTAGGGATACACAAACAACAGAAGAATGAGAGACCACGCAGGCGCGACCGGGGCCACCCAGAGCTCACAAAATCGCCCCGCACCGGGAATCTCGACGTGCGCCGCGAGCGTCGAGAGAGGGATAGCTCCCGTCGCGGGCGGGCACGGTAGCGGCGGGGGCGCAGCGCGCGAGAGGCGTCTACTTGCGCGTGTTGGCGGGGTAGATCATCTTGCTCGCAAGGCCAAACAGGTCTGCGGCGGTGGGAGACGGGCGCGGTCAGCGGGGGGAAGCTGCGTTCGGGTTAGGGCGGGGGCGGGCGACGAGGGCGGCGAGGGCGGCGAGAGCGGGCGTGGGCGAGCGTGGGCGGGCGGGGTGGGCGGCTGGAGGGCACGGCTCGGGGCGGCGGCTCACACGCAGGGCCGGCGTTCGAGCCGGAGCCGATCCACCGCTCGGCCTCGCGCAGCGTCACCTCGGACAGGTTGATCACCTCGCCCTAGGCTCCGGGGAGGGAGGGGGGGGGGGGGAGAAGGCAGGGCTGGGCCTCCGCGGCTGGGACGGCCCCGCAATCGTCCACGGCAGCGGCGTGCACGCAGGGAGGGCAACTGCGGCAAGAGACGAGGTCGGGAGGCGAGCGGCGACTCACTTCCGGGCTCGTTGGTGACCCACGGGAGGATGCCGCCCTTGCCCTTGGTGCCCGAAGCCTTGCGAGCGACCGGCTTCTTCGCCGCCGCCTTCTTCACAGGCCGCCGCGCACCCATCTCCACAGGCGAGGCGCGAGCTGCCACCTTGGAGGCGGGCAGCGCGGTGGGCAGGTACGCCTGCGCACTGCGCACGGAGAGGGGGGCTCGTGTCAGCCGCACGCCCGAGCAGCAGCAGCACTCCGCGGGCGAGAGGGGCCGCGCACAGCAGAGCGCAGATGCAGAGGAGCAGGATGCGGAGCATGGCGAGCGAGCAGATCTGGGAGTCTAATAATGCACCGGTCTTTTTTTTCCTGCCCCCAAGATCTGCCCAGCGCCGCAGGGCTAGGGAGGGAGGGAGGGAGGGAGGCAGGCCCCCAAGGCAGGCAGGCAGGCAGGCAGGCAGGCAGGGAGCGGGAGCGGGAGCGAGGGGGGGGAGGGAGCAGGGTTGCAGGGAGGGAGAGAAAGAAAGAGAGAGAGAGAGAGCGGGATTGAGGGAGGGAAGAGAGAGGAGAGAGAGAGAGAGAGAGAGAGAGAGAGAGAGAGAGAGAGAGAGAGAGAGAGAGAGAGAGAGAGAGAGAGAGAGAGAGAGAGAGAGAGAGAGAGAGAGAGAGAGAGAGAGAGAGAGAGAGAGAGAGAGAGAGAGAGAGAGAGAGAGAACTTATGACTCAGAGATCTGCCAACAACATACGAAACAGAGTTATCACGCACCTGACACAGTTGCGCACGTCCACGATAGTTCGCAGTTGGTCGAGCGGAAGCACACCATGGGAACGCAGCACGGCGAGGCAGCGTCATGGCGATCGGGGGTGGCCGGCTACATGGACCAGCCTGGCGCCTGCGGCACCGACCTGACTCTACTCCCGGCGGCCGTTCACGACGCCGGGCCGCTCGGCGTCGAGGCGTGGCAGGCCGCCCTCGCGCTCTTAGTGCTGCTCCTGGCTGCGCCCACCGTCGGACGCGCGGCCGCTGGCCTGTTCGGGGTGCATCCGATGGCGGGGTGTATCCTGCTCGGCCTCCTCGCCTGCGCTCCTGTCGTCGACATGCTGCCTATGGCCGCTGCCCTCGAGCACCTGCGGCCGGCGTCGACCGCCTGCCGCGCCCTCGTGGCTCTCGAGTCGGCGCTGCACGTGGCGCCTCTGCGAGACCTGTGGCGCACCCACCGAGGCAGTGCCGCAGCCGGAGTGGTGCACGCCCTGTGCTGCGCCGTGGCGGCCTTTGTGGCGCTGCGGCTAATCACAGCAGAGTGGGTGGGTGCGCCCCGCGCAGCCAGCGCTCTCGGCGTCGGCCGCGCGCCGGCACCCGACGCGGTAGTGCTGCCCGTCATGGTCGGCGAGTATGCCCTGGCGACCGCCGCTGCAATTGGGGTGGTGTCAGCCGCCGCGGAGCCCACTTGCATGGCCCAGCTGCTGCACGACATGCACAGTGCCGGAGTCTTTTCGGCGACAAGCCTCCACGCCACCAGCGGCGCGATGCTGGCGTCGGTGTTGCTCCTACTGGCGCTCACGCCGGTGGTTTCGAACGCACACTACGGGATCAGCTTCTCCTTGGCCTCGGCGGCCGTCTCCGCCGGCCTCACCCTCGCCGTGGCGGCCGCCCTGTCGGCGGTGCTGCTCGGCATCAACAGGACGCCCCTCCGGGCAGCAATCCAGAGCCGCAGGTCCTTGCCTCTGGTTGGAAAGGCCGGGGCCCAGATGCTTGGCTACACGAGAGCGCACGCGAGCGAGATCGCTCGGGGGCTGAAGGGGGTCGTCGTTCTCGCAGTCGCCTTCGCCACCTTCTGCGCCGCGGACACGATGGAGCAGTCCAGCGGGAGCGTCAGAGATGCGTCAAGCGCACTCTACAGCTGCGCAGTCTTCGAGGGCCAGTGCACGGCGGTTCCGAATGCGACTCACTGGAGCGAAGGGGCCGTCTGCACGCTCGGGTACCAGGCGCCGGGGTCGACACCGACGTCGACGCCTCTCTCCTTCCAGCCGTGGCTGGCGTGCTTTTTCGCGTCTCTCTTTGTGGCCGCGGGCGTCGGTGGGGGGGCCGGCGCTCGCACGCGGTGGCAACTCGTCCTGCAGCCGTGGTCTGAGAGCGCTCATCTCATGCTAGCGACGCTCTCGGGCATGTGGCTCCCAACCTTTGGTGTGTTGGGTGCGCCGGGCGCTGCAGCCTGCGCCATCTTCGTCCTCCGCGCAGTGGCCTCCGGGCTAGTGTCCCTTGTAGCCGCCATGGCTCAGCGCCAGCCAAGATCGGCCGTTGCGGCCGCGCCTGTGCGCGGACTCGTGCAGGCGCAGGTGGCCCTCTGCTTCATGTGGGAGCTCCAGCAACGCGCTCCGGCGCTGCAGGCGTTCCCTTTCGACTTTGCCGCCATCGGTGGCACGCTAGTCCTACTCGAACTCATCGCCGGCCCAGTGCTGCTGCGGCTTGCGGTGCGGCTGGCGGGAGAGATGAACGTCGACCGGATTGGGAGGGCGCGCGTGCTGGGCGTGGAGGGCGCGCCTCCGGACGTGACCCTCAAGCTCTTTGAGTGGGAGGTACACGCCGACCTCGCGGGCCAGCACGTGGCCGAGTTTGAGTGGAGGGTTCGTGACGTCGAGACGGTGCCCATCCTCAACGACGGCGCGATCCGGCAGATGCTACTAAGCACGCGCGTGGACGCCTTTGTAAGCATGATGGAGAGCGACAGGCTCAACCACGCGGCGTGCCAGCTCGTGCTCGAGAGGCACGCCGATGCTGTCCCCCTCTGCATCGTCCGGTGCGTCGACAAAGCGTGGCAGCGAAAGTTCGCCGTGCTGGAGCCCGCGGAGGGGGTGCGGGTCGTGTCCGACCTTGACACGTCGGTCCGCAATCTTCTCAACCAGTTCGTTCAGTCGTCGCAGTCGGCGTCCCTCCTCCTAAACGACGACCCCGCCGCTGACGTCATGACTGTGACGATGACGGAGAAGGAGAATGGCAGACCGGTGCGCAGCCTGCGTGTGCCAGAGGATGTGCAGGTGCTAGCTATATATCGCGACCCGGCGGCGCCGTCCCCGATCGAGAGCCGCCGAAACAGCCCGGTCGTTGTCACGGCCGAGGAGCTGCAGGCGATCGCCGCGCCTGAGCCGAGCAAAAGGCCGCGAAATAGGACATCGGCGGCCAACGGCTCGATCAGCGAGATGCAAGACAGGGTGGCCATCGTGCCGCACGGGCACACGGTGCTGCAGACCGACGATGAGGTGACCATATGCGGGCGGCCCAGCTCGCTCGCCACGGTCACGGCGCTTCGAAAGGGCAAGGTTGTCCTCGTGCAGCATGACGGGAATCTGAGGGACCAGTGAGATCTCACAGCGGGGAGATGCGAATGACACTACGCGCCATGGCCCATGCTACGTGCGCAGGAGCGGCGGGTTTAGCGGCTCTCGGTGGTTGCCCCACGGTGTCGCCTGCAGGTGTCGCCAACATGTGTGGGGGCCGTTGAAGTGGCGGCGCGCCTCCTTGTAAAAACCACGACGGCGGTATGCGCCGACATTTTCTCGTTTCCTGAGGCGCGTGCTCATTTTGCTCACATAAGACTCCCCACCTCACCACACAGGACCGCCCGACATGTCCGACGACAGCGCGTCTGACTCTCTGACAACGACAAGAATTCTTCCCTGCCTGTGCTCCCTCCCTGCCTGCCCCCTCCGCCTCCCCTCCGTGTTTATTAGCCAACCAGATCAGCTCGCCTCACAATGCTTCGCATCCTGGGCCTCTGCATCTGTGCTCTGCTGTGGGACCTCTCTACGTACTGCGAGGAACTTAGCACTTCGGAGCGCGGTGTGCGGTGTGGTGCGTCCGCATGCGCCATGTATGTGCGTGTCTTACCGAGGCGGTGTCCGGTGCCGAACCTGTCAGACCTTAAGTGTTAAGACAGCATTGTAGATCCCTGGGCGAGGGTGTTGGCGTCCCCGTCTCGGGAGCGGGGAGGGGCTGTCGCGCCGGTGTCGGGGAGAGCGGGCCGCGGGCGGTGTCGGGCGGCGCGCGGGCCCGCGGCGGCCCCCGGGCCGCCGCCCGCCGGGGGGGAACCGGGGGTGGGTGGGGGGTGGGGGTCTCTTGCCCAGGTGGGTCTTCGCTGGACTCTGCTTTCTGCACTCTGGGTCTGGCTAGTGTTTTTCTTGTCCGTTTCAGCACACGCACATTAGTGAAGCTACAACGCCGTGCATTTCGAGTAGGCCTGCCGAATGTTCCCTCTGCTGCACAAGTCGGCGAGCGAGGGCACGTCGAACGGGAGGTGTTTGCGCAGACACTCGCCGCTGCAGATGCGCGTGAAGTTGCGGTGGATGTCGTGGAAGTTCTTCGGGTTCGCCTGGTGGCCCTTGATGTGGACCACAACCGACTGGGTGGTGATCGGCTTCCACAGCTGCGCCTTGTCCTTGCACAGGAAGCACAAGTCGTGGATCTTATCCCACCTGTGCGCCGCAGCAACGAGTGTCACATCACGCGGGCGAGCGTCCCAACTCGCGGGAGAGTGAGGGGGCATGCGGCGCGGTGATGGGGCGGTGCGTGGCGGGCCACAGGCTGTCTGCTCTTGCGGCGCGCACCCCCAGTGCAGGCAGGTGAGCGCGAAGGGCGCCTCGTGCACCCACATGCCGAGGACGGTATCCTCGCCTACTCGGCAGCCCGCCGTGAAGCGGTCTTATCCCCGCCCCCGTGGGCCGCCCCTTCCCCAGTCCCAATGTCGCCCCCCCGCGCGCACCGATGTCCCACTTTGAGGGGACGCCGCTGCCGCGCGCGCGGCGCACAAACTCGACCACCGCCGGCTGAGACACGACCCAGCGCGCCAGCGGCATCGACAGCACCTCGAGCGTGCCTGTTCACAGCGGCGTGCTGTGAAGAGACGCTGTTCACAGCGCGCCAGCGGCATCGACAGCACCTCGAGCGCGCCCGCGGCATACGGGAAGGGGCCGACGGCCCCCTGCGCCGCGCACCCCTCTGTCCTGGACGCGCCCGCCGCCATCATCGGGCCCATCCCGTGCCCGCACACGTGGAAGGACCGCTTGACGTACGACGCCCACAGCGTCGCGCCGCCGTACACGTACACCGCGCCGCCGCCCGCGCCGCCGCCTGCGCCGCCGCCCGCGCCGCCGCCCGTCGAGCGATCGGCCACGCCGCCGCCGGCTGACGCCGGTGGTGCCGCCGCCGGCGACGCCGCCCGCGGGGAGGTCTCCTGCGGCGGCGTCGAGTCCCACAGGCTTCGCAGGTTGAGCTCGAGTCGGACCGAGTGCACGTACGTGTCGTCATCTGTCGAGCGGGCGATGCTCGACTTAGTGATAGGCCATGCTGCATGGCCACGGCCGGAGGGGGGGGGGGGGAGGGGGGGAGGCGGAGGATGCAGAGGCGGAGGCGGCGGCGGCGGAAGAGGAGGAGGAGGCGAGTGAGGGGGAGGCGGAGGCGGGGGCACACCTGTCTTGATGCACCATCGGGAGGTGCGGGCAAAGGCTCTCGCGCAGAGCTGGAAGAAGGCAAACATCTTCTCGCCCGGCGGCTTCGTCTCCCGCGCGTCCACCCCGACGATGTCCCTCTCCCGCGCCTGCTCCTCGGCGAGGTCTGCGGCGGCGACCGCCGCTCCGACGAGGAAGAAGGTCCGCACGCTGGAGGTTGGCGAGGCCGATGCGCGCACCGCCGTGGCCCCGAGGGCCTTGAGCTCCGCGAGCGTCGCGTCGTCGTCGATGCCTCGAGCGATGTTGGGCAGGCTCATCCACGTCTCGCGGATCCACTGCCGGTGGCCCGTGTTGCGCGGCGCGGTCGCGACGCCGAGGACGAGGTAAGGCCCGCCGAGGACGACCGCCGGTCCTGGTGCGCCCGGCGATGAGTTGCCGGTGCGGTTCGCCGCTATCGGCACGAGGACGCGAGGAAAGCGAGGATGCAATCCGTGCTTTGCTTCCACGCGGGGTGAGGGCTCGGGTGCAATCCGTGTAGGATTCCTAGGCGTGAAAACGGAGGACGCCTGGAGGAGGAGGAGCGCGACGCCCAAGAGAGCAATCACGGTGGTCAGGAGCTGGCGCGTGCCGGCGCCGCGAGGAACACTGGCGCCTGGGAAGGCAGCGAGGCGGCGCCGAGTGCCGCCGCCGAAGGAGGGCATATGTGTATCCAGGTCGGGTTGCGGTCACAGTGGACGCCGTCGACAGTGCTGCACGACGGGAAATAAAATACTCGCGCGATGCTGTGAAAGCACGCCCAACCTAGCGGATTTGGGTACTTGCCCCCGAAGGCAAGTGCGTCTGTTCACAGCTCACGAGAGTAGAAATAAAAGCAGGTGCTTGGAAGGACGATCAGGGACACAGGCAGGGGGACGACGGTATGAACAACTCAAAACTTTTCTTTTGTCTCCGCCAGTCCGAAAGAACCGAAAGCTCTCTCTCAGTCTCTCAAAGAACCGCGGCTGTGGCTCGTGTCAAGCTCTCCATCCAGAAGACTGGTGCCTGATATGCTGCCTCCCTGCGGATGCTGCCGGCGAGCCTGGCGGTCCGCTGTACTTCAAGGAAGTGCTGACACGACCCCCCCCCCCCCCCCCCGCAATCTTCTACCCCCACGACTCGGAACGCGAATGACAGGACCATCGGGCCTTCAGCCACCAAAGCGAAAAAAAATCTCTCTGTCTGTCTCTCTCTCCCAAAGCGAGATCACCCGAGAGCAGCTGAGTCTGCCTCTGGCCTCGCCTCCCTCTCCTTCAGGCATTCGTGGCATCCAATGGGTCGTCCAGAGTATCGACCTCTGGCTTGTCAGTCGCGGTCACTTGATGACCCCCATGAAGTACAGCGATCGCCAACTCGCTGGCCTCTCCGCAAGGCCCCCCGACCACGTCGAACTCATCGACGCGGGCTCTCTCGGCTACGGGACCGGCCCCAGCTTCGGCTGAGGGCTGACTCGAAGGGCTGACAAGCTGCCGAGCCCAAATCACTGTGAGAGGCGTGATTTCTTGTTGGTTTTCAAAAATCTCTCTCCCAGGCTGCGCCCTTGTCGTGTCAAAAAAAGAGAAGCCAAGGGAGGGATCTGGGAGGACGGCACGCCGCCACCACACAGGGATTTTAAGGAGGGGAGTGGGGTGCTAGCCGTCGCCCACCCTTGGGCGTCTGCCTCTTCCTATCTCTCTTCGCAGAGTCTTCCCTCGCCAATTCTCGCAGCGACCTTCATGCCACCTCGCGTTCTTCCCGTTATCGTCGTTCTCTCTCCTGCTGTTTCATCCTCTGACTCATCGCTCTCCTCGGCCTCGTTCTGAGAGAGTTCTGAGACTCTGTGTGCATGCACTACACAAAAGCACATCCCCGGGGCCCAGTCGCCCAGATCGCACGCACGGACACTCGAGAAGTTGCATCCATGCACACACTGCACACACCAGCTCGAGCTGTAGTTGCATGCACACAGGTCGAGTTGTACCGCGACTATCTGACGGAGCTCGCGCGCCGCGGCTTCGACAACCTGAGCGCGGGGGGCGACCGCGTGTCGATCAGCACGCCGCGAAAGGTGTGGGCCACGCTGCGGGCGCTGGCAAAGGTGCTGCGACCGGAACCGGCGACGTGGACTTTTTAGTTTTTTGGTGTTGTTGTGCATGTGCGCGCGCGCCTTACTGCACATGGGGAACTTCTCGAGCCTTCCAAGTGAGTTAGTTTTCTAGGCGCTCAAAGAAGTGCCACACCAAGTCCTGGACCCGAATCCAGCCCTTGGCGTTGGTGCGTTGGTTCCTGCATGGCGTCCGCCGCCCGCAAGCGCGCCCGCACCGCCGGCGAGGACGGCGAATCGGACGGGGCTGCGGCGGTCGCGGATGGCTTCGAGGCGCCCCTCTTTGGCGCGCCCGTCGTCGGCCAGGTCACCACGCTGCCGCTCGAGGGCGAGGACGGCCCTCTGGCATCGATCAAACCACTCGGCGTCACAAGCGATCGCGCGGGCGCTTGGTACGTCGGGAGCAAGGGCTCGGTGCTGCACGTCTCTGCGGCCGGCCGAGTTCGCAGCGTGGCAAGCCTGGAGGACGCCAGCCTCCGCGGCATCGCCATTAGCCCGGACGCCAGCGCGCTGTTTGTGGCGGACATGTTCAACCACAAGATCCGCCGGGTGGAGGTGGCGACGGGCGCGGTGACCACTCTCGCGGGCAGCGGCACCGTGGGCAGTGCTGAAGGCGTGGGCGGCGCGGCGCAGTTCACTGTCCCAAGCGGCGTCGCCATCAGCCCAGACAGCAGCGCTCTGTTTGTGGCTGACTCACACAACCACAAGATCCGGCGGGTGGAGGTGGCGACGGGCGCGGTGACGACGCTCGTGGGCAGCGGCACCGAGGGCAGCACTGATGGCGTGGGCGGCGCGGCGCAGTTCTACAGCCCAATCGACGTCGCCATTAGCCCGGACGGCAGCGCTATGTTTGTGGCGGACTTCGGCAACCACAAGATCCGCCGGGTGGAGGTGGCGACTGGTGCGGTGACCACTCTCGCGGGCAGCGGCACTCGCGGCAGCACTGACGGCGTGGGCGGCGCGGCGCAGTTCCACCTCCCAAGCGACGTCGCCATCAGCCCGGACGGCAGCGCGCTGTTTGTGACAGACGCCAACAACCACAAGATCCGGCGGGTCGAGGTGGCGACGGGCGCGGTGACGACGCTCGCTGGCAGCGGCACCGAGGGCAGTGCCGATGGCGTGGGCGGCACGGCGCAGTTCCGCAACCCACTCGGCGTCGCCGTCAGCGCCGACGGCAGCACGCTGCTGGTTTGCACGAAAGACGGTGGCCTCCGCCAGGTTTGCGTGTCGGCGCCTCCTCCGCCTCCCACCTTCGCGCCGATTGTGGTGCCGCCCTCGACCCTGGTGGCCGACCTCGGAAAGACTTGTGGCGACGCCTCCCTCCCAGAGGGCAAGGTCACCTTCATCGTCGGCGATGACGAGGAGCGCTACGAGCACGTGAGCAAGTGCGTCCTCTGCGTGCGGTCCGTGTTCTTTCGGACCATGTTCGGCATCGGCATGAAGGAGCGCGACGCCGCCGAGGTCACGGTGCGCAACACGGACCTCGCCACCTTCACCGCCCTCGTCCGCTACCTCTGCACCGACCAGCTCGACCTCGGCGAGGAGGGGGGCGGCAGAGCGCAGCGCGCGCTCGACCTGCGGCAGCTGGCGCAGATGTACCAGGTGCCGCGCCTCGAGCTGCTCTGCGCGCAGGCGCTGCAGGAGAGCGTCGGGCCGGCGAGCGCCGTGCCGCTGCTCGAGGCGGCGCACATGACGGGCGATGGGCGGCTCCTCGCGCAGTGCCGCCGCTACGTGGCCGACAACGCCGCCGAGGTGCGGGCGAGCGGCGGCGTGGAGCAGCTGCGCGACCTCGGCGTGGCCAAGGGGCTGCTCGGCGACGCGCTCGACCAGGTGGCGGAGCTCAAGGGGAACCGCACGCAGGGCTGAGGTGCGGTTGGGCTGAGGTGCGTTTTTCACATTCTTTGTGGCCTACCGCAGCGGTGCGCGAAGCCCAGAGAGCGCCGCGTAGAGCCGTAGAGAGGTGGCGCCGCCGGCGATAGAGCGGTTACTGGGGAACGTAGTCGTAGAGCCGAGACGCGAGAGGGAGAGCGAGACGACATTGCCCGTGTTTACAGTTGCATGTGTGACGGGCGTGGTTTGTTTTGAGTCTATGTCGGCGTACGAGTGACCCAGGAGAGACTCGTTGATTGTTACACAAAGTGGCGCGGAGAGCGCACGAGCTCGCTGCTCGGAGCTCGGGAGTGACGATGGAAGCCCCCCCCGCACGCAACTCTCCTCTCCACGCGCCACGCACCTCTCCCGCTTACACAGAAACTCCTTGATTTATGTGATGTCTGGGCACACATTATCGCCGCCAATTCCATCGCAAAAATTCTTCCTCGGAGGGCACTTGGAGCCGCGCGGGCGGCGGGGGGGCACTTGGAGCACTTGGGAGTGCGGTCGGTAACCTCACATCCAGGGCCGGGGAGCTGAGAAGCGCACCCAGCGGGCCGGATGATCGGCATCGGGTTGCGGGCAAGAGAGCCCTAGCCCCGGGGGGTGCGCGTTCGTAGGGCAAGGGCCGTAAAGTAAACACGGGTCTCCGAGGGTTAGTTCCGTGTACCGGGTTTCCCCTTAACTGCAGAACGCCCCCTCTACTCGGAGCTAACGGACACACAACACTGTACGGAAAAGTATATACAGGCCCAGACAGGGTCCACACCTGCACGAGCAGGATTTTGGAAGGACGATCAGGGCGCAGGCGAGCGGTAGGGGCGCCGCGGAAATGTAAACAGAGAGTACACGATCGTCCGCCCTCCGCTCCCCGCCGCCGCTCCCGGTGGCGGCAGCGCCCGGACGCGGAGCTCGTGCATACACCGGCAAAAAAGGCGGCAGAAAAACGGTCGTCGAGAAAAAGAAGCTCGTGTTATTAGCAAAAAAGCTCCGTGAACCGGCAAAAAAGGCGGCAGAAGAAAGAAAGAACGAAAACAGACAACCCAAGGGAGGGATGGGAGGACGGTACGCCGCCACCACACAGGGATTTTAGGGGAGAAGTGTGGTGTTAGCCGTCGCCTACCCTCAGGCGGCGCAAGATAAGACAGTGTTGTGCGAGGGAGTTTTGCCGTAAGACTTTTTTTCTTTTGCTGCGGGTTGCCTCTCTGCGCTTGAGGCCAGCGCGGCTCGAGGTCGAGCGGCACTCCGTGGACCAATGAGCGTGCTCCTAGAGACCAGCGTCGGCGACATCGTGATAGACCTGCGGACGGAGGAGGCGCCCATCGCGTGCAAGTCCTTCCTCAAGCTGTGCAAGGTCAAGTACTACAACCACTGCCTCTTCCACAACGTGCAGGCCGGCGCGCTGATCCAGACCGGCGACCCGACCGGCTCGGGCACGGGCGGCTCCTCCCTCTACGGGCTGCTGTACGGCGATCAGGCGCGCTTCTTCGAGGACGAGTTCCGCCGCTCCCTCCGCCACGACCGCGCCGGCGTCGTCTCGATGGCCTCGTCCGGCCCCAACACCAACGGCTCGCAGTTCTTCATCACGGTGGGCGACCACGCGCAGGAGCACCTCGACGACAAGTACACAATTTTTGGCGAGGTGGCGGAGGGGCTCGACGTGGCGCGCAAGATCGGCGCCGCCTACTGCGACCCGGACGGCCGCCCCTTCCGCAACATCCGCGTGAGGCACACGATTGTGCTCGACGACCCGTTTGACGACCCGCCGGGGCTCGAGGTGCCGGACGCGTCTCCGCCGCCGTCGGAGCTGCACCGGCAGCAGGACCGCGAGCGCCTCGCCGACGACGAGGAGCTGGGCGGCGACGGCGAGGACGACCCGGTCGCGCAGGGCGGCGGCGGCGCAGCGTCGAGGCGTCCCCCTCGCCACCGGCGCACGAGCGTGTGGATAGGCGGCGCAGGACGAGGCGCTGCGCGTCAAGGCGGCCAAGTCGCGCGCGGAGGTGCTAGAGATGCTGGGCGACCTCCCCGACGCGGACGTCGAGCCGCCCAAGAATGTGCTCTTTGTGTGCAAGCTCAACCCGGTGACAGAGGACGACGACCTCGACATCATCTTTGGCCGCTTCGGCGCAATCACCTCGTGCGAGGCGACGCCGCGGCGGCGGGGCGGCGAGCTGCGGTGAGGAGGCGCGCTTCACGCCGTCTGCTGTGAGCAGGTGATCCGCGACTTCAAGACGGGCGCCGTAGCCGCCGAGGGGACTCGGACGCCGCGATGCCAGCGCCGCCGACCCCGCCCCCGCGCCGGCTTCAGGCGACTCGCTCAACTACGCCTTCATCGAGTTTGAGACGGAGGAGGCGTGCACGCAGGCCTACTTCAAGATGGACGGCGCTCTCATCGACGACCGCCGCATCAAGGTCGACTTCACACACACACACACACACACACACACACACACACACACACACACACACACACACACACACGCACACGCACACACACACACCGCTCACCCACGCGCACTGGGCCTTGCACTTTGAATGCCGCGGCGCTCGTGTCGTTAGACGTGGAGACGCGAGGGTCGCCCCCCCTTGCCCCACCACCTCGTGTGTGTGGAGAAGTTTACCTTACCTCACCTTAGGTCGACTTCTCGCAGTCCGTCTCGCACCTCTGGAACAAGCGGCGGCGCAAGGAGGCGATGCCCGCATACGAGGCGGGAGGAGGGGGCGGAGGGCCGCGCGGCGGCGGCGGCGGCGGCGGCGGAGGGCCGCGCGGGGGCGGAGGCGGCCATGACTACCAGCGCGTCGGCGACGTCGGCGCGCCGTGCGACGCCGAGCAGATCGAGAAGCTCCTGTCGGCGAGGCACCGCGCAAAGCTGAACCGCGACTTCCAGACGGCGGACCAGCTGCGCGACCAGCTTCGAGGGATGGGCGTCCGGCTGCACGACAAGGAGAGGACGTGGAGCGTCGCCGTCGGCCCCCCTCCCGGCCCCCCTGCGCGGTCGGCCCCTGCCCCACAAGGCCCTCCGCCGAGAGGAGCGGACCGCGACCGGCGGGAGCGCAGGTCCCGCTCCCGGGACAGGGATAGGGACCGGGACAGGGAGAGGGACCGCCGCGACCGGAAGGAGCGGCGGCGCTCGCGCTCGCGGAGCCGCGACCGCGACCGACGCCGGCGGGACTGATGGAAGGGAGTAGTCGTTTCTCGTGCGGTTTTGCTAACATTTGTTGCGCACGCGCCCCACCACGAGCCACCTCCGAATTGCGTTCTGTGGATGCCCGTCTGCTCTCGTTTTGTCGATTTACTATTATGTCTTGTAGAGAAATTTAAGTTTAACAAATCAAGGACGTAATTTTTACACGAACACGTGTAACTTCAACTTGTAAGGAGGCAAAAAAGAAAACGCGCAACCCACAACGCACAAAAGCACAAGAACGCGGTTCCCGCTTATGCACACATGCTACAGGTGTGTGTGGCGCCCCCCCCCACGTAAAGGCCGTTACTCTCTCTGCACACGTTCACGTATAGAGAGCGGTGTGGGCTCTCCGTCAGTCTCACACACACTCGCACCGGCCACCGGCGTGCCACGCAGTGCGATATGCGAAACCCAGATCGCCCCTCTCCCGCAGCCGCACAGCTGCGCTCAGCCTCACAGACAGGAATCGGATCCACACACGCACACAACTCTGACTCCACTCTGCGCTTGCTCACCCCACTCCTCAGCCGACCCCTGTGCGCACTGCGAGAATTGTACCCGAGAGATCGTACAACGCGGTCCGAGCGGGCCTCGCCCCAGCGTACAGTAATATGCCCCGCGTCGGCCTGTCAAGCAAGCAACTTGTGTGTGCACCTTCACACCTGCACCACAGCGACCTGGATGTCGTCGTCGGGCGACACGCGGTCGCTCGGCGACAGCACCGGCGGGATGTCGAGCGCGTCGTACATCTCGTTGCGGTTGCTCACCTCAACCTCGCCGTCCGCGGCCGCGAGCCCCCGCGATGCGGGCGCCGGCGTCATCTCCCTCACCACCGGCGGCGGCGGCGCGGGCGGCTCGGCGGGCTGGAGGAAGGGGTTCGCGGGCACCGAGCTGCTCGACGCGCCGCCCGAGGGCTCTGCGCCCGCGCTGACCGTGGACAGCTCGGTGACGGGGTGGTCGATGATCACCGGGAGACTGCTCTTGCGGCTCATCCGGGCGCGGTCGAGCGCCTTTGGGTTCCGGTTCGCGGCCGCGACGCTCGGGTCGATGGTCGCGCGCACGGCGATCCGCGACGGCTTGGAGATGAGGCTGCTGCGCGCCGCCTTCTTGGAGGCGGGCTTGAGGGGGCGGCCGGCCCAGTCAAACGCCGCGGGGCCGCCCTCCTCCGCCGCCTCCTTGGCCGCCCCCTCCTCGCCCGCGCGGCGGCGGCAGAAGAGGAGCGCGATGACGCCGACCACGACGAGGAAGCCCGCCGCCGCGACAACCTCGAGGATGAGGACGGGCGGGACCGCCTCGCCCTCCCGGGCGGAGGCGCGCTCCTGCTGCGTGGGCGGCGAGGGGCTGCTCTCCGACGCGTGGACCACCTCCGCCGAGACGAGGAGCGGCGACACGTTGAGCGGGCCCGCAAAGGCCGGCACGATGGCGGCGACGTCCTCGGGCGTGATTGGCCAGCCGGCGACGTTCAGCTTGAGGAGGACCTCCTGCTGGCTCGGCGCGCTGCCGAGCACCAGCTCGCTCGCGTCGGCGAGGTAGTCCTCCGCGTCGGCGGCGAGGCCCTCGGCGCACTCTGGGCACTCGTGGGCCGCCACGTCGTCGGCCGCGTTGGACAACTGGACGGCGCGCAGGGAGGCGAGCAGACTCGTCTTGTTGAGCTGCCTGATGTCGAAGGTCTCGTCGCCGTGCAGCGAGCGGCGAAGGCCGACGTGCGCGAGCTGCATCGCGTCGTCGGACGTGGAAGGGCGGCCCGAGAGGACGCTCATCACCTCGCACTCGCGCGCCACGCCGGTGTCACCCGGGCACATCTCCGCGTGCACCGCCGCCTCGACGTCGCTCAGCTCGATGCGCGGCGAAAAGTAGACGGTGTAGGTCAGCAGCTGCTGCACCGAGATGGGCAGCGCGAGGGCGGTGTCCGGGCTGTAGCGGGCGCTGAAGCTGCGCGCGATGCTGGCGGGAGCGCGGTGCGAGCAGATCTGCGCGACGGCGCTGTAGACGAGGCCGGCCGTGGCGTCGATGACCGCCTCGGCGAAGGTGTGGAGCCAGATGCTCGCGATGGCCGGCGGGGGTGGGGAGGGGGGCGGCATCGGCATCGGCGGAGGGGGGGGCAGCTCGAGACGGACCCCGCAGTCAGCACAGTCCGTGCCGAGCTCGCACAGACTGTACTGACTGCCTGCCCCCCCGTCGTCGCACTCTCCGTCGGAGGAGTGGTAGCAGCTGTTGGTGCACGCCCCGGGCGACTGCGGCGGCGAGGGCGGCAGCGAGGGCGCGCCGGACGGCGGGCTGGCTTGCGGTGGCGGCGGCGACGCGAGGTTGAGCGCGAAGAAGTCGTACTGGTCGGGCTCCCACCCCTCGGGGCAGGTCGAGTCGGACGCGAACTCGGCCCAGCAGCTGCCCGCCTTGCGCCCCTTGCCGTACAGGAAGAACTTGCAGCCGAAGAGGCGGCCGCACGCGGCGGCGCAGTGCGCCAGCTCGCCATAGTCGCCGAGCCGCACGTCCGCCGAGGCGCACTCGTGATCGGCCTTCGCCAGAGTGAAGCGAAGGCCCTCCTCGGTGGTGGCTGTGAACGGAGGCGGCGGCGGCAGGACGGGGACCACCCGGTGGCCGCAGTCGCCGCAGTCGGACGCGTGGTCGCAGAGGGAGAAGAGGGAGCCGTCGCCCCCGTCGTCGCACTCGCCTACGCGCGGGCGGCGGAGGTGAGGGCGGCCGCGTGGGCTGCGGCCGAGGGGTCGAGGGCGGGCGCACCGTCGTTCGAGTGGACGCAGGTGTCGTCGCAGGCGTGGGCGTGTCCGTCGGGGAGCGGCATCGAGGGGGGCGGCGGAGGAGGAGGCGGAGGCGGCGGCGGGGATGGCGGCGGCGGCGGAGGCGGCAGGTGCAGCCGGTGGCCGCAGTCCGTGCAGTCCGAGCCGTGCTCACAGATGGAGTAGTCGGAGCCGTCGCCGCCTGTGTGTGTGTGTGGAGGGGGGGGCAGGTGAGGGGGGGGTCGGGGGAGTCGGGGGAGTCGAGCGAGGGAAGGGGGAGGGGAGAGGGCGGTGAGAGGGAAGTGGGAGGGATCTGGGAGGCAGGTGGGGGAGAGGTGCGACTAGGTGACTTACCGTCGTCGCAGTCGCCATCGGAGGAGTGGTAGCAGGTGTCGTGGCACTCTGCTCCGAAAATAGGAGGCGGCATAAACGGAGCAGCCGAGGGCGGCGGCGGCGAGGCAGATGGTGGCGGCGAGGCCGGCATGGGCGGGCTGGACGGCGCGGGAGGGGAGGCGGGAAAACGGTGCCCGCAATCTGCGGGGGGGCGGGAGGGAGGAGGTGAGGGGGAAGGTGGGGATCGGAGGTGGTGGAGCGCAGAGTTGGCGAAGGGAGAGGGGGACGTGGAGAGTGGATGGGAGAGGGGAGAGGGGAGAGGGGAGAGGGGAGAGGGGAGAGGGGAGAGGGGAGAGGGGAGGGGGGAGAGGGGAGAGGGGAGAGAAGGTGGGGAAGAGAGTGGTGGAGAAGTAGGGGCTCACCCGAGCAGTCGCTCCCGTGGTCACAGGCGCTGTAGAGGGCGCCGTTGCCGCCGTCGTCGCACTCGCCTGAGAGAGGCAAGGAGATGGTGAGATTCGCGAGCCTTTTGCAGGTTGCAAGGGCCGAGGCTCGGGTTGTACCGTCGCGAGCGTGGAAGCAAGAGTCGGTGCACTCGGAGGGCGGAGCCGACGTGGTCGCCGCGGGAGGCGGCGAGGCCGGAGGCGGAGCCGACGGGAAGCGGTGGCCGCAGTCGGCACAGTCGCTGCCGTGGTCGCAGGCGCTGCGGGCAAGGAGGTAGGCGGTTGGGTGTCTGTGGGGCCGGCTGGGAGGAGGCGAGGGGGAGGGCGGAGGGCCGGGCGGGATGGGCGGCACCTGTAGAGGGCGCCGTGCCCTCCGTCGTCACACTCGCCGTCGTTGGAGTGAAAGCACGAGTCGGTGCACTCGGAGGCCGGAAGCCCCGACGCCGCCGAGGGCGAGGCTGGGGTCAAAGGTGGAGGCGAGGCGTGAGGGCGCTCGCCGCAATCCATACAGTCGGTGCCGTGGGCGCAAGCCATATAGAGCGAGCCGTCGCCTCCGTCGTCACACTCGCCGTCGCGTGCATGCGGACAGGCGTCCGAGCACGCGGCGGCGAGCGTTCCGTCGAGGGCCGGCGGAGGCGGGACCGGGCTTGGAGGGGGAGGCGGACTGCGCTGCTCGCCGAGCAGGGTGAAGCCGTCGGGTCTGGCGAGGGGCGCCAGGGCGAAGAGGATGGACATCGTAGGGCTGAGCGGCAGGAGGCTGTGACTGGCGCCAGCGAGGAAGGACGCCTTGCGCTTAGGGGGACAGAGTTGCCGATGGAACGCACGTTTGCGCCGGAATTACTTGAAGTTCGGCGGGCTCTTCCTTCCCTCTGAAAATTTATTTTTTCTTTCTCGGGCGGCGCCACCGGTCGCCCATGGGGATGGATCGCCCGCCGATTTTCGCCGCTCCCTTCGGGCTTTAAAGAGAGAAATTCGTGCTTTCAGCAGAGCGACAAACAACACCCTGTCTGCACGTCTCGCGCGCGCGTGAACAGGGCTCCAGGCCCCAAATGACGTGTGAGTGTTAGAGTTGTTTGGTATTGCTAAAAATCTCTCCCTCAGAGCGTATGGTCTATGATTCACAAAGAAGAAAGGGTACACCTTGTACTGGGATGGCAGCTGGGCCGACAAGGTCGCAAGGCGCGCTGTCTTCCCGCTCGAGCACGACGTACGACCCCGGCCCCCTAGAGTTTTTTGTTGGCTCCTAAAAATCTCTATCTATGATTCACTAGACCCGTGAGGGGTCCCGTACCATGCGGAATCGACCCTATCAAGTGCTCAAGTGCTCAAGACCCGTGAGACCTGCTACCGACACCGGCACGCTCGGACCCGAGACATTTAGCGAGCAAACAAATCTATCACTCACAAATCATTTTGGGGATTAAGTCTTCTGTTTGTTTAAAGGACTGACCCGAAGGCCGCTGGCGCTGCCACCGCCTACCTCGCGGCGCGCTTCAGTCTGTCGCAGGAAATTGTGGAGAATGACCTCCAGACTGCCCCAAAATCACACCCAGCCCCCACCTCAGCACCCCTATTATCACTCTCCCCCCCCCCCCCCCCCCCTCACCGCCCGCTCCGGCTGATGTGGCGCACACCCTCTCCGCTGTCTCTCACAGGTGATAGGAAGGCACAGCTCTCAGTGAGAACGATGGGCTTGCCCATCCCGGAGTGGTTCGATCCCACATGAATCCGAGACGGTGATGGGAGGCGTCTCGGTGATCTCAGACCCAGTGAGGCAGTGCATCAGACTAATCCCGGATCCTGCTGAACAAGCTCCTCTTGTAGCTCGATCGGTCACACCGCCATCGCCGTCGGGGAGAGGGGGGACGACACTGCCTCGGCAGCGTGCACCTCGATCCTGTACCGTGTTTGTTATGACCCCCCCCAATGAACACACCAGTGAGGGAGGGCGAGACGATCGAGGGGTCCCGTACCATGCGGAATCGACCCTATCCAGTGCTCAAGTGCTCAAGCTCCCCGGTCCTGGGCATGAGGTTACTGACTGCACTCCAAGTGCGCACTTGGAGCACTTGGAGTGCAGTCATTAACCGCACATCCAGGGCCGGGGAGCTAAGAAGCGCACCCAGCGGGCCGGATGATTGGATGATTGGCATCGGGTGGGCGGGCGAGAGAGCCCTAGCCCTGGGGGGGGGTGCGCGTTCGCAGGGCAAGGGCCGTAAAGTAAATCACGGGTCTCCGAGGGTTGGCTCCGCGCTCCGGGTTTCCCCTAGCAGCAGACCTCCCCCTCTACTCGGAGCTATAATGGATACGAAGGCGCATTTTCTTCTCTTCTCTGTTGCTGTGGGCCGGCCGCATCCCGCTCCCGAAGAGCTTAACACCGCACCCGCACCCGGTCTCTCATGCTCCTCGGCTCAGCGGTCGACATCGTCCTCTCCTCGGTCGAGGAGCGGTACGAGCTCGGCGACATGATTGGAGTCGGCCACTTCTCGCAGGTGCACTGCGCACGGCCCGCCGGCAGCCTCGGAGAGCACTCGATCGCACTCAAAGGGATCGAGCTGTCCGTGCTGAACGACGACGAGGAGGCTCTCGCGATGCTCGTCGGCGAGTGCCGCGCGCTGCGGCTCGCCTCCGAGTGCTCCGCCCTCCAGTCGCGGGTGGTCCGCCTGCGTGAGGTGCTCGGTACGCCCTCGAGCGTCTATCTCGTGCTGGACCGTGTCGCTGGCGTCGAGCTCTTCACGCTCGTCGAGCGGCATGGAGCGCTGCCCGAGCCGTTTGTCGCGCCGCTGATGGCGCAGCTCTGCCACGCGCTCGCCGCGCTGCACTCGATCGGCGTCGTTCACTGCGACGTCAAGCCAGAGAACCTCATCATCTCGCACTACCCGGCGTCGCAGCATCATCGGCCCGGCGGGGAGGAGGGACTGGTGGGCGGGCGGAGGGCGGACAGGGAGGGGCGGGAGGCGGACGGCGAGTCGTCTCTGCCGCCGCAGCTCACGCTGATCGACTTTGGGTACGCGGCGACGCTCGCAGAGGGCGAGAGCTGCGAGGGGCTCGCTGGGTCGCCAGAGTACGCCGCGCCCGAGGTGCTCACCTGGCTCAGCCGCGACCGCCGCGGAGAGCCGTACGGCGGCCCCGCCGACGTCTGGTCGGCGGCGGTGACTGCGCACGTCCTGCTGACGGCCGAGCTGCCCTTCGAGCTGCCCGACGCGGAGGACGCAGACGAGGAGGCGCTCGCGGAGGCGGCACGCCTCACCTCCCTCTCCTTCGAGCAGCCGGAGTGGGCCCTCGCGGAGCAGGCGAGGGCGTGGGTCGCGGCCTGCATGGCGCCCAGCCAGGCCGACCGGCCGACCGCCTCGGAGGCGCGCGCGCTGCCCTGGCTGCAGAGGCACCCGGGCGACGTGACAGAGAGCGGCGGCGGCGAGGAGGGGCGGTTGAAACCTGCTCCGTGCACTCCGCCCCCGGTGGAGCTCAATGCCTCAATACCCGATGGCTGTGACGAGGCCTGACAGCGACCGTGGGGGCGATGCTGCGCCACCGCTGCGCGCGTGACGACGCGAACTCGCGTGAATGTTTCGAGCTGGTGTGTAAATAAATAAATAGAACGGACACCTCTACTAGGAGATGGGTAAAAAGGAACAGGTCCCCGCCCTTGCGATCTTTGTGCAGGGTTCTTTGTGGGTGTGGTCGGCGACTAGCCGGGGTCGTCCTCCCGATGGGGGACTAGCACTAGCCGTCTTCCACATGGTCCCTCGGGTCCCTGCTGCTCCTAATCTCTTCGTACATCCTCCTGCTGATCTCCGCAACGTCCTGCTCCCTCCCTCGTCTCGCCCTGCGCGCCTGCTCCGCCTCACCGTCGTCTGCCCTGCGTCGTCTGGCGACGGGTCCTCCATAGTCGGTCGAAGTCGCCGCCCTCCTCGTGCCTCTTCCCAACGTTCCCTCGGCGGTCGATGCCGTCTGGTCCGCCTCCGCCGTCCCCGGGTCTGACCTGCCCTCGTCTGCACTAGCTTCTGTTTCGTCATCACTGGCGCCTCTCCTCTTCTTTCTCCTCTTCTTGTATGCTTTGTACATTGCGTCGATTCCTTTTCGCGTGAGCACCACCCTGAAGCTCGCCCAGCAGCGGAACCGCTCCCTAAGTCGAAGGAGCATCATCAGTCTCACCCACTTCGCTCGCTGCCCACTGTCTCCGCTCCCTCCCGCTTGAGCTGCCGTCGCGGTCCTCGTTCGTCCCGCTGGCTGCTGGCCTGTCTGCACGTTGCCTCCGTTATCCCTCCTCCTCCGCGACTCCCTCAAGGCCGGGCGGGCCTCCTTCCACCCAGCGAAGAGCTTCCTCAGCCACTCGATGTGTTCCTCTCTCTTCATTATGCGCGCCGTAGCCTCATCATTGAGCTGTATCCACCTCTGCACCGCTCCCGTCGCCGCCTCGGCCACGACTTGCAGGTTCCTCGTGACCCCGGTGCCAAGGTCCCTTCGGCTCTTCTCCGAGAGGTCATCTACCAGTGCTGGCAACACCCCCCCGACTGCGGGGGCTAGTGTATCGTACCCGTCCTCGTCCAGCACCCTGTAGCGTGAGCCCTTCAGCGCAGCGACATGCGCCATCCTCAGCGTCTTCAGCGTATCCTTGGAGTCGGGTGCCGCCTGTGCCACTTTGCTGATCGCCGTCCCTGTCTGCGCTCGCGCTACTCTGAGGAACCATCTGGCCTGCTCCCTATTCCCCAGGCAGGCGCCGCTAAGCACGTGCGCCATTGTCGCTCTAGGCGGGTTCTCATCTTCCTCGGTCCATTGCTGCGCGGCTTTCCGCACGATCGGACACAGCGGGTCCCGCTTTAGTGCTGCCCTCCTCGCCGCGTCCCTCGCGGCCTTACAGACGAGGCAGCCCCTGAGTTCGCTCCTTGTGGCTGCGCCCGGGGTCTCCCTCCCCGCCTCTCCCCGCATGATCCTCTCGTGGTGCGTTCCGTGTGGCACCCCCGCCTGCTGCCGCACCCGCGCTCCCATGACGGTCTTTGTCACCACGTTGTGGTCATCCACGTCGGCGAAATCAATCTCGCGCTCGCCGTGCTGATCCTTGATCCGCTGGCGCTTGTCCCATTTGTGTCTCGTCGTTCCCCTGACCACATCGCTCCACAGCGGCCCTGTCACCCCTGCCGTGTGCGACCCAGCCGTGAGCCCCTCGCCGAGCCGTCCTCGCACCCACTCGTTCGTGTGGCCGCGTGTGGCGTAATAGGTCCTCCGGTCCAGTACCTCCCGCCCCCCCTCTCTGTCTGCCGTCCTCCGGCGGTCCGTGTACAGACACGGGCGCGTTCTCACTGCTTCACGGATGACGGCGGTGGCATCCTCAATCTCGCTGGCCCCCATGTATGCCGTCGCCGCGGCGTCGGCATAGGCGTTGCCAGCGCACCCCGCGTGGCTCGGTACCCACAGGAACGTGACGGATTCGAGCTGGGCGCGATATCTGCATATCCCCTCTAACTGAGCCCCTCGATCCCACTCCCGGAGCCCCTCGAGAGAGCCTTTTCGGTACGCCGCCTCGATCTGCTGTAGCGCGGGCTTGCAGTCGCTCAAGACGAGGCACCTCCTGTCCGCCGCATCCTCCGCCGTTGCCATCTTACGCAGGTAAGCCAGCACCGCGTACATTTCCGCGTCTATCACCTGCCAGTCGTCCGGCAGTCTGCCGCCCCACAGCCCCTGCCCAAACGCGAGCCGCAGCTCATCGTCCCCCCCTTCGAGCTGTCCAGATCCCTCGACGGGTCTCCCGAATCGGGCCGGCCCTTCGTACACCCCGTACGACACAACTGGTTGCGGCACGAACCTATCCCCCACCCACTTATTCGGCGTGTCTCTCCCTCCATCCGTCGCAGCGAGGTGCGTGAATGGCCGCGCTCTGTGCAGCGCGAGGCATATCCTGGCCACCTCCGCATTGAGCTCACGGCCCTTCCCCGAGCCGAGCGGCTCTTTATCCTTGCCCATCATGACCTGCGTCCCGTTTCTGTCGGACAGCGCCCGTGTCCCGACCTCAAATTCGTCCCACCGCAGTAGGAAGCGCGTAAGCGGATCCTCCTGGAGTTCGGCGTCTCTTACCCACGCGCCGTGCCTCGGGGGCGGGCCCTCCATCTCTCCTAGCCCCGGCACTACCCCTCCCACCTCATCGCGTGTCGCCAGCTGCGGTCTCGCTACTCCGCTCGGCGGCTCTTGCTCTTTTAGCTCGCACGGCTGCCGGTATCCGAGCGCCTCCTCACTCGCACTCGCCATCTGTTCCGCCACGTCGCCGGCGTCACTCCCTCTCTTGACCGCTACGACTATACCGTCGTGCTGCAACGACAGCACTGCGTGGCCGTTGCGCGCGGCCCAACGCACCTTCGCCCTTCGGCTGATACTCTCCGCCTCCTGAAAGGCGAACGATTTGACTGTGCGTTCCGGGTGCCCCTTCCCTGGCTTGTGGTGCGCAAGCCAATCCGTGACAAAGCGGGTCATTCCCGTCCTCTCCTCCAGGCTGTTGCTCAGCCAGAGCGTGCCCTCGGCTTGCGCCTGAAGGTACGCCCCAAAGTCAAAGGAGCCTCCGCCCTCTAGTGCTACCCTTGTCTGCTTCAGTTTGCCCTTGTCCAACCCCCACCTCTCCGCCCACGTCGCCACATTCCCGTCCATGTCGATCGAGGCGAAGAGCGTCTTCACCCGCGCACGTCTCTCCCGCCGCCCCTCTCCCTGGAACAAGGCCGCCCCCATGCTGCTTAGGATTTCCTCCCTGTTGCTCAGGAATTGCTTTGTCACGCCGCTCCCCGGCCCCACCATCTGCACTCGCGCTCGCGGGTGCGCCGCAGCATCATCAAAGTCGTGGAACGGGCCGAGGGCCAGCGTCCGGAGTCGGCGTGGCAGCGCAAACGGATCGACGTCACGGTCCGGCGGTACCGCGTATTCCCTCGACGTGCTCACAAGCCCTGCGTCGACCAGCGCCGCCCCCATATGTCCGTACCAGTATCTCACGACGACGGTCGCCCATCGCGCTCCGGCCCGTCTACACGCCTTCCCAAGCAGCTTCTGTATCATCTCCCGCTCCGTGCCACGATACGGCACCCCGTGCTTATCAACGGGCACCACGTTGGCCTCTGGCCTGGCGGCGTAGGCCTCTAGCGCGCTCGCGTCGATCGCGCATCGCAATGTCGATGTTACGTGCCGCGTCCATCCCTCCCGCTTCCACTCCTCCCTAACTTCTCGTTGTTTTTCTGGGTTGAGCATGTCGTCCCGCGCTCTCTCGAGCCGGCGGTGTGCCTCCCTCAGCCGCGCCCCGTCGCACCCTGGCCTACCCAGCCTCTTGTACGCCTCGTCATAAAGCGTCCCCACCGCCCCGGGCTCGCCCATCGTGTGCCTATCCCGCGTGAGCATCGGTCCGTCGGCAGGCGTAGCTGGTGTGTGTATGTGTATCTACACCTAATATGTGTTCTATGCAGAGCAGTATCTAGAGTACTGTACGGCTTGCGTGCGCTACGAAGGGTGATCTGCTTGTGAGCTGTGCCTCTTGAAGGTCCCGTGAATGAGACTACGCTTTTGGGGGGTTTCACTCTTCGCGCGACGTGTTGTGTGAAAATCACCGTGTGTGTCAAGTGAAAGTGTGTCTGTGTCACATAGCTTACCCCGACTTACACATGTCACACCGCAGTCCCCGCACAACTCGCGATGACACACTGCACCCAAATACTCGTTGCGAAGCGGAGCGAGACGAATCATGCCACTAGCACGACTTACAGCACAAAATAAGCAAAAACCAAGCGCCATCTCGCCCTCTTTGCAGGGGGGGCTGCGGTCAGAGCGAGTAGGTGACGGAGCAGGTGAAGAGGCGGCAGCGCATTTCCTTGCCGTAGAGGCGCCACTCGCCCGGCGCGTCGACCCGCTCGAGCACGACCGTCGCAAAGGGCGGAAGCGTGTAGCCGGGCCCGCTCCTGCTGCGCAGCCCCTCCCCGGGGGCATCCTGGATGAGCGAGTGGAAGCCGCGCGCGTCGGCGCGCCGGTTGACGAAGCGGACAACCTCGGACGCGTGCACCTGGCGGGAGGGGGAGAGGCGCCGTGCGAGGTGCAGGGGCGGGGGTCGACCCTGGGCGGACCCTCTCTTTCCGGCACACGTCCCTTGCTCACCGGCGTCTCACTCTCGTCGTTGTGGATCAGGAACCCCTCGCCCGAGCCGAGCGCGTACCGCGACGCCTCCTCGGCGTTGACAAAGGAGCGCGTCCGTAGCGTGAGCCCGGCCTTCGCCTTCCTCCGCAGCAGCGCGCCTACGGCAAGGCCCCGAGAGAGCTCCGAGGAGGCGCGGCGCCGCCTCTGCCCTCCGCAGCAGCCCCGCCCCACGCAGCGTCCTCCTCTAGCAGGCATCCGGGCCCGGTCCCCCACGCCTCGGGCGGCAGCGAGAGGGGAGAGTAGAGGTGCGGCGGCGCGGGGCCGGACTGGCGCAGCGCCGCCGCCGCCAGTGCGTCGCACACGGCCCACACAGACGCCGGAAAGGGCACCGGGCGGCCCAGCGCCACCGGCAGCCTGTATCGCGGCCGGCCCGCAAACGTCTTGATCCGGCTGAGGGAGCGGCTCATCGCGGCGCCCGAGGTCATCAGCAGCGTGACCACCTCTGCGTGCTGCCTGCTCCAGCCGGCCACGGTAACCCGCCACTCGATGTCGCCCGCGTTGGCCGAGAGGCACGCGTCGACCGACCGCTCTCCGCCCGCGCCGAAGAACTCGGCGCAAAAGTCGAGGTGCTCGGAGCCCCACGCCTCGCCCGTCAGCAGCTGGTAGAGCCGAAAGTCCTCCGTCTGCAGTGCGACGTACTCGTCCCGCCACCCGGCTCGCACGCTCGAGCGCGGGCAGCCGAGCTGCCGCTCGAGCGCCTCGGCGGTGCCGAGGGCGCGGAGGCGGTTGTACGGCGTGCCGGGCGGCGGCAAGGGCGAGGGCTTGCGCCGCCGCAGCAGCAGGGCCGCCGCGCCGCTCGCCGCAGCGCGCAGCCTGGCGCAGCAGCAGCACGCGCGCGCCAAGTCGATGGCTGGCGCCTGCTGCAGGAGGTGCATGAGGACCTCGTCGTCGAGGAGGTCGAGCAGGGCCGCCGGCGAGGAGGGAACGGCGAGGCGGCGGCGGGGCGCGGCGCGCTTGGCCATCTGTGTTCGTGTGTGGTGAGGCGCGTGCGGAAGCGCGTGACTTTGCAACCGACACCGCCTTCGACCCTCGCACGGCTGGCACCCGTGGCGCGGGGCTCGTTCTTCGGAAAGACCAGGATAGCTCTCCAGGCAAACTTATAGCTGACACGCGCGCCCCGTCGAGCTTACGGCGGGCGGGCGGCGCGCTGCGGTCGCACGCCTACCCAAGTCATACATATGTGATATGCCACGGCGTGCGATCTAGATTCAGCACACGCGCTTCTGCTCGCAAACACTCATCCAATGAATTGTCGTCACCCATGAGTGCGAGTTTAGGGCTAGCGGCTGGCCGCTAGCCTGTGAAGAGGGTGGCGTCCATAGACAGCTCACAAGACCCCACACACGCACGGTCTTGTCCGTGCCTTGCGGCCGGCGACGAGATTAGAGGCGGAGCAAGCCTGCTCTACTCGAGTAGTGACTAGTCTCACACGTTACTGTCTGTGTTTGTGTGCTGTTGTTTGAGCCCTTGGCACCGGCGTCCGTGTGAGAGAGAGATTTTTAGCAATACCAAACAACTCTAACACTCACACGTCATTTGGGGCCTGTGGAGCCCTGTTCACGCGCGCGCAAACACAAAACAACTCTCTCTCGCGCGCGCGAGAGACGTGCAGACAGGGTTGCCAGGTGATGTTTGTTCCGTGTGTGCTTTGGGGGGGGCGAGAGGGGGGCGTGGCCCTGAGTGATGTGTACGCCCACTCAGGGACAGGGTGTGTGGCAGCCAGCTGGCTGTGTGTCTTGTGAGCCTGTTTGTGTCTGTGTGTCGCTCGTGCGTGTCGTCATCATCTGTCCCGCGTCCACCCATACGCATACCGCGTTGGGCACGACACTGGCGCTGATTTGGTTTCGAACGCTGTTTTCTTTGTCTGTGCGTGCCGCGTTGGTGTCCAGTCCGAGCCTGACTGTTCTTCACCTTCCTCCCTATGTATGTTGGTAGGGAGGTGATGAGGAGTCAGTTATGCGCGGCGGGCGGTTAGACGTTACGGGGCGAATCGAACGTTCGGAGGCTTCGGAGGTGCGGAGCGTGTCTCATTGCGTCAGGCTCACGACCGACACCCACCGGAGACCTAACCTAACTGCCCAAGACGGGCTCTGGCACGGTCGAGACGCTGCCGACGCTCTTGGGCCGCCGCAGCTGGCCGACTCGTTTGGCTACAATGGTGGCTGCCATGACAACAACTTGCGGCCCCGTCTACTTTATTGATTGAGTTGCCCTGCACCGCGCGCGACGCTTTGTTTGCCGCCGCTGCCAACGCCGCCTCGTGCCACGTGGCCGCGAGCAGCCGCGGCGGCGGCGGCAGCTCAGCGTGCAGCGGCGCAGTGGCAGTAAGTAAAGTCGAAGTAAAGGAAGCGGCGCACGATGAGCAGGACGACGCGGAGGGTGGGCGCCGGGATTGGGATGAGGACCCGCTCGGGTTCGACACCAACCCGATGCTGCTCCGCGCCATGTGCATCACAGGCAGCCCGTGCCTTTTGGTGTTAAGAATCACTGAAAAAAGAAAACACGAGCGCGCTGGCGGCAGCACTCCCAACGACATCGAACGACATCGGGTTCAGGCGCAGCCGATGGCCGAACCGCCTCGCCAAGACCCCGACATCGCCTCGCGTGTGCTGTCGGGCATCTACGAGCTCGCCTGCTCGTCGGGGCGCGGCGAGCCCATGCCCCGCGCCGTGGCCGACCTCCTCGAGCAGCGGGGCGTGCAGCCCGCCGACGCGCGCGCCGAGAACTGGAAGCGGGTGCGTCAGCTGCAGACCGTCTCCGCCGGCGCGACGCCGCTCGGCGAAGCGCTGGGTGCGCTCGACAGGCTCGTTGCGTCCCTCGGCATCGACGACGCATCCGAAGCGTTGGTCGGCCTCCGGGTGGAGCTGCGCATGCAGGCGGGGCCTGCCACCGCAGCCGGCCCAGCCGCTGCTGCGCATAACTCTCGCGACCCCGCCCCGCGCCGTCCAGGTCGTGCTGGAGCACCTGCGCGCGACGCCCGCCAGCTGGAGGGAGGGCAAGCGCGCCCTCGACCGCCACTTCTCCCGCCCGCGCTTCAAGGCGGAGAAGTCGTGCGTGAGGCTCCTCACCGACGCGCTCGAGAGCGCGTGCAAGGGGGAGGTGCCGCGTCCTCCGCAGCGGAGGGTGTGCAGCGTGGCGCACCGCGTGCGACGCGACGCGGGCGCGGCCCTCCCTCCCGTGTCCCCCCCGCAGGTTGCAAAGGCAGCCCCTCTCCTCCAGCGGCACTCGGCCGAGCACCTGCAGGCCCTCGCACCACCCCCGCCTTGCGACCGCACGCCCCACGCCTCGCACCACCGGCCTCGCACCACCGGCCTCGCACCATCCGCGTCACCCCTCCCCCCACCCTCCCCTCCCCCTCCTCTCCGCCGCCTCTCCCCTCCCCTGGCCCGCCCGCCCGCCCACCACGCCACCGCCCTCCCGCCTCCCCTCCTCCTCCCTCCTCCCCTCCTCCTCCCTCCTCCTCCTCCTCCGCAGGGCATGATCGACGAGTACCTCTCCGACCACGTCCGCCCTCTCCTGCCTCACCCTCGGCTGATCAGCATCGAGCTCGGAGAGGGCGAGGACTGCGCCGACAAGGACCGCGCCGACAAGGAGGGTGCCGACGAGGACCGCGCCGACGAGGACCGCGCCGAGGACCGCGCCGACGAGGAGGGCGCCGACGAGGGCGAGGCGGCCCGCCCGCCACAGGAGGCGCCGACGGTGCGCGGGGCGCGCGCGCAAGCACGCGCACGCGCGGCCCCTGCGGAGGCGGAGGAGGCGGTCGCGGACGCGGACGCGGACGCGGCGGCGGAGGCGGAGGCGGAGGCGGGCCCATCTGACGGCGGGCGGGCGGGGCGGGGTGCAGGGCGGGGTGCGGGGCAGCGAAGTGTGGAGGAGCTGTCGATGGCGGACCTGGACCGGATCGAGGCGGAGAAGCTGGCCAAGGCAGCGGAGCTGCGCGCGGCGGCGCTGAGGGAGGAGCAGGAGGCGGAGGCGGCGAAGGCGGCAAAGGCGCGCATCCTCCAGCAGCAGAGGCAGGCGGAGCGGAGGGCGGAGGCGGCCGAGGCGGAGAGGGTGGCGGCCGAGGCGGCGGCAGCCAAGGCAGCCAGGGCGGCCAGGGCGGCCAGGGCGGCGGCGGCCGCCGCAGCCGCTGCAGCCGCCGCCGACCGAGCCTGGGACTCGGGGGCGGAGGAGGAGGTGGGGGAGGAGGAGGCGCAGAGTGGGAGTGCGGCCGAGCTCGCGCGCGGCACCGCCCGGCTGGCGCGCGGCGTCGTGGACCCGCTGCCCGCCGCCCTCTCCGAGGCGACGGCGCTGGGGAAGCGGAAGGCGGGCGCGGCGGCGGGCGGTGCGGCGGCGGGCGGTGCGGCGGCGGGCGGTGCGGCGGCTGGCCGCCCAGAGACGGGCCGAGGGGGCGGCGGCTCGTCGTCTGCTGCGGACCCGGTGCACAGCACGCGGCGCGGGAAGAGCATCCCTTGGAACGAGTCGGGCGACCGGATCGAGGACGAGATCGAGGCGAGATGCAGCCGAGATGCAGCCGAGATACAGGGCGAGATCGAGGCCGCCCCTCCCGCGCCGCCCCCGCCGCCCCTCCTTTGCCCTCTTCTCCCCTTCCCACCTCCCTCCGCCCCTCCTCCCTCCGCCCCTCCTCCCTCCGCCCCTCTCCCTCGCCTCTGGCTGAGCGGTGGCGCGCACCCGCGCGCAGGACTCGGACGGCGATGACTCTGGCGGACCCGGACCCGCCGTCGCCAAGCAGGCCCGCACGGGCGGCAAGCAGCCGCAGTCCAAGTGCGGCCGGCTGCGGTGGACGTCGGAGGAGGTGGAGCAGCTCAAGCGGGGGTACCAAAAGTACGGCGAGGGACGCTGGGCAGACATCCTACGCGAGTTCAAGTTCCACAAGCACCGCACGAATGCGCGCCGACCCGTCCCACCCTCCCCGCCGCCCGCCCGCCCGCCCGCCCCCCGCCCGCCTCCCTCCCGCTTGCCGCGCCGCGCCGCATGGGAGTCATTGACGCGCGCCCGACGACGCCACGCCGCCAGGTCCACCTCAAGGACAAGTGGAGGAACCTGAACAAGTAAGGCTGCAGTGCGAGGGGCGCCGGCTCCGACTCGAGCTGCTGCTGTCAGAGCCTCCCTCCCCTCCCTCCACGGGGCGGGGCTCCCCCTGGCTCGTGTGCGGCGTTAGTTGCCGCCGGAAGGCCGGCCAGGGTCGCTAGTGTCCCGCCCGACCTACAGGCTTGCTCTCTTTGGACCACGCTCTGGCCACGCCTTCGCCCACGCGGAGGGGCTAGAGGAGACCAGCGCGTCCACACAGCGGGCTAGACCTAGAGCAGGATCCGCGAGCGAGAGTGTCCCATACTTCCGACTTTATACAGTAGTAGCTGTTGCGGAGGAGACACACACATCACACATGTGTGTTCATTTTCATGGAATGCGAGCCGGCAACCCGTCGCAAGAAAATGTAAAGATAATTATGGAGAACCAGGTGAAAAAATTCTTTTTCGAGGTCAACCCGTCATGCGGCAGGTGGCTTGCTTTGGCTCGCTGCCACCGCGGTGGGTCACCAAGAGCTTCTCCGCGTGCGGCGTCATCACCGCGCGACGCGCTCGCCACGCCTCACCCGGGCAAAAGGAATTATCGCGCGCCGCCGCCGCCCGCCTCGCCTTGCCTACCCCTGCGCCAGCGCCTGCGCCTCGCCTTGCAGCCGCGCACGCGCACACGCACGCGCTCACGCCGCTCGCGTTCGCTACCGCGAAGCAACCCCCACCCGAGTTTCGATCCGGGAGCCAAAAGGTCCCCGCTCGAACCGCGAACGGCTCAACCACCGCCGCTGGCGGTTCTTGCAAAGGCATTCAGGGGGAGGTCAAAGCGGGAGAAGGCGGCACGGCGGCGGCGGCGCGGCCCCCCCCCATCCCCACGCCTCCGGGTCGTGCGTACCGCCTCCGGGCGTGAGTGTCCCCCCAGCGTCTGCTCCAGCAGTCGCTCCGGTAATCAGGCCGAGAGTACCAGGGAGGAGGGGAGAAGAGCCCAGGGTGGGGAGAGGAGAAGAGCCTAGGGAGGGGGGAGGAGAAGAGCCCAAGGCGGCCTCCCTCTCCTCCCCTCCCACCGGGCCTCCCTCTCCCTCTCCTCCCACCGGGCCTCCCTCTCCCCCTCCTCCCGCCAAGCACCGACAGTCTCGAGGGGCCAGCCGCTGGAAGGGGCAAGCCAGCGGCACGAGGGCTTCAGCCACACAACTACCATGGGAACGCGACCCACACAAAGCACCAAAGTTAGGCATACCCCCCGGCGCAGTGTCCCCCGCTATGTGTCGCCGTTTGTCGGGGCACGCTATCCTGTGCAGTCAGGGCAAGTGGGGGCGGGGTGGACAGCCCAGCGCAGATGCACTGGGATCTCTCTGCCCAGTCCGGGGGTGCGTCGAACCTTCCATCACCCTGTCGGAAGCGGCGTGCCGGTGGAGGCACGTCCGGGTTTTGGAAGTAAAGATATATTACTTTTTTTATGGAGAACCAGCTCGATCGAGCGCGTCTGGAGTTGCTTCCCCCAGGATTAGTCTTCTCTGCCTGCGGGAACTCTCTCTCGGCCGAGTGGGGGGGGCGGGGGGCTAGAGGGCAGACAAAATCCACCAGTGTGGGATTTCGCGCAATCGCTTCCCTATCATTGAAAGTAGCAGCCCGCGCGGTTTGTCCGCCCGAAAATTTGGTCGCGCGTTCGCCCTCCATGCATGTCGGCCGGTGCCGGCCCCTCGACCATCCACGTGCCTCCCCTGCCGGACAAGCTTCGGGCCGAGCCACGGCAGGAGGAAATCGGGCCGGGCAGGCCGTACGCGAACGCGGCCGCCTTCAGTGCCGATCACGCCCGATGGGAGCAGGAGCGAGACGCCCGCAGGAAGCTGATGGCAGAGCGCCTAAAGGCACAGAAAAAGGTCCATGAGCAGAGCCGAGACCGCACTGCACGCCAGCGGCCGCCCGACGACGGCGACCGGCGAGAGAAGCAGAGACAGCAGCAGCATAGCTCAGCGCGCTCGCAGTCTTTCAAGACGCCGACAATCCAACTCTTCTTTCAGCTGGCCAACCTCACCTGGTTGGTGCTGAATTCCTCGGCCAGCGGAGTCAGGGAGCGTCTTTTGAGTGCGTGGGAGAAGGTGCTCGGGAGACGGCCGCCCCCGTCAGCGACCATCCAGTACAGCGTACGGGAGCCACCGTCAACGCTCGGCGGCAAGATTCCTGTCGATATGCAGCAGGTTCAGCGGGAGAATGCGCAACGTATTGTCAAGCTACAGGAGATGGGAGCCAAGAAGGCCGATCTCGATCGGCATTTCATCGACGAGGTATTTATACGAGGCCTCTTTGGCAGAGGAGCGAGAATGTATCTCGAAGAAGACCACCGGTCGGACGAAATCCGCGTGAGGTGCTACGACGGCCACTGGAAACGGGAGGGATCATTTCTCGAGTTCACTGGGAGGGGATGCGTCAAGTTCAGCAACGGAGAGTTCCATGACGGGGAGTTCGTCGATGGACATTTGGTGCAGGGAGTTCGGGTGTTTCTCTTGAATGGACGAGAGGAGATCGTCAAGGTCAACCGTCGCGATGTTGCATGGAGGACATACATGGAGCAGGGACAGCCAATGATGGCCAGGTTGACAGAGACGAGTGACCGCATCACTCATGAGTCTGAGGCAATGCAGAACTGGTTTGAAGAGCAACGACGAGTCCCAGGCAGCTATTTCTGCATCATCATGGGGGGAATTCATCAACGACCAGGCACCTTGGTCCTCACGGACGACCTCTTGCGTGAGTGGCGCGCCAGTTGGGGGTACCAAACCTTCTGCAAGGAGAACAAATGGCCGTTGCGGTGTGTGTCAGAAGACGTGTACAGGAGACTCGATGCGGATCTGATCCGAAAGAACAACATTACGTGTGAGGGATTCCCGCAGCTGCCCTTCCAGTTCGCGTACGACTCGCTTCTGGACCGCATGTGCCGTAGCCATGAGCGGGACTCAGAGCTCAGGGCCATGCTCAGAGGCTGCAGCCACTATTCGTTCACTCGCAAGGATTTAGAAGAGAGAGAGCAGGCCCGAGAGGAACAGATCGAGGAGCTGAATTCACAAATTGAGGATCTGAGTGCGTCGATACTATCTGACCTGCGACGAGAAGTCGATGCAATGTCGCCGTACGAGGTGCTAATGAATGCACCACAACCTTGGAGTGAATTTTCACCGGAAGAATGGCTCGACATGCACAGGTTGAGACCGCAAGAGCATCGGTTGGCTGCGGTGCGTGTTAGGATTGCGGAATTACGGGCTTTGAATTGGAATACGGAATTATCTCAATTGGAAAAGCCACGTACGGAATTGGATTCAAGGGCGGCTTTGGAACACGGAATCACGGACTTTGAGATCCGAAGGTCGGAGCGGGGGCTGCGGTGCGTGTCAGAAGACCTCTTCCGATCGCTCAGTGTTGAAGAGATCAAAGAAGGTGACGTAGCTTGTGACGGATTCCCACAGCTGCCCTACCAATATGCGTACGACGCGCTCCTTCAACGGTTCTTCAACGGTCATGCTCGCGTTGCCGAGCTCAAAGAGCTACTCAAAGCGAAAGACGAGAAAGAGTGGAAGAAAAATATGCTCGAACGTTCTATGGAGCATATTTTCGACCCTCCACAGATTAGGGAGTTGAAGGCTCAGATCCGGTCTGATCTATGTCGAGTGATCAATGCAATGTCGCCGTACGAGGTGCTAATGAATGCACCGTTCCACGAGACACCCGCCACGAGCGATTTGTTAGATTGCGATCTCAAGTACGACGCAGATACTCTTGAGCACTTCAGCTCACCTTTCGGTTACGAAGGCCCGGAGTGTTCCTTTACCTCTCTTTTCTGATTTGACTACTGATCTCTTGATCTATTCTAGACGTGCCACATCACTAGACACGCCACGCCCCCGGGGCGGGTCCGGCGCCCAAGGGGCGCCGGCCAATTGCTCTAGTGACTCTGAAAAGCTCGCATGTACCTCCTGCGAGCGCTGTGATCGCCAGGAGACAGGCTCCAACTTAACGGCGGCATGGAGACGTGATGCCTCCATGCCGCCGTCGCGTCGAAATCGACATGTGAGTCGATCTTTGGCCCGCCAGAGGTACATGCGGCGTTTTGGGCGACAAACAACAGCGCTGCGACCGCGAAGTGGCGGTGGACATGCTCCCATGTTGCCGACGCGGCGCCGGAGTGGCCGGCGCTGCTCGCCACGACCACGACGGCTACTCTGATACTCCGGGCTCTCTTCCTACGCTCCTACCCGAGACGGTCGCATTCTTCCACGTCTCGCTCACGCTGAGAAAAATTCTGAAACGGCGTGCAGCAGAGTCACCGACGAGTCGGTCCGCGTGACTCCTCGTGTCCCGCACCGTTCTCACACATCCATAAACTCACTTTGGCCTCACTGAAGCAAGCCCTCAATCCTGAATCCTCAGATTTTAGATTAGGACGCTGTCGACCCTCTAGCTGGGGCTGCGGCTGAGATTACCTAAGCACGGCATTCGGGGCCATGATGTCGGTTCCCCACCATTTTTCTGAAACCCAGAAATCTGATCCGTGTTCCGATAGTTCCGATGGTGCCCGTGTTCCGATGGAAAAATGTATGCAGGAAGTGGAACCGAAAGATGGGGGGGGGGGGGGGTACGAGAAGAAAAAAAGCTGTGCGCGGAATCTTCCAAAGACACAGGTACTAAGATACATGTCGATCGTTCTGCTGGGCGCTCTGCTGGGCTCTCCTCCCTCTCCTCCCGCTCAGGCTGCGAAGGGCGCTGGTGGTCGCGCGGGCGTCACAGGGTCGCTTCTCTCCCCGGGCGTCACCGGGTCGTTTGTCTCCCCGGGCCGTCTCACCAGCTCGGTCGGCGCGTGCAAGTTCAAGAAGGGATCGTCGGGCCAGGTCTCGTCTGGCTATGAGTATGTCATTGATGAGTTTTGGGGCCTGAGCGGCGTGGATCGGTGCAAGGCCAAATGCACGAACAATTCTCTTTGCCTGGGTATCCAGACTACCGCCCTCCGAGAACGCGCGAAAATCCGCTGCGTTCTCTACGACGCTCTGCCAGACGCCACTCTGCGCATCGACTCGTTTGGATGCTGGGCCCGCCAAATGCCGCCTCAAACGCTGCAGGCCAGTGCCAGTCTGTCCTCGCCAGCACCACCTTCAGCACCGCCGTCACAACCGCCCTCTCCGCAAACGCCGCCGCCACCGTCGCCTCCGCATACGTTGCCGCCGCCACCGTCGCCTCCGCAATCGCCGCCGCCAACGTCCCCTCCGCAGTCGCCGCCGCCAACGTCCCCTCCGCAATCGCCGCCGCCGCCGTCGCCTCCGCAGTCGCCGCCGCCGCCATCGTCGCCTCCTCAGTCGCCGCCGCCGCCACCGTCCCCTCCGCAAACCTTCTTGGACTTCCTTCTTCGCCCCACCGTCGACTCCGCGTGGACTTCCTTCTTCGCCCCATCTGTCGCCGAGGCCCCACCTCCGCCATACCTCCCCCCCTCGTCGCCACTGCCGCCATCATCGCCGCAGGCGCAGCCTCCCGACGTGCCGCCGCCGCACCCTCCTCCCGCCCCGCAGCAGCCACCCTTCGATCCTCCCGCCCCGCCCCGCCCGCCCCTCTCGCCCGTGCCGCCATCATCGCCGCAGCCTCCCGACGTGCCGCCACCGCGCCCTCCTCCCGCCCCGCCACCCCCGCCGCAGCCTCCTGGCCTGCCACCGCACCCTCCATCCGCCCCCCCGCCGCCGCCGCCCCCACCCTCGCCGCCATCCTTCGGGGGATGGGAGCCGTTGCCGCCGCCGCCGCCGCCGCCCCCACCCTCGCCGCCATCCTTCTGGCTGAACAGTTTGGCAACTGCGTTGACTTCCTTCTTCGCCCCATCTGTCGCCGAGGCCCCACCTCCGCCATACCTCCCCCCCTCGTCGCCCCTGCCGCCATCATCGCCGCCCGTGCCGCCATCATCGCCGCCCGTGCCGCCATCATCGCCGCAGCCTCCCGACGTGCCGCCGCCGCACCCTCCTCCCGCCCCGCCACCCCCGCCGCCTCCTGGCCTGCCACCGCACCCTCCATCCGCCCCCCCGCCGCCGCCGCCCCCACCCTCGCCGCCATCCTTCTGGGGATGGGAGCCGTTGCCGCCGCCGCCGCCGCCGCCTCCGCCGCCGCCGCCCGCGCACCCACCCTCCCCGCATCCACTCCGTCCGCCCTCCCAACCGCCATCAAGTTCCCCGCCGCCGCAGAGCCCGCCGCTGCCCTCTGCCCCGCCCCCGCCGCCTCCGCCGGTGTCGCCCCCTCCGCCGTACACCATTCCTTCGCCCAGCCCCTCGCCGCCGCCTCCCGAGCCGCCGCAGCCCCCGCCCGCGCCGCCCGCTCCGCTGGGGGCTCTTTCTCCACCCTCGCCGCCAGCGCGCCCTCCTCGCCGCCAGCCCTTCCAACCCCCGCCGCCAACGACCGCACCGAGCGGCTCATGGAGCAGCTGGCTCCCATGGAGCAGGACAGGGGCAGCTGCCACCCCGCCGCCAGCCGCCACCCCGCCGCCAGCCGCCACTCCGCCGGCAGCTACCGCCCCGCAGGCAGCGTCCGGCTATGCATACGGCGGTGCCGCCGGCGGGCCTGGCGCTGCTGGTCCCGCCTCGCTAGAGCTTGAGCGGGTGCGACAGCTGGCGACGGCGCAGCTTCTGGCCTTGCCGGCGAAGCTGATGGGGGCCCACCGGCGGGTGAGGGAGGCCGAGATCGCGCTGTACAAGGCGGACTTGCTGCCGGCGTGGCTCCCGAACTGGGCGTCGCGCCTGCAGCTCGCGGCTGGGGCGCTGACAGCGGCGGAACAGGAGGTGATGGCCGTCGAGGCGCAGCTGGCGGGCAAGGCCGAGGCGGTTGTGGCGGCGGCCGCAGCCGCGTCGCAGCCGCTCCCGAAGCTGCCTCCCGCCCCGGCGCCGGCAGTCCCTCTTGGGAGCATTGCAGACCCAATTGCGGCGTTCGACGCGAAGCGCGCCGTGCTCGCCGTAGCGATGGTCGCCACAGCGCTCGCCACGGCGGAGGAGGCGGCGGCGGAGAAGGCGCTTCTGGCGGCGGAGGCCAAGGCCGCGGCCTCCTCCCCGCCTTCCGTCGCCCTCGAGATTGAGGTGGCGAAGGCCTTGGGGCGCGAGAGGGCGGCGGGTGTGGCGGTGCTCGCCCCGCCGCAGGCCGGCGTCAAGGCTGCACACAGCATCTCTTCACACCTTAGCTGTGAACAGGCGCTCGCCGCCGAGGCAGCCTTCATGACCGCCGAGGCAGCAGTGAACGCCGCGTTGCCAACCTACGAGGTGGCAGTGCGGACCCGAGCCACGGCGGCCGCACAGCCGCCGTCGCCATCGGCTCCACTGCCACCGCCACTCCCACCGGCACCTCCGGTGGCGCCACCCACGCCACTGCCACCTACACTGCCGCCGGCACTGGCACCGCCAACGACCGCACCGAGCGGCTCATGGAGCTGGCTCCCATGGAGCAGGACAGGGGCAGCTGCCGCCCCGCCGCCAGCCGCCACCCCGCCGGCAGCTACCACACTCCCACCACCGTCCCCGCTTGGAGGCGCGCCAACACCTCCGCCTCCAGGCGAGCCAACACCTCCGCCGCCTCCAATCCCGCCGGGGGTACCGCCTCCACCTCCGCCTCCTGGTGCAAACGTCCTGTCGAACCGAAACAACGTTGCCGTGATGAATGCAAATCTCTGCGCAATGGGCCTCAAAACGTACTGCTACGGCGGGTAGGCTTGTTGGTGTAGAGCGGGGAGCAGCGGGCGACACACGCAGCTCGCAGGTTCGGCTCTCTGTCTGGGGTCTGAGTCGCAGGTGGACCGGGGTGGGTCCCCCATTTTCGATCTTCCTCTTGGTTTTTGCCCCATGGTTTGCCCCGTCTCTCTCTGTGTGTATGTATGTACAACGCGGCGTATCTTTTTTTTTCGGCGAGAGGGTCGTGTGTGGAGAGAGGTCGTGGAGTTACGTGGCTCAGGCTGGGTTCACAGCGATTGTAGGAAAATTGGGGGAACACTTGACGGTCGCGGCCTTCCGACTCGCGCCTTCGCCTCACTGGCACTATTGTAGCCCTGGCCGGTGCGCGTGCGAAGTTGAAGTTCCGGAGTGAAAATTCGAACGCGTTCTCTCACGGTGACCAAAAAATGTCCACCTCAGAGGCACCTCCGGAGGCAGGCCGCTGCACGCCGGCGACACAGCTCCAGCTGTCGAACTGACCCGCAGCTCCTCTCAGAGCGGGAACTGTGACGAAAGTTGACTGAGGCGGTTGTCAGGAATCATCATACGGATCACATGGTGGCTCTCTCATGACGGGAGACCGCCCGACCACTCCTGGGTGGCACTGCCACCGGTGTCGCTCGACGTCCTGTCGACAGCGTGCCGACAGCGACACAGACCATGTGGGACGCGTCGAGTATCGACCTCTACTGCTTACCCAGCCTTCGAGTGTACCCTGGCTATGGTCCCACACCTACTGGTGTCCATCTCAGAGACCGCAGGAGGTCATGAGGGTCGATGGGAGTGCCAACCCCACAATGCCTAAAAAAACCCAGCCCAGTAGTTGTGATATAGTTCATACGGTAATATGTGACAGGAGGTAAGGTAGGTAAAGCCGTACACCGAGAGACTGCCCGTACGTTACAGACTTGCGTATACACATCAACACATGACGAAAAATGCAGAGAGTAGAGATGTTTATCTTGCAAGGCGGAAGTGCATCTCACAGCCACGGCTTCCACCCGTGGTACGTGCGGCCCAGCACGTTCGGATCGGTGGCAAGCTCGAGCAGCACGTCAACCTATGGCGAGGGGGCTAGCCAGGTCAGCGTGTGCGTGGCGGGGGGCGGTAGCGAGGCCCGCAGCGCGCCTGCTGCTCCGGGGTCAGAGCGGTGGCGGGCAGTTGGCGGCGCAAGCTGTCTGCCGGTCCGCGTACAATCTCGACCAGCCGGTCGAAGGTGGCGGGCTTGGCGGCCACCGGGTTCAGCCGCAGCTCAGCCTCGGTGATGTGGGCGGCGTTACCTCCGCTCAGCTTGGACACCACTGAGGCCAGCCGGTTGCGCGCCCACGCCGCGTCCCTGTCGCCGTCGGCGGCGCCGCCGCCCTCGCTCGCCACCACCGTCGACGCCTGGCTCTCACCTTCGGACGGCTCGAGCACGCTCGCCAGCTGCGCCTCGCCCAGCTTGCGCGCCTGCCGAAAACGGCGTTGGGTGGGGCGCTGGGCGAGGCGAGAGCGGGCGTAGGAGGGATAGGAGGGAGGGGCCGGGTGGGGTGGCGTGGCGGCGAGGCGACGAGCGAGGCGACGAGCGAGTGTGCGCGCCTGCTTCGCCCAATCGACGTTCGGCTCGGAGACAAACACGTCCATCACGCGCAGGAGCTCGTCGCGCTGGGCTCGCAGCGTGCGCAGCACGAGCACCATGTGCCCCTTGAGCAGCACGCCCGAGTCGAGCGGCCGGAGGAAGGAGGTGAGCTGGCGAGTGAGCCGCACGCCCATCAGCTCCGGCTGTGGCAGCTGGTGGGTCGCCGAGCCAAACGCGTGGCCAAAGTCGATGCCGACGACGCGGCCGCTCGCCTCCTCCACCATGAAGTTCTAGTTCACATGTGACAGGTACAGGTAAGGACTAGGGTGACCCACCACTAGAAGCAGAAGGTACAGCCGCACCTCGAGGTGGCGGTCTCCGATGCCGAGGAGGTGCCCGACGACGGTCACCACGGCGAGGGAGCGCGCAAAGCAGGAGCGGGTCGCGAGGAACGACTCGGCTCCTGCAGAGGAGGGAGGAGGAGGGAGGAGGAGGGGGGTGGTGGTGTGTGGGGGGGGGGGGGGGGGGAGAGGGGGTGAGGCGAGCCGAGCGTGGATGTCGACGTGCGGGAGGTTTAGGTTGCGGCATCTCGTGTGGGAGCGCGCACCGACGGAGAGCGACTCGATGCCGCGCGAGAGGAGGTCGGCCGGCAACAGAGCGTGCGCATCAGCGAGGTGCTGCTCCGCGTCTCTCCGGCTGCAGCTGGCCCACCTCGGCAGCTGGCCTTTGCTGGCCAAGGGGTAGGCGGCGGCGAACTTGGTCGCCGCCATACTGATCGGATCTTGCCCACCCCGGTGCTTCACCCTTGCAACCTTCTCGATCAGCTTGCCGAGCGGCTGCGTGCCGTCCATCCACTCGATGAAGCCGACCCGCTCGTTGAGCGGCAGCACGCTGTACGTCCGCATCGCCAGGCCGCGCGTCGCGCACTGTCCGTCGGCTGCGAGCACCGTGTTGACCACCGCAAAGATCTGCTGGATGCGCTGGTCTTGCCGCAGGTCCTCGCCGCCCTTGATCAGGTAGCGCCGCTCGCGCTGGTCCGAGCAGTAGACGGTCAGCCGCTTGGGCTTGCGGAGCGACGCCATCACGAGCAGCTCGGCGTCAAAGCTGTCTGCCGCCGCGTGCTGGTCGACCAGTGGCGGCGCGTCCCCATCGTACTGCCCCGGCAGCTCGAGCGCCTCGAGCGGGTCGCCGCCCGCCTCGTCGGCGCGGTGGTACTTTGCGAGCAGGGGCGAGTACGACTCGAGCCGGGTGGATCTCTGCTTGTTGCCCTTGACCCACACCTGCGACACCTCCTCGAGCTTCCTCCAGCCCATGCCGACCCGATTGAGCTCCCTCTGCAGGGTCGGCGGTCCGCCCCCGCTCCCCACGAAGCGACCGAGGTGCTGCCCGTCGACGCCGCACAGACCGTCGAGCTTCTGGAGGGTGCGCTCGCCTTGGCTGCCCACCTTGGCCTTGGCAAAGTCAGCGAGGAAGCCGCCGCGCTTCGGGTCGCGGAGCCAGCGGGTGAGCTCGACGTAGCTGGCGCGCGCCTCCTCGACCCGCCCTTCCTTGAGCAGGTCGGTCAGCGTCTCGAGCAGGTCCTTGTACCTCAGCTCGGGGTGCGTGAGGTCCTCGAACGCGGCCGCCAGGGCCTCGAGCCGCGGGCTGTGCAGCACGGCGCTCATGGCTCGCACCGTGGCGGCGACGCGCGGCGCGAGGCGTGGCTTGCGCGAGACCGACTCCTTGCTGAGCTGGAAGGGGTGGTAGACGGCAGCCGGGTAGGCAGCCGCCAGCCGCTCGAGGAGGGGCGCGACGCACTCGCCGTGCGGCTCGTTGAGCAGCGCGAGGAGCTGGCATGTCCACTTGAGCATCATCCAGGCGGGCGGAGTCAGCAGCTGGGCGCCCGTCTCCTCCCACGTCTCCGCGCGGCCGCGCAGCAGCGCGAGCACCGTGAGCAGGCGGTCCCGCGCCTAGGGTTAGGGTTAGGTCAGACTTGGGGTCAGGTTAGGGCCTACCACCGTGAGGAAGCGGTCGCGTGCCGCGAGCGAGCCGCCGGCCATCGCACGCACAACCTCGGCGACAGCGACGCGGGCGAGGTCGACGCCGCGTGTCTCGTGCCCGCGCTTGAGGGAGGCGGAGCAGAGGTCGACGAGCTTGAGCCGCGCGGGCGCAAGGGCGGCGGGCGAGGCGAGGGGCGAGTCGAGGAGCGAGCGCAGCCTCTCGATGACCTCTGTTAGCAGGCGCTCGCCCTCGTCGGCATCGCCGCCGTCGAGCATCAGTTGCACAACCTCTGCCTGAAGCTCGGCCAGCTCGCACCGCTCCTCCGGCGGGTTGGATGCGTACATGTCGTGTAGCTTCGCCCCCTGCAGTCGAAGAGAGCGCTTCAGGGGTGGGGAGGGCCAGACTGGCGTTGCGGGGCCCATCCGGCCGGCGCACCTGTTGCCAGATCTGCAGCAGCTCGCCCGAGTTGCGGCTGGCGCGAGCCTTAGCGACCGTGTGCTGGAGGAGGCCGGCCTGGAACTGCACGCTCACCGGCCCGAAGCACTTCGGGTCCGCCTTGCGGAGGGCCATGCTCGCGAGCAGGTGGCCCTTCGCGGGCTCGAAGTCTCCTTGCATGCGGAGCGCGCGCGCGGCGCGCTCGTGCGACTCGGCGATGCACCTCTTGGCGGCGCCGAGCGAGCCTTGACGGATGGCCGCGCGCTCGTCCTCGTCGTCGAAGTCGACGGCGTCGAGCGCCTCGTTGAGGCGGCGCTCCAGCACGGAGAAGAGCAGCGCGCGGCTGCTCACCACGTCGTCCCAAACCGCGGCGCCGTGCTGGGAGCTGCTCGGGTAGCGGCCCGACCACGTGCGCGCGAGCGCGGCGACGGCGTCAGTCGCGACCCAGCGGCCGGTACCCGCCGCTGCGAGCAGCGGTCGCTTCAGCACGTCGAGCAGCTCGTTGGCCTCGGCGAGCAGCTGCAGCTGTTCCAGCTCCTGTTCACAGCAAGAGGTGTGAAGCAGCGCTGTCCACACCTCGGCGAGCAGCTGCAGCTGCTCCAGCTCCTTGAGTCGAACCATCGTCGCGCGCGGGTGCAGCGCGGCCCAGCGGCTGACAAAGGCCTGGACGCAGCCGGGCAGGAGCGACCGAGCGCCGTCCTCGCTGCCGGCGGCGAGCCGATCGAGGACGAGGAGAGCGCCGAGGCCGGCATCGAGCAACAAGCTGCTGTCGCGGACGGGGTGAGGAGCACACGCCTCGCCGGCCCCGCCCGCCGCCCCCTCCGCCCGCTCCTCGACCCAGCTCCTCCAGCCCTGCCCCGCGGCGCCCTCCTTTGCCCGGCTCACCAGCAGCATCCTCACCCACGGCTCGTGCGCGCTCTCGCGCCATGTCCCGAGCCCGTCACCGCCCGGCTGCACCAGCGCCTCCGTCGCCGCGCGCAGCTCGCCCCACCGCCCGAGTCGGAGCAGGCACGCGCGCCGCCCTCGCTGGGCGAGCTCCAGCTCTTCCGACGCCGACGCGGAGCCGGACTCGCCCAGGCTGCCGCTCGCCCTCTGGAACAGCCGCAGCGCCTCGAGGGAGTCGCCGCGCGCCTCGGCGGAGAGCGCGTCGCGCAACTCGGTCACGCCGGCAACCTCCGCCGCCAAGCCTACAGCGGGAGGGCGACAGCTGGAGAGGCGCCTCCCTCGGCAAGGGCGGGAGTGCTCGCGGCCGCCGCGCCGCGCACAACATCCTCGTCGGCGAGCTGGCGGTAGATCTCCATCAGCAGGACGCGCACCTCGCGCTCGCCGCCCGAAGCCGCAGCCGAGGCGAGGTCGCGGGCTCGCTTCTGAGGGCGAGCTGCGGGCGCCGCCGCGACGATGTGGCGCTCGATGAGCCGCGCCGCCGAGTGCAGCGTGCCGGTGCGCTCCGCCGACTCGCTCACGTCCTCCGGGCGGAGCCAGCCCGACGTGTCGTCCTACGCGGGGGGAGCGAGCGGGCTCAGCGGGTGCCTCACATCAGCGGGCACAGCCCCACCCGCCCCCTCCTCGGTCAGAGCGAGCTCGTGCAGGCAGCCGACGAAGGCGGTGCCTCCCGCGCGCGACGTGAGCAGAGCAGCCACGCCGGCGTGGAGCCTCGCCTACAGCGGAGGAAGCGTAGACGTCGAGACGGCGTGTGGTACCGCCGCCCACGCCCGCAGGCGCGGCCGCACCAGCTGGTCCGCCCCCGCGCCTTCGAGGCGCTGCTGTCGGACGGCGCGGTAGAGGTGAACGAGCGCGTTCTTGGCGACCACCGGGTCGTGCCGCGCGAGCGACTGCAGCGGCGCGACGAAGTCGAGCGCGCACAGCGCAATGTCTGGCACCTCGCCCGCCCGGTACGTGCGCATCAGCTGCACCTTCCGCTGCCGCGCAGCGCCGCTCTGTGCGTTGCTGCGCCTGGCGTTGGCCGCCACGAGGTTGCGTCTGCGCCGGTCGCGCACCGGCCGCTCGCCGTCCGGCTCCTGCGAGCTGCCCGCGCCAGCAGACATCGCGGCTTGGCTGCTGCCCATACCGAAGGCGGGCACCGGCGGCAGAGCCGCACGCCGCCGCTGCACGCCGCCGCCGCCGCCGCCGCCGCCGCCGCCGCCGCCGCCGTCGGCCGCCTGCGAGCTGTAGGTGGCGGGGACGCCGCCGAGCTGGTCCTGCGTCTGCGTCTGCGAGTAGAGCTGGGACTGGGTCGCGCGGAGCGGGCCGCCCTCGCCCGCGTCCTGCGAGGCGGGCTGGCTCTGCGAGAAGAACTCGTGGCCCCAGGGCAGCATGGCGAGCGAGGCGCTCCCTCGGGTGGGCGCCAGGTTGCCGACGGGCTGGAAGCTGCTCGTGTCGAGGAGCGTCTTGACGAAGATGGTCTTGTGCCGGTTGGGCGCCCCGTGCACCAGCTGCAGGAGGAGCAGCGTCGAGATGTGCAGCCACTGCGCCTCCACCGCCGGCGCGTAGAGGGTCTCAAAGCACGCGACGAGCCGGGCGGCCATGCTCCGCGGCAGCTGGCCGTGCCAGTAGCCGAGCATCGCCTCTCTCCTCGTCTCGTCGGGGTCGCACAGCCCGACGAGCAGCCCCGAGCGGAGCAGGGTCTCACTCGCCGCGTCGGGAACCGCGGCGCCGGGCTCCGCTGCGCGTTCGCGCAGCCGGATGAGCAGCTCGTGGTAGAGGGCGCGGCAGTCCACCGCTCGGTGGCGCGCGAGAGCGGCGTCGAGGGCGGGCAGCAGCGGCCAGAGCTTGTCGAGGGGGCGGTGCTGCGCGAGCTCGAGGAGGAGGCGGAGCGAGGCGTGCTGCACCTCGGGCTGCTGCTGCGAGAGCAGCCCCTCCCACACCTCCTTCGTCACGCTCGTCGTCACCGGCGGCACGCCCTCGGGGCCGCCTCGCAGCGGCGCGGGCTCCTCCTGGCCGGCGCCGCTGCGCTCGCGCGCGGCGGCGTGCGTCATGCAGCGCAGCACGTTTGCGCGCCCATCGCCGTGGACCTCGAGGAGCTTGCTGCGAGCCCACACGGCCAGCA